TTTTTGGTTGGGGGGGGGGGGAGGGGTTTAAAATTGGACAATAATGATATAATACATCTAGAATGGATTACAATACCACATCTTTTGGTGGTATTAAAATTGACTCACTAGTACAGATAGACTGTATCAACATTAGCCACATGGGATGCTTATCTGATTAATTGTATGCAATACACGAATGGATTTTTTGCATCCAAACAGATTAAAAAGTTTTAATCTGATATGTCCCTTTAATCTCTATAATACACCAACCAAGCATAAATGCTCGAGTTTCAAAGCATGAGTGTGTGACCTTGTGTTTAAGGGCTAGCAAATAATACCCAAAGTTAAAGACTGCACGTAGTAAAAAGCTTTGGTTGCGAAGCATGACTGTGTAACCTTGTATTTAGAGTATCTCCAACCTTACTCAAATTTAAAATTTAAGTAAAAACAGGCTAAAAATAAACTCAAGTTATTAACTCAAACTCAAACCAAAAGAAGGGAGATTCAAATTTTTACTCAAATGAAGGGGTACTCAAATCTTCAATAGTCAGATTACACCCTCCTTTAAAGTTTCAATGGTCATATTTCACCGTCCTTTAAATTTGGGTTGTCCTCATTTAAATTTGAGTTTCTTTATTGGAGTATTTTTTATTAAATCAAGTTTTTACTCAAATGTTGACTCAAGTTTGAATAAAAATTGAGTCAAGGCTGGAGATGGCTAAGGACTAGTAAATAATGCTTAAAGTCAAGACTCAGCCTAGTTTAACAATGTGATGGCTAGCAAATCACATTGTTAAAACCAAGTACCATTCACAATTAAATATGCAAGGTGCTCTTTATCATGCAGAACCAATTGGAAAGAAGTTGGTCACATAAATCATAACTATTGCTGAAAAGGGGGAAGTTTTGAAATATATTTGATGTGAGTGACTGTGAATTCCTTTGCAAATGGAGAAACAAAAGAAGGGAAAAATGTAAACAAAACATTTTTTGCAACCAGGATTGAAGCCACCTTATGACCAGGGTAATGAATCTCTGTAAGTTTGAGAAATTGCATTAAGTTGGGCCCTGCACGCGCAATAAGGTATTGATTATTTTAGTTTGGTCCATTTGTATTCTTTTGTTACTGGTCCCTCTAGTTGAATTTCTAGTTTCACCATTTGTTTTCAAGTGTCACCAGTCATCACATTGCATGTATTGATGCTTTTTCTATGCTGCTGCCATGCATCAATTTACTAAGGTTAAAAAGGTTGACAGAAATATCTAGATATGTTTTATTCATATTGGTGACTGGCTTTTTAAACTGACTGTATAGGTTCACTTTCAGCAACAAAGATAGTTTTTCGTCAACTAAGGAGGATGAGTCGGAAACGCAGCACAGACATAATAGTGATCTTAGCAAAGCTGAGTTGTTAGAAGCACTCTGCCATTCTCAAACAAGAGCAAGGGAGGCTGAGAAGGCGGCACAGCAAGCGTATGATGAGAAGGAGCACATCATCAAGCTCTTTTTTAGGCAGGCCTCACACCTCTTTGCTTACAAGCAGTGGATCCATATACTCCAACTAGAGACCTTATGCCTCCACCTTAGGAACAATAATCAGCCAATTTCCACTCTCTTTCCCAATTTGTTGCCACGGGTCCCACGCAAGGGCAGGCAACTGAGGAAAGGCCGGAACAGGGCTGCAAAGAAGAGACAGCCACCAAGACACAAGCTAAACAAGTCTGCTGTTGCTTTTTCGGTGGGTTTGAGTCTTGCTGGTGCTGGTTTGCTACTTGGTTGGACCATGGGGTGGTTATTTCCTGCTCTATAAACAATGCACTCTGTCCATATTGGACAATATGGTATGGCTTTGTATGTTAGTTACTTAGTATGCTTGTTGGGCTGAGTGATTTGCTGTGAAAATTTGGCTATTCAAGTTCTATTTCTGTACTGTAAATAGGTACACGTTTAGATTTCTACATTGTGTTATGAGATGTAAATATGGGTATATTGCACTAATTCCTATTGACATCAAGCTTTAAGAGATATGTATATAATGGTAGGTACTCTGAGGAGATGTTTTAGTTGGTTAATGTGGTCAAAGCCATCATGTTAAGGTTGATTTGGTAGAAAGGAACCCATCCAACTACCCTTATATTTCAAGTTGAAGAAAGAAGGAAAAGAAAACCAACCCTGACTTTCTGGATGCAATATCTGTTTATGTATCTTTTTAAAGTTTTGTTAAATATGCATCTCTAAGCTTGTGGTGCAGCATTTCCATGTATCCATGGAATCGTGCGAAGCGTAGATCATTGTCCTTCTTAGCCGAGACTCGGGTTAAGTTCTGTCTTAAAATCTTATGGGGATAGGAGTAAATCATCATGAGATTGGCACATCTTGTTGAGTGTGGAGAAACATGGATAGGATATCCACACCCACAAGCTTTGGAGTGGCTAGGCAATACTTTGTGAAAACGTAATGGTGAATGGGACTAAATAACATTTATTAGTGAATGTCCACTATCCACCCATAAAACAAATGAATTAGCCAACCAGGTCAAACTCTCATAACTCATCACCTCAACCACCCCCACATGACCAGCACTCTCTCCCCCAACATCTAGTCCATTATCAGGCAAAAAAGTAAGTCATGTTTGTCTCGCGTTTCGTGTCAAATCGTATCTTGTGAATAATTAATTTTGTATTATATTTAGATGAGTTCGTATTGACTTATTAGACGATTAATCTCACGATGACTCTAACATATTAAAATTTTAACTCATATTTTTTAATTTCGTATCAGAGTTCGTATCGAATTGACAAATTACANGTCACCTCAACCACCCCCACATGACCAGCACTCTCTCCCCCAACATCTAGTCCATTATTAGGCAAAAAAGTAAGTCATGTTTGTCTCGCGTTTCGTGTTAAATCGTATTTTGTGAATAATTAATTTGGTATTATATTTAGAAGAGTTCGTATTGACTTATTAGACGATTAATCTCACGATGACTCTAACATATTAAAGTTTTAACTCATATTTTTTAATTTCGTATCAGAGTTCGTATCGAATTGACAAATTACATAAACTTATAATCCCTAATCATTTTCACCCAAATCTGTCGCTACAAGGTGCAAGTAAAAATGAAACTATTTTGAAGTTGGGTATTAAGGTTTGAACCCTCTTGCCATGGTTTAACAATAATAATAATAAGTAGGGCCCATCCACAANACAAGGTGCAAGTAAAAATGAAACTATTTTGAAGTTGGGTATTAAGATTTGAACCCTCTTGCCATGGTTTAACAATAATAATAATAAGTAGGGCCCATCCACAATGAAAAAGAAGTATGAACACAAGTAGTATATTAGCTGTCTAAAACAATATAAAAGAGGGATAGGTTGAGAGCTGAGACTTTACTGACTCGTAAACTATCATTAGAAAGGTCCCTTGAATTGTTCTAACACAAAAAAGAAATAATTAAATAATTACAATGTTTAAATTTCAATACTTGAAGTTTTAACCACAAAACACATGAATTGGACTTTCTCTCTCTTTGTCTCCTCCTCTGCTTTGAAGTTTTCCTTGTATGTTTCCTAACACTTTTGACTTTGACTGCAGCTGCCAATGCAGACCATCCTACGTGTCCCATTATCATCCAGAAGTAGAACCAAAGCAAATTCGATCTATAATTGACACTACATTTATGGGTTTAAATTTAATTTTAATGAATTTTAGTAGTTTTTAAAAGAATATATTACACCTGTTTAATAAATAAATCGATATGTTACATATAATTAAAAAATAATATATATATATATATGACATAAACTCAATTATAAACCACTATATATATTGCTATTGGAAAAAAATAAAAAAAAAATAAGAGTAGAAGAGAGCGGCTAGAGAATATCCTNCTACATATAATTAAAAAATAATTTATATATATATATATATATATATATATATATATATATATATGACATAAACTCAATTATACACCACTATATATATTGTTATTGGAAAAAAAAAAAAAAAAAAAGTAAGGGTAGAAGAGAGCGGCTAGAGAATATCCTAATAAGTTTTCATTAATGGGATCAAAAGGTTCCTGATCGCACTCGTTACTTCTCTCAAGAAGGAACCTAGTCAAATTAACATAACGGTCAACCATCGAACCTTAATATAAACTTTAAAATTCAAACATTTAACCTTAAAATAAGAAATTCAATTGACACCCACTAAATTGTAAATAAATTAGATAAATTTTGACGTAACATCGTTCAAATACAACATGAATCCAATAAAAAAACGGTCTAATCACGTCACTATCTCCAATTTGATTTTTTTTGGCAGTAAATCGTCTAGAATAGAATTAATTTAAATAGGTTATATACGTAAATAATGAATAGTTTACAATTAAGTGAAATTAAGAAAGATGTATTAAAAAAGAAAAAAAAACAAAACGCATCAATCCCTTATCTGCCACGCGTTGAAATTAACCCACTCACCTAATAATAAGACAAGAAAAACAAAAAACAGTATTTAAACATGTGTTGTTGCCTCGCTGTTCCGATATCAGTTAAAATTGAGAGCAGAGCTCCTCAACGGCCCCGTCATCATCTCCTCCTCCTCCTCCTCCTCCTCCTCTCTCTCTCTCTCTCTCTCTCTCTCTCTCTCTCTCTAATTCAGCGAGGAGAAATGCCGTTCTGTAACGTCGGAACATACCAGAACGGCGTGGACGTATCTGGGAATAGTGGAATGAAGATTTTCTACAGAACTTACGGTCAGGGACCTGTCAAAGTTCTCATGATCATTGGTAAACAATCTGTGCTAATTCTATGGTTTTGTGAAAGGATTTTTTGGCTTAATTTTTTCTGGGTCGGTGATGGTTGTCGTGATTGATATTCAGGATTGGCTGGGACCCACAATTCTTGGTGTCCACAAATCAAGGGGCTCACCGGAACGTTGACTCCCAATGACAATGAATTGCCGGCCGGTGATCGGAGCTCAGATTTTGGGGACAATGAGGGTGGCAGCGGTGGTGTGGAGGTCTGTGCTTTTGATAATCGTGGAATGGGTCGTACCTCTGTGCCCACAAAAAAATCGGAATACACGTGAGTGTCGGCTAGATGGTAAAGATTATTTTTCTTTCCTGTAATTCGATGAAGTATATATGCATTGGAATATTGTTTGATGGGATGCGATATTATCGGATTTTTGGGCGATGAAACCAATTTCAAATGCTTTGGACAAAATTTGTGGGGTAGACGGCAATTTTAGGTCTTTAATTTCGCCTTTTAATCTGTACTATTTTACTCTGATTGGTTTCTGAGAAAACGCGTGAGAAATATGTTTCTGGACTTTGTAATTTCTTGGGTCTGGAAGATGCAAATTTCTCCTCATAAACTGAGCCTAATACAGCTATTGGAACCAGTTGGGCTGAGTTTTCGTTTGAGTAAGTTTGGAAATGAAGTTAAAGGATCAGGGTTTTTTTTTCCCACTTTTTCTCAGCTTCCAAACATAGGATATTTTTTTTTTTTGCTACAGGAACAGGATTGCACCGACTATCCCCTCAAGCTTAAGCTTAGGAGGTGTGAGAAGGATCGAACAAGAGGATGAACTAGACTATCCTGCGGAGATAGTCTTTAAGTAGGTTGATTTACACTTAATGTGCGGCTTTGTTGGTGCAGGACAATAATAATGGCAAAAGATGCAATAGCTGTTATGGATCATTTGGGGTGGGAAAAAGCTCATATTTTTGGGCATTCAATGGGTGAGTGCTTGACTCTGACCTTTCCAGTTGTTATTATTGACTTGAATTTCCAATTAACATATGGGGCCTTTTTGAATTGCTTGTGTGTTCTAGGACAGTATTTGCTCATTTGAATATTTTTGTCACGCCTTTGATATGACTTCATTTGTGAAATTCCAAAAGTGCTCCTTTGGATTTTTACTTGAGTAAAAGTTAGGATGAATTTAATATAATCTTGATCTTAAATATAAAAAATGGAGTGCATTATTTTTGGTTATTTTTTTACCTTATCTCTTGCTTTTCCTTTATAACCATACAGGAGCTATGATAGCTTGCAAGTTGGCAGCAATGGTACCAGATAGAATTTTGTCTTTGGCTTTACTAAATGTAACAGGTGGAGGTTATGAATGTTTGCCCAAGGTATCATTGCTATGAAACACTACCTGATTGTGTACGGTTTTAAGATTTTCAAATCCTAACGTTTCGGCCCACATCTCAATGACTTTAAACAAGTGCATCTTGAATGCAAATAATGTACAGAACATTAAAATTTTCAGTTCACTGAGCAGGAAAGAAAATTGGATTTTGATATAGAGTCCATTCTTATTTGGTTTTCCTCTGAATTTCCCATGTGACATTATATATTTAGCTTGATGCTGAGCTTATGTGAATAGTTTAGTTAAAATGTTTGATTTACTTAGTCATATATTATCTCCATACACCATGAAATGATGTTATTCGTGAATGTGTATAAAGAGACACACCCACCCACACACAATATACATACGAATGTACATGTTGCTTCTCCCCAAACTNCTGAGCTTATGTGAATAGTTTAGTTAAAATGTTTGATTTACTTAGTCATATATTATCTCCATACACCATGGAATGATGTTATTCATGAATGTGTATAAAGATACACACCCACCCACACACAATATACATACGAATGTACATGTTGCTTCTCCCCAAACTCAAATGCTTCATTTATGTTTTTCATTCTGGCCATATCCATGACATGTCATATCCTCATCTCACATCCATTCTATAGTCCGAAAGATTGTGATGCTCCATTGTACTGAAGATGAATTAAAAGCAATTAATAGTAGGATAAGAAGTTACCCTCAAACATTTAAGTTATTGTTAGTTTAGGAGGAGGGCAGGCTTTTCTCTTGGCGTTGCCCTGCAGCTTAACAACCAACCACATGCCATAAATCCTAGGCAGTAGAGGTGACTAGATGACCACTCAATTTCTTATCACACCTTAGATTCTTATCAATAGTTGACTATTCACCTTGAAAATTCTCTTTGGCAAATTCAAAATGGTGACAGCTTACATATGTGGAAGATAAGGTCCAAAACACCAAATATTTCTAAATCTTTTTTTTGACCTTCTCCCATTTTGATTTTTGCAACTAAGGTCATCCTTATCATTTGCCTTTAGGCTTGTAGTAGGGGTGTAGCTAATCCATATGATGNACTTACATATGTGGAAGATAAGGTCCAAAACACCAAATATTTCTAAATCTTTTTTTTGACCTTCTCCCATTTTGATTTTTGCAACTTAGTAGTAGGAATAGTAAACGGAAATCCGAACATCATCCCCACATCGATTAGGTATACTTGAAAGAGTAGCAGATCATGTTTGTGGTAAGCTGCACACCTGTCCTAGAGAGGCTCATATTCCAACTCTATTTTCTTCCATTACACTTCTGGATACTTTGCAGTGTTATTTGTCTGATTAGGAGTCACTCGTCAGTAAACAAATAAAATATAGTTGTGAGGTGAAAGAATCAACTAACATTTTACGTGCGAACAATCCAAGGAATAAAGTCAATGATGAAAACATCCATTCTTGTAGAATGTCTAGACTCTAAACCCCTAGGAGATAATGTCAGTTTCTTCTCTGACTTGTGTCCATACAATTACAAGAGACCTTACGTCAGTTAGGCAGTCGAACTATAGTATATGAGTAGTATGCCTNCCCTAGGAGATAATGTCAGTTTCTTCTCTGACTTGTGTCCATACAATTACAAGAGACCTTACGTCAGTTAGGCAGTCGAACTATAGTATATGAGTAGTATGCCTGGTTAGAAAGCAGCTTCAGCTCATAATGCTACAGTTGCTGCCTTATATTTCATTTGACTCTGCAAATGGGAAACAAATGAGCTACTTGAACAAACTACTGCAGCGAAATCATTAGTATGGCATGCAACAAACGANGGCAGTCGAACTATAGTATATGAGTAGTATGCCTGGTTAGAAAGCAGCTTCAGCTCATAATGCTACAGTTGCTGCCTTATATTTCATTGGACTCTGCAAATGGGAAACAAATGAGCTACTTGAACAAACTACTGCAGCGAAATCATTAGTATGGCATGCAACAAACGATGAAATGTTGAAACCAAGCAGGCGCAAACCGCTGCCACATATGGGGTGTTACACATGATAGCTTTCAAAATCTTGGCATGTGGATATATGCACGGTTCTATATTTACATTAAGGAAACTTAACACGTTGATGGCTTGCGTGTCTGTATATGTGAAGTACTTTAAAATATCTTGATACCGGCCATTATGTGATAAGGGGTGGGTCTTGCTTGGAGCATAATACATCATGATTAACCCACAGTGGTAAATTTTATTTGATTCTTACAACCATAAAGCAAAATCCAATCTGTTCTAATAAGTTAAACAAGTGTATTGGCCAGCCAATTGTGAATTGAGGCTGAAAAAGTATATTAGATGTAGATGGGTGCATGTGGTGTAAATACCCAAATGTTTCTGCAAATGGAACTTATGCATGATCCATATGTGGTCCATTTGCATGATTTGGGTGCCATCACCATGCATAAGAGTAGAATTTAGGATTAGATATGAAGTAGTACAAGTGTGACAGAAGAAAGTTAAGAGTTTTTTTTGTCTAATTCGACACAAGATGTTGAANGTATATGTGAAGTACTTTAAAATATCTTGATACCGGCCATTATGTGATAAGGGGTGGGTCTTGCTTGGAGCATAATACATCATGATTAACCCACAGTAGTAAATTTTATTTGATTCTTACAACCATAAAGCAAAATCCAATCTGTTCTAATAAGTTAAACAAGTGTATTGGCCAGCCAATTGTGAATTGAGGCTGAAAAAGTATATTAGATGTAGATGGGTGCATGTGGTGTAAATACCCAAATGTTTCTGCAAATGGAACTTATGCATGATCCATATGTGGTCCATTTGCATGATTTGGGTGCCATCACCATGCATAAGAGTAGAATTTAGGATTAGATATGAAGCAGTACAAGTGTGACAGAAGAAAGTTCAGAGTTTTTTTTGTCTAATTCGACACAAGATGTTGGAGTTTAGGAAATTCCCCATACAAAGCTGTTTATACATTTGTCTGTTCTGTGTATTTTTGACTTTTCTGAATGGAGTTTTATAAATTGATGATTTCTCGTATTCCTTACCGTTAGTTCCTCCTAGCTTTTGGATTTCTTGCATTTGATATGAAGTTAATTTCTTTTTAATTTCCAATAGAACTGTCTATTGTTCACAGGAACATTAAAAAAAAAACACACNTTGTCTGTTCTGTGTATTTTTGACTTTTCTGAATGGAGTTTTATAAATTGATGATTTCTCGGATTCCTTACCGTTAGTTCCTCCTAGCTTTTGGATTTCTTGCATTTGATATGAAGTTAATTTTTTTTTAATTTCCAATAGAACTGTCTATTGTTCACAGGAACATTAGAAAAAACACGCGCNCTCGGATTCCTTACCGTTAGTTCCTCCTAGCTTTTGGATTTCTTGCATTTGATATGAAGTTAATTTCTTTTTAATTTCCAATAGAACTGTCTATTGTTCACAGGAACATTAAAAAAAAAACACACGCGCGCGCGCGCACACATACTAATGCTTATTAGAACTTTTCACTCAAAACTCATTCCATTATATATGGTCTTATTATTTTCCTTTCTGCAGCTTGATCGTCAAACTTTATCCATTGCACTTCGTTTTCTGAGAGCAAAAACTCCTGAGCAGAGAGCATCTGTTGACCTAGACACCCACTACTCACAGGTTGTTGGCACTTTTCATCGTATTTAACAGTTCTTGTTTCATATGCCTTGAAATGACTCAACACTTTTTGAAGTAACTAAATAGAATATCCTCTCTCTCTCTCTCTCTCTCTCTCTCTCTCATATTNAGTTCTTGTTTCATATGCCTTGAAATGACTCAACACTTTTTGAAGTAACTAAATAGAATATCCTCTCTCTCTCTCTCTCTCTCATATTGTGTGTGTGTGTGTGTATGTTGGCCTTAAAGCTACCAATTCTGATTATAAGTTGAAGATGACATCTAACAACGTAACACTTTGTCTTGATATCATTTTAAATTCAAAAACCATATTAGAGTCTGTTATCCATCAGAAATTGTTTAAACAGTTCATTTCCAACCTGATGAATATTATTGCACGATTTTGTGGCTGTTTGGTAACTTGTGGAGTTCATGTTATCTGCTGTTCAGGAATATCTTGAAGAATATGTAGGAACTAAAACAAGAAGAGCGATCTTATATCAAGTAAGAAATACTTAGCTGGTCAAATTGTACATGTGATTATGATATTTGCAGTGAATGCCAGTAAATATGAGATTACTATATCAAGGCTGAGATGGCTTTCATATATTCAGGCTAGTTGCCCTTTCTGAACTCTTTTTTGCAGGAATATGTGAAAGGCATATCGGCAACTGGGATGCAGTCAAATTATGGTTTTGAAGGTCAGGTTAATGCATGCTGGACACATAAAATGTCACGAACTGAAGTTGAGTCCATCCGCGCTGCTGGATTTCTAGTATCAGTCATTCATGGCAGGTAGGTACTTATACTTCTGAAACACCACTCGCAATTGTATGCCAGAAAAATATCTGTTCTAAAGATTGACGAGTTTTCTGAATGTGTAGGCACGATGTCATTGCTCAATTACGCCATGCCAAGAGACTCGCAGAAAATTTCCATCCATCCGCTAGAATGGTTGAACTTCATGGAGGACATCTTGTGAGCCACGAGAAGACTGAAGAGGTATATAGTATAATGAAGTTGGCCATTGAATTACTCACATGGAAATATTAATGTGGAATCTGAACAATAGTAAAGGAAGTATTGAGAAATTACTTAATAAAAAGTAAAATTACTCGAACATGAATTTGAGAGGAAGTTAATAATGACTCATGCAGAAAGTGCATTCCCTATCGTTTTGCAAACTTGCAGCATGCTATGAATCATTCTGGAAACTCGGGATGACAATAATTACAAATTTGGATCAATCGTAATTCCATAAATTATTACATTCTTTTCTCTTCTTGGAATGCAGTTTCTGTGATTATATCTAATTTACCATGCTCGACAGAGGAAATTACAATTCAATCTGTCTGACGTGTGCCACACAAAATGCTGATGCCTTTGTACACATCTGTGAAACAATTCATATCAGATACTAGAAGCTGAATGAGAAAACGGGCACAAGTTGACTAGCAAACTAGTTGTGGACCCGGTACCTTGAAGCATTTATTAAGTGTCTTCTTGATGATTGATGCATCTTAGAACAGTAATGAGTTGGAAATTGACCAAGAGACAAACGATTACAAATTCATGCTTTACTGAAATGAATATACAAAATGCCATATAAAGGCAACTTTGAAATTTTTTAGGTACAATGCTTAGTGCGTCTGCAATCCCTTGTGAAATACTATCAGGAGGGCACATTTTTTGAAATTTTCGTTGTTGGAGTACAAATGCATGCTTGGTTGTCATGACTTCAAAATTTGTTATTTGACTTGTTTAAAATGAAAAAAAAAACTATAAGAATTACAATTCGGATATTTCATAGTTCAATAAGGCATAAAAGGTTCTTTCGCAATTTGTTAACCCTATGATGTACGCATTTGCTAGAGATTTTTCATTATTGTTGATTCGATTCCTCGTACTTTTTTCAGTAAACATTGTATACATTTGCATTAAAACCTGACATTTGACTAGATTACCTGGAGCATTGACATATGCTTGTTAATTTTATTGTAAACTTAGGTCAATCATGCACTTCTTGAGTTGATCCAGGCATCGGAAAAGAAGTTAAACCCACGTGAATGGACTAATTTGTCCAAGAAATGCTCTGGTGAGTACTACAGTCAAGGTGGACCTTTACACAAGTTTGTTTCTGTTCNGGTCAATCATGCACTTCTTGAGTTGATCCAGGCATCGGAAAAGAAGTTAAACCCACATGAATGGACTAATTTGTCCAAGAAATGCTCTGGTGAGTACTACAGTCAAGGTGGACCTTTACACAAGTTTGTTTCTGTTCCACTTCCATCCTCCCCTCCCCCTTCTTTACCCTCTGTATGGGTATTAATGCATGGGACCATCATTTTCACATGCTATACGAGGCTCAATTGCCTAAGAAACTGTACCATGAAGCTTCCTGAATTTCATGTGGTATGACACTGCGAAGGTGTCCAGGCTGGTAAATTTCCTTCAGCCGACCCCATGGACGCCATAGCAACTGGTGGTTATTGGTTATGGACCTTACCCTCTGATTAGGCTGTCAGTTTTTGAAACAAAGATATCCTTCCAATATTCTCAAAGTGAATTCCAGACTCTGCATGCATGCTATGAATTCCTTATTTTTCTTTTTTAAGATTTCTTCCGAAGAATATCCACCTTCCATGTGTTAACGATTGCTGTTCTTTTGTCAGGATGGACAGTGATGAAGATATCCTTCCTCAGAAAAATTTCTGAGGGAGGAAGCAATGTGTCTTTTCCTGTTGGCATTGTAGAAAAGCTACATATTTTCGTAGTATACTTTTTTGGTCTCTTTGTGCTAGCATTTGAGCATGTACGAAGAGCTCTAAGAAGTCTAAAACCAGTTAGAGTGGGAGCTGCCCTCACATAAGTTAAATCTGATGAAGCCTCTTTATTTACTGGGTAATTCAGCTCATCATCCTCTCTAACTGATGTTAAATTACATGTTCAAAAGCATGTCTATTATAGTTCTTAACCGTCGTGTCTTTTCTTTTTCAGGGGGAATTTTTAACTGTACGACCCAGAAATGAGGCTCATCTTGATACAAGCAGTCTGCCTAGTAATGCAAACTGCAATGTATAATGAACAAAGACTACAGGGTGGCTGATACAACCAGTCTGGCTGACAAGATAATAATTTATATACCATATTGCTTCCTGAGTGCAACTTAGGTGTGGAAGAAGCTGAAACAGCCCACAACTGAGACGGTACTGGTACATGGTTCAAAAGGAGTGACCAGCAGAGAGTGGATAGCTGACGTCTGTCTCTCGCTGCTTTTTGTTTCATTTATACGACGCCAAAGTNATTGCTTCCTGAGTGCAACTTAGGTGTGGAAGAAGCTGAAACAGCCCACAACTGAGACGGTACTGGTACATGGTTCAAAAGGAGTGACCAGCAGAGAGTGGCTAGCTGACGTCTGTCTCTCGCTGCTTTTTGTTTCATTTATACGACGCCAAAGTGCGTTTTGTTATGAATGAATCTCATTTTTACAACTTCTTTGGTTTTTGAAAAGACGATGATTATTTTCATTCAACCTTTCAAATACATGAAAAAAAATTTNACAACTTCTTTGGTTTTTGAAAAGACGATGATTATTTTCATTCAACCTTTCAAATATATGAAAAAAAAAATGCAGTTTATTGCATCTTCGTTTGCTATGTACACCTAAAAAGTTCTGATGTGAATGTTTGAGCTGAAAAATATGCACCAACTATTCTGATTGAGAAAGTGAGAGATGTAAAGCGTCTAATATAAATGTTTGATTGAGCAGTGAGTGATAAACTTTTGTTTTGATGGTGAATACAATGACACTCCTCCTTGTTTGTTTCTGACATTTTCACTGCAACAAGGACCCTTGTTGAAAAGGGTGTCAATATACCGAAAGTCGGTCTTAATCATATTCAAGTCGTCTGATTTTAAGTTTTTGTCATTTCGTGTAATTTCAAATTCGTGTCGTATTTCGTGAACTAAAAATTGCATAAATAAAATTTCTTTTTCTCCACATCCNGGGTGTCAATATACCGAAAGTCGGTCTTAATCATATTCAAGTCGTCTGATTTTAAGAAGTTTTTGTCATTTCGTGTAATTTCAAATTCGTGTCGTCTTTATTTCGTGAACTAAAAATTGCATAAATAAAATTTCTTTTTCTCCACATTCTAATACAAAAAATGGAAATATAAATTGTCTCACCAATACTTCATGCAAAAAGTAAATGAAAATTTTAAAAAAATAAAAACAAATATTCTTTTTAAAATTGCTTGAAATAGATTTTACCATATCAAAATTTGATTCTCAATATTTATTAATCTGTCTCACAATCATACTATTTATGGATTCATGTCGTATTTATGTGTATGAGTAATACTATTAGGACCTAATTTATTAATATCAAATATTAAAACTTAGTATTGACCTAATTGTTCCAATGAAATTATATCATTAAATTAAATTTTTAGGTTCAAGTCACAAATTACCAGATTTGAATGAGTCTAAATATATCAAAAATAAATAGAAAACACATGCCCATAAGAAATTCAAACAAACACATGCGCTCAGTTGCATACCAGATTGAATTTGCGAGGCTCTGATATCAGATTCATCATGCTCAAACCAACCTGCAGAAACACAGGGAGAGAGAGAGAGAGAGAGAGAGAGAGAGAGAGAGAGAGAGAGAGAGAGAGAAGTGATCTTAGGTTGTTAACTCTTTTTCGTTGTACTTAGTACTAACAAAGGACTAAACAAAAAAAACAAAAAANACAGGGAGAGAGAGAGAGAGAGAGAAGTGATCTTAGGTTGTTAACTCTTTTTCGTTGTACTTAGTACTAACAAAGGACTAAACAAAAAAAAAATATGAAAAGGAAAAGACCCAACTGGTATCAGCTTGACATGTTCATCTTCCTATTCGAGAGAGAGAGAGGGAGAGAGAGACGCCTGATACTGGTTGGGAGAAGAACATACCTCATGAAGACCGTGAGAGAAGACAAACCAGAGAGAGAGAGAGAGGGGATGAATGATCATTAGAATTGGGTTGGTGTCACTGATAAAAATGATACTAGCTGGACCAATCGGTAATATACCATACGAATATTCTAATATGCTTACATTATACAATAGAGTTTCACTAGCACAAGACAATCCATGTCACCCAACCAAACATTCATAAAAAAAGAACAAAAGGGGTTAGCCTATAATAATGAATGATTATGTACAAGTTGCATTTGACAATATCCCCAAAAAAGTATTTTTATCATTAAATTTATTGTCATAAAACCTTATTTTATTAAAAATATACGATCAACAATACATTCAGATATGAAATAATCAATAAAGATTATGCTATATTAGAGAGTGGAAGGATATCTCTCTATTTACATTGACATAAAAGGCAAGAATGAAGAATCGACGGTCAAACCATGCATCTCGAGCAATGAGTTAGCTTAAATAAAAAGAATACACTCAATTAAAAAATTATAATTATAATTAAAACTAGATTGAGATTTAAAAAAAGAGTAAAAAAGAAACAAGATATATATNATACGATCAACAATACATTCAGATATGAAATAATCAATAAAGATTATGCTATATTAAAGAGTGGAAGAATATCTCTCTATTTACATTGACATAAAAGGCAAGAATGAAGAATGGTCGGTCAAACCATGCATCTCGAGCAAAGAGTTAGCTTAAATAAAAAGAATACACTCAATTAAAAAATTATAATTATGATTAAAACTAGATTGGGATTTAAAAAAAGAGTGAAAAAGAAACAAGATATATATTTATTCAAAAATAAAATGGAAGTCATCAATAACAACAAAAAGTAGAAAGATTTAATGCTATAAACGGTAATGCAACTAATTTCTACCCAGAAAAAAGGAGGGGTGACAATTTTTGACACAATAAAAAATACGATTTGAAATTGATACGAAATTAATGGATTAGAGTTAACTATTTCTCGACACGAATAATAAATGGATTATATTAGTGTCAAATATAAAATTGACACGATTAACATATTTAAGTAATATTATAAGAATAAAATATTTTTTTTTATATTTTATTAAGTAGTGACATGATTCTTGTATAAAAACATATATTTTTCTATTATATTTATTAAGTAATTTTTTATCTTATAGAAAAAGTATGATAATAAATTCGATTAAATAATAATAAAATTTTAAACATGAAACTAAGTGTTAAATTTTTTATTCATAAATTACATAAATCAACACGAATATGACATAAAAATAAATCGATTGATACGACACGACATAACTAATTAAAATTGATTAGTATTCGATACAAACTCGAAAATAGCACGTCACTCTATCGTCACCCTGAAAGAGAGTGAAGTCCCGACCCGGAGGACCCGGTTGGAGGTCTCGGTTGATTATAAACCCGGACGACCCAACAAGTTGCCCTAGCCCTAAATTAGCCTTCTGGTTTGGGGGGTCGTCGAAACAAAGATGGAAGCCGTTGCTTCGGACGTGAAAACAAATAGCCAAAACCTCATCTCCCAATGGGAATTCAGCTGGTCTCTCTCTCTCTCTCTCTCTCTCAATATATTAACGTGTGTGTGTACTCGGATGTGTTCTACTAGGTTGATTTCTCATCCAAATATGTGTATGCAAGTTCTTGGCAATTAGTCAGTTTTGGATTCATTTACATTTGTTTGTGTATTAATTTTTATCTGCTATGTTCATATTGGTCCGTTCCACTGAGTGAAATATCTTTCATATTCTTTTATTTGAATTAGATGGAATGATTTCCTTTACGCTTATGTTTGTAGCTGACATAAGCTATAAAAGATTGCAAATTTATCAGAACTGCTTAACTTTATCTCAAGAGTAGGAATCTCTCTATGCCATCTCGAAAGTTTGGTTTGATTTGATTTGATTTGAGGATGCCATGCCAGTAATGATTTCTATCGACAAAGCAAAAAAAAAAAAACACCAATTCAATAACCCCCATTTTCAGAGATCATTAACATGACCACTAGAGATCTTACGCAGGCTTATACTGACTATTAGGTACAATTCCTTGTTATAAATATCAGATTGAGCAATTTCAGAGTAGTAGCAGTCTAGAATAAACATATATGTTAAAAGTGTAACGCCCTCTATGCACAGTTTATCATGCTATACAAGATTGGACCACCATAAAATGTATTATAAAACCAGTGTCATACAGGACAAGCATGTGACATGCGAGGAATATCTACTATGAGTTATAGCTTAAGAAGATGTTAGCAGCCAAGAACTATAAGCATGCCCCTGTTCATGGTTACCGTTCAAATACCAATAGAAGTCCCAGTTCAGCCTCCATCCTTGCTTTATTGCAAACCCGAAATCCCTACCATTCTTCCACTCTTTCTAGCAACAGAACAAGCTATTATCAGCCCCAAAGATTCCTTTTCTCTTCCAATGCCTGCATCAAATTTTGGTATCATCATTTGTCATATGAGAGTTTCCTGCACTTGTTATTTATGACGCTTATGATTGCAAAATTGGGTAAAATTATTGGATAATAGCCAAATGCTAACATATATGTGCGTTTTGGAAAGGATGTTGATTTGGAAACTTTTGTTTTTTTCCTTTCAAGTTTTAGATGTATCTCGAGTTATTGCTTGGTGTTAGCATTGACATATTAACAAATTGCAAGCAAGCATACATATCCTTACTGTTCGCACGATCACTTTTTTTTTATGTAAAATTCATATAGTGTTCATGGAATATGAGGACTAATGTCTTCTTAACTGACTCTATTTTTCTTCCATGGCGAGGCATGTTATGCTTCTTGTTTAACTGGTTATAATAATTTTTCTGCAGTGACTTTGAAGTAGATTATGAGTCTGAGGAAAATGCCCGCATTGTCTATTCAGCATTGGTTGTTGATAAAGAGGTAATATCTCATGCCACTCTAATCATTCTGCTCGAGTTCTTATTTGATTGACTAGATTCTTACTGAAGTTTCTATTCAATTGCAGTTACAGCCAGACAAAGTGAAGAGGCATATGTCAATCTCTAATGGGAAGCTTTCAGTGTCAGTTCCTTTCAATCAGCTGAAACCTTATTCAAAAACAAGTTTTTACGTTTTCTTTTTCGAGAAAATTGCTTGCTAGTATCCACATGGCCCACGACATAACAATCCTTGATGTGTGCCACAATGAAAAGTAGTAATTTCTTTTTTTTTTTTTTTTTTTCAATTAAAGTACTACTGATCGAAGTAAATAGGCAAGATTTTGTGTGCCTTGCCTAAGATTTTAGACCAAAGGTTAAGGTTAGCTTATTGTCAGTAAGTCATTCTTCTACCTTGATCAATTGTTTCTCCAAGATCATTCATATGAATCAAATAATAGAGACCCAAAATCCTGCTTGTTCTCAATTTTCAGAGATCTATCCTATTGTCAAATGTTAGAACTACAGTATCAAATAGTGTCAGTATCATGCACTGAAACATAATGTAGGTTAGATTCGTTTGCAATTTCAAAAACTTGTTGATAGCCTTTGTTTTGGCAGTTTAAACGTTGCTGTGATGTTTCAGTGTTCTGTCTAATCACTGCTTCCTCATTTTTTCCTGCAGGCATTTTGAAGCAGTTGAGGCAAGATTTCTCCGTGCATCCTTTAGTGCTTTTGTGGATGTTCTCACACTCGCCACAAAAACTATTGAAGAATTCGCTCAAGGGATCATTCTGTGACAGTCATGTATACAATTTCTAAAGCTCCATCAAATGAGTTCTAGTTCTAACAAATATTTAGCAGTTATCAAATTTTATCGCTGGTTGTAGCATGACTTTGGCTCATTTTCTGTCTGGATGCAATTTGTATTTTCAAGGAGTAGAATTGAATTTCACTATATGAAATGAAGAATGAAACTTGTCTAAACTTGTAGACAGAAATTGAGAAAAAGAAAATGTTAGGAATCAAAATCAGAATCAATGTATACTGAAATGATAAATAGTATATCAACCCTTATTTATAAATTATTGTTTGGCTGCATGGCATTCTAATGCTTCAGAAGGTTTTTCCATGGGAAACCGTTGGAAAATGTCTGTTTTTACCATGGGGTAATGGTTGGTCTTGATTGTATACAGTGTTTGTTTGGGAAGTGGTTCGAATGTAGGCTATACCACTTGAACTGTCAGCTATCTTTGGAAAACCTGTGAACTTCCTATTATTTTCAGGAATGGGGGAAATTAAAGGAATCAGGTTTACGTGAAAATTGCTTGCAATCAATTCATAAAATGATGTCTATTATAATTTACATCACCGTTTGATCATAAAAAAAAAAAAATTGGTACATGGCAACTTACGCTTAGAAGATCAAAGAAAAGTAAAATTGCACTATAACCATGAAATAAGCAAGTTTTTGGTAAATTCATCCCGCTTACAATGACTCTTCTCTCATCTCTTTTCCTCTTTTATACTATCATTAGTATTCATCTAAGTAGGTATATAGCGTCTCATCTTTCTTTGACTTGCGTCGGCTGAGTAAGGCCTTAAGGAGCCTTTTACTTTTGCTTGGGTATTGTTCAATTTCTTTGGGAGTTCCTCTGTCAGCATGGAGCCGCATTGAAGCTGATTTCCGAGGCTCTAAAGGATGATACTGGTAAAATGAATCAACATCCAAACATTAAGACACAAGAAATAAGAATTGAAATATGTAAATCTTAGCAGGTCTGAAATGATGGGTGGAGTGTTGTTCTGTTGTAGAATAACGAGGATGGATCCAATGGTTACCTGTTGTCTTCCAACAGAAAAACTTGGAGTGGTTGGCCGACTCGAATTTGGGGTGGTCGGCCTCGAACTTTTTGGGGTGCTTGGCCTACTAGAGAGAGATCCAGAACGTAAGAGAGGAAACCGACGTGGTGAAACAGTTCGTTTGTCTGGGATTCATAAGCATCGACCATTGAACATTGGGAATGAGAAGTTAGAAAATGAGAATAGCATAGAAAATGTTAATAGTGCAAAAAGAGGTACTCAAGATGCAAAATTGATGCATTCAAACCTAGTTCTTTTTTGGGCATGGTGCCATTGAACAAGAAATTTCCAGGTTGTTTGGAAAGTTGTGGAGAAGGAGACGGGGAGCGCCCTTTTCTGCATGGCATGTAACTTAGCATATTAATGGCATGGAAGTGCAGGCATGTGAAGGTAAGAATTTGGTGCACCGTGACAAGGAACATCAAAATTTACCCAATAGTAGATGGAGTTTCTGTAATTGTAGCTCGAACAGCTTTGGCAAAACAATCAGCTCATAAATTAGATCAAATTACACCAAAATCTTGCTTCAAGCGATAGAAATGATAGAAAATAAGAGTTCCAAAAAGGAATGCTACCATTTCTAAATTGATGCCAGTCATCTTCATCATCGAGGCTACATCCTTGGTACTTTGATTTCGTGCGGATGGCACCATGCATGGTCTCTCCAACTGCACATAAAATTGGGCATTCGTGAAAATAAAAATGAAGTATATATCTTTGTCTCTTTAAATATATATACAGTATAAACAAAAGATAAGAAATATCTCCACCAGAATATGGTATAACAAGAAGATAGTAGTGTGCAATTGCCTGGCAAGATGTATCGCTTATGGTACTTGGGTGTATTTATCACCAATGATTGCTGAGAAAGGCCCTCTCGGTCAATATACTCCTTGCATGTCCGTAGCCTCTAAGATATGAAGACGCAAGGAAAAATTATCAATATAACTNATCTTAGCAGGTCTGAAATGATGGGTGGAGTGTTGTTCTGTTGTAGAATAACGAGGATGGATCCAATGGTTACCTGTTGTCTTCCAACAGAAAAGCTTGGAGTGGTTGGCCGACTCGAATTTGGGGTGGTCGGCCTCGAACTTTTTGGGGTGCTTGGCCTACTAGAGAGAGATCCAGAACGTAAGAGAGGAAACCGACGTGGTGAAACAGTTCGTTTGTCTGGGATTCATAAGCATCGACCGTTGAACATTGGGAATGAGAAGTTAGAAAATGAGAATAGCATAGAAAATGTTAATAGTGCAAAAAGAGGTACTCAAGATGCAAAATTGATGCATTCAAACCTAGTTCTTTTTTGGGCATGGTGCCATTGAACAAGAAATTTCCAGGTTGTTTGGAAAGTTGTGGAGAAGGAGACGGGGAGCGCCCTTTTCTGCATGGCATGTAACTTAGCATATTAATGGCATGGAAGTGCAGGCATGTGAAGGTAAGAATTTGGTGCACCGTGACAAGGAACATCAAAATTTACCCAATAGTAGATGGAGTTTCTGTAATTGTAGCTCGAACAGCTTTGGCAAAACAATCAGCTCATAAATTAGATCAAATTACACCAAAATCTTGCTTCAAGCGATAGAAATGATAGAAAATAAGAGTTCCAAAAAGGAATGCTACCATTTCTAAATTGATGCCAGTCATCTTCATCATCGAGGCTACATCCTTGGTACTTTGATTTCGTGCGGATGGCACCATGCATGGTCTCTCCAACTGCACATAAAATTGGGCATTCGTGAAAATAAAAATGAAGTATATATCTTTGTCTCTTTAAATATATATACAGTATAAACAAAAGATAAGAAATATCTCCACCAGAATATGGTATAACAAGAAGATAGTAGTGTGCAATTGCCTGGCAAGATGTATCGCTTATGGTACTTGGGTGTATTTATCACCAATGATTGCTGAGAAAGGCCCTCTCGGTCAATATACTCCTTGCATGTCCGTAGCCTCTAAGATATGAAGACGCAAGGAAAAATTATCAATATAACTCCTCATTCCTTATCTTATAGCAAAAGGTGCAGTTGTACACATAGCTGGTATCTCAATTTAAGGAAATAATCAATACATAAAAATCTCGTAGAATTTAGGGAGACAGAAGATGTGTCCTCTTAGGTTGTCTGCATATACGCAGGCTACAGCTCCACATTGCATGATATCCAAGACCAAAAGTGACCAATAATTTTTTGTATGCATCTCAAATCCTCATTCCTTATCTTATAGCAAAAGGTGCAGTTGTACACATAGCTGGTATCTCAATTTAAGGAAATAATCAATACATAAAAATCTTGTAGAATTTAGGGAGACAGAAGATGTGTCCTCTTAGGTTGTCTGCATATACGCAGGCTACAGCTCCACATTGCATGATATCTCAGACCAAAAGTGACCAATAATTTTTTGTATGCATCTCAAATCCAGTATTACCATGTTTCATATCCCTAACTCATATCATGAGTGTACTTTAAAAATTTGATACGGGAATCTAATCGAGGTGAGAATGAATTTGCCAGCTCCATGCGTAAGGCTAGGAATCAAACACTAATTTTTCTGGTTAATGGTTTCAGGATTAGGTTTCACAGTGTATAACCAGGATGGTAATGTAATGTGTCATCCTATTCTTTTCAGATTGGAAGCAGCTCAACTTATTACTTTGTAAAAGTAGTAAATAACTTGAAAGCATGCAGATCCACCTGCTTTGCTTGTGATTCTTTCCATAACCATGTTTTGTACATTTTGTGATACTATCTACCGCAAAATTAGCCACTTTGTGCTACCACCTGCTTAGGGGACATTGCCCGGTGACATGATAAAATGCTCAGACTAACAACCACAACATTGTGGGTCCAAATCCAAGGGTAGCCACTTTGTGCAAGTAATGCTAAAAAAATTATATATAGCATGCGGGATGGCGCTAGGTCTGGAATAAGTCTTGTTTCAGTTAAGAACTACTTAAAGCATCCCTCAACAATCCATTGCACGGTGCACTTTAACGTGTGGCCTCAAGTGTTCCAGAGTCACACATACTCATAACTGTTGTTGGATTTCAGTAATTTATGGGATCTATATCTCCATTTTCTAGAATGAAAGGTACATGGTAGGGGAAGAGCATCAGCTCTGGCATCTTTCACGCATTAACCAGGTGGAACTGCACATCCTCTACAATAGGGAAAGCTCAATCATTCGCTGGATCTAGAGAATCATACCTCCTTGACAATCCAATTTTTTAATTTTAGTCATTGGTATGTTTATTCAGGATTTCAAAGTTAATGATTGTCATCTTCTTAAAGTAGCTAACTCTAGATCTGAATTACAAATTTACTTAAATAGAAAATCTTTTGAACAAAAACTTGATGCCCTTAATTAATCCACAAAAATGAGGCCAATATACCTGCTGAATGCAAGATACACGAAGCTCTGTTCCAGAAACTTCATCAACCTTTTCATCCAACAGATCATTAACCTTATATGTCACAGAGCCCAAATGATCCACAGTATTCACGAGAGCTTTAATGGCGTAATCTTTCAATGTATCCACCACTCTGTATGTGCAGAAATACTTTAGAGAGAGGGGGGAAAATCCCAGAAAACAATCAAGGGTGAAATTGAATAGACTAAGTTCTGTAATGAGTAACGAACTAACTCACGTTTGTTTTTGGTCATCATTGGTGTAAGATAACTCAAAATACTCAGCTGCCGAGTACAGTTGCTTTCTCAAATTCTTCAAATCCTAATGAAAGTATTGTAAAAGGAAGATGAAAGTCAAAATCATACTTTAGGACCCTCAAATTTCATAAGCTTTAAATACTCGAAAGATTATGGTCATAACAAAGCTGAAGATACACAAGCAACGTGCTTGGATTAACAGTTACTAGCTGTAAAAGAATATTCTTGTTTTTAAAATGGGAAGTATCATCAAAATTGCACTCTTCTATGATATTTCTATCAGATGACTTGGCATCAAATGATTAGTAGAACTCACTAAGGGACCATTTGCTCACAAGGTAATATAATCATTAATCTTGTATAAGCTCTTTGTTTTGGTCGAAGAATATAGATACTCCTAAGTGAATTCATATGTTACTATTTCAGGCAGTGACACAATGGTGAGGAAAAACTAGAGACATATTGTTCTACTCTCTGCATTCCAATAGTAACCAAACAGAAACAATGTTATTTCTTCAAAAAAATTGATGTCCTAAATATCAAATTTTATCTCACATTACTGAGATCAGTTAAAAACAAATTATTGTGTGTAAGAACATTGCAAAAGACTCCTGTAACTCCAATTGAATTGGTTAAAGAAGAAGAAATTTTGCAAAAAGAAGGACCCAGAAGACAAATCCAAGCACAGGAACTACAGAGTACCTTAAGACTATCAGAGAAGAGCAAGCTCTGCTGCATAGAAACCTCATCATAATTGGCCGGTTCTCGAGGGAGGCGGATGGAAGTAGATGAAGTGATTGTCTCCATGATGGAGGAACTGGTAACACAGACTTTACTAATCCTGCAAGAGTTATTGCTATCAGTATGAAAACACCAACCAAAAATATCTTTTAAAAAAAAAAAAAAGAAGGGTATTGTAATCCTTGCCCTATGTCAATTGATAATTCATTTCTAAACCCAAAATGGGCAACATCAGGAAATATGAGAGAGAGAGAGAGAGACTTGTGCTGCAAGCTGCAACAGAGATAGAATTCTAATTCTTGTTAAAAAGCAGCTACTGAACTGAAAAACAAGACAAACAAAAAGAAAATCAGAAAAAGCTTATTATCTCTTAAACTTGATCAATACACTCTCACATGTCAAAGTAAAAGTATATTCCCACATTTAGTAGTAAAATGATATTCAATCCTTAAAAACATCAAAAGCTGTAAAATCATTGATTAAAAAACCCCAATTTGGTTTCTGAAAAAACTAACAGCTATGGAACAAGATCAAATGTCAGGCTTATATTCCATGTTAAGGTTTCTCAAGAATAGAAAACCACCTTAACTTTCAAATACTCAAATTTCTTTCACTTTCTCAGGGACCCAAAATGACAATAGACAGCTATAAACAGGGAAATAATGAAGAGCCTAACCTGGTATTTCTTCTGTAAGAGCTATAAACCCCAAAACCGCTTCATATTTCGATCATACAGTTACACGAAAGGCCAAATGAGACATAAATAGACCCATTCACTGACACAGACTTGTGTGGCTTAGTAGTAAGATTTTGACTAAACCAAGAGAAAAAAGACAACTATAGTTCTGTGGGGCATTTGATTTGGGGAAGAGAAAGCTAGAAAATTGGAAGGAAAGTATACAGAGAAAGCAGAGGGAGAGAGTGGGAAAAAATAGAAGAAGATGGGGCCACATCAAGGGAAGCACGTTGGTCTACAGAGAGAATCCGGAGCATCTTAAGCTAAGTCCAACCCTTTTGGAGGCAGGAACTGGGCCTTTATGGCAACCCCAAAATCTCTTTCCAATCATTGCTGTTTAGAGGACGCCTACTCTCCCATAATCTCTTTTCTCTCTCTCTCTCTCATAGGAGAGTTTCTTGTTCGTAGAAGAGTCCTCATTTATCTGTGAGGGAAATTGGTATGTAAGGGTAAGAATTTTATCTTTAATATACAATATAGATACGTAAATAAGTCTACAAGTAAGAATATGTTTAACTCTATCGAATTATCATAATTTAAAAACTCAAACTCAAGTATTGCACTACATCGTAAAAATGAGAAATGTTATACTAATAAAAAAAAACGAGGGATAATAAAAAAGAATGATAGATCGGTCAAAAAACAGGATAAAAATTAAAGACCAAAAGAATTGATAATATATAATTATTTTTTAATTTTATTTTTTTAATTAAAAATTAAAATTTAATTAACATGTCAAGTTGCCGTTTATTTGAACTTTATTTTTTGCCCATTTTGTTGATTAGTCTAATATTACTTAGAGTAAGAATTCTTATCTTCTTACTAATTACTTGGTAACCAAAGAAGGTGTGGTATCAAAATTTATTATATTTTAATTTAAATATATGATTTTTTAGATTGAAATTTATCATAATACATTTAAGATCGATCGATTCTAATAATTTTAAGTTTGATATTAAAAAAAATACAACTTTCAATATTTAGTTATATTATTTTTTAGTCAAGTTATAAGGATTTCGAATGTTTGACAAAAATTTCAATGTTTTATAATCTGTTTGGATTTCAATTTCCCTAAACAATGGTGATTAATTGGTCGTTGGTATCTCCCTAGCTTGAAAGAAAATATAATTTCTAAACTACAAAGAACAATCTATATAGGCCACTAGATGTGCAATATAAATGGATTAAGAGGACAACTCATTTAAGATTAACTTCGACTTCATTCGTAGTCATTCTTCAATCCAAAGTATTATAATATGTAAAATTTGAATTCGATTTGAACTCAAGTTTTACATTCTCGCATTTAGATCTAATCCCATAATGAATTCAAACTTACTAATTTTGATTGACTTTAGGGTTCTAAAAACTGGAACCCCAAATTGAATACTGTTTGAATTTCAATTAGATTTAACTTTTCATCCAAATCCAACCATATATTCAAAAAAAAAAATTAATAATTAATTTTTTTTAATTAAACTCCAAGTGAATTTAAATTGACCAACCCAAAATCACACTTTTACATAGGTAAATTGGGGTGTTTTTTGTTTTTTTTATTCAACAGTTAAGGGTATTTAGATCAGATTATATGTATTTTTATTATTTTTTTCTCTCTAATTTAGCAAAAAGTAAATCATACACGTTAAAATTAGAATATTCATATAGGGTAATTACTTCATGACCTAATTTTAAATAATTATCAACATTCAAATTTAAAATATTTAGATTTAGGACTCGTTTTTATAACCTCTTAATCTTCCCTTAGTTTCTTTTGGTCCCCGGGTTGTTTGGATAGATTTTGGCAACACTCGATTGAGATTTGGGACCCGAACAAAATAGCGAGTCAAATGACTTGGCCCACGCGCGCTAATGGTTGTTCAAACTGATTGATCTCACCAATCCTCCACCCTCCTTTAAACGCACGGGAGACACTCCACTTTTCTCGGTTTTTGCACTCATTAAATAGAATGACGTAATTCACGCGCAGCTGAGGAGCGTGGTTTTGTGCCCGTTGTTTTACTTATCTCCTCCTATGTCCGGTGAGGTGGGTTGATTATGAATTTTATAGCGAATTTGTATAAAAATAATAATTTATTTATATCCGTTTCGTTTATTAATTTATATTTAATCAATTATGTTATATTACGTTTGTATCTTATATAATTAATATATAAACTAATAGCATCGTATATTTTTTAATTAATTTTATTCATACGTAATTCATTTATTAATTATGTTATGAATAATCAACTCGTTTATAAAATTAGTAACTTGATAACAAGTCAAATTTTTTAATTTTATTCCGTGTTCGTATTGTATTAATAGACTAGGGATAACTTGTGTTTAAAGACACAATATAATATGAATAATTTTTAGATGAATGCTCGTGATCGTTAAATGAATATATTTAAGGCCGTTGAATAAATCTATAAATTATGTTTTATTTTGACACTCTTCATTCTAACAATGTGAGGTTTTGATGTTGGAGGTGCATGCTCGTGTGTGGGGAGTGAGGAAAGATAATGATTAGAAAACGTGAACTTCGGGACACTCATGGGTGGGTCGCAATTGATGACTATAGAAGGAGTCGACATCATTCGATGTTACAAGTCTCATCCACACCACAGTACTGTTTCTCAATCATTTCACTATTCACCTACCCAGCTTTTCCCTCACAACTTTTTTTTTCTTCCCCAAATTATCCTTCAATTTCAAACCCAATATAAACCAATGGGAAAGACCCAATTACCCACTTTTATATCATATATAAAAAATTATAAATTTTTGAAGTTAAAATTTAATTTTTTAAATCAATCTCAAAATATTATGATTAATTCTAAAAATTATAATTTGTAAAAATTAAATTATAACTTTTGAAATAAAAGCCGCATATTTTATCGATACAATATAATATTTTTTTAACTAAACACCATACCGTCTGTTCCAAAAACAAAAGTCCCGGAACAGGAGTGGGGGACTGTCTTATACGCAGGCAAAAGCAGCACCAGCTCTATGAAGTCAAAATTTATTTTTTTTGGTTGGCATTCATTCGCGAATAAGAATTCAACGACGTGAAGCGAGTGCTTATAATTGTTTCACCAACTTCTTATTATAGCGCCTGTATTGTCGGGACGGAAATGAACAAAAAAACAATAATTTTCATCTTAGAATTTAAAACCTTAAATCTTTTGAGTTGAAATCATATTTGTATTGAGCAGATTAAACTCGAACAAATACTCTCATTAGTGTTTGTATTTTGTTATGAAATATTTAAATTTGTATGAACTATTCCGATGAATGTTGATTTTTATAACCCAATTGGGTTGAGAATGGGATTATGCATTGGCGATGAACAAAAAAAAGGGCGTTGAACATGGAAGCAACATGGGGCCCTCAATCTGTCACATTGCATGGTTCTTTGACATTTTTTATAGGCAATCCTTTTTAGGAAGGAATTTGAGTTTGAATCCATCCGTGATTTTAGGGAAGGGATGAACACATAATTCTGATTAATCTAATCCATCGAATCATTGCCGTGAATGGTGGGTGAAAGGGTCCCACTGAAAACTACAGTGATTGATTGGTCAGGTCAGTTTTCCCTGGTGCGAGCGACAACGTTTGGGCCGTAGTAGTTCCTTTCTTGGCCCTATCTAGGCCCAATTGTGGCTTGGGCCTATCTCAACTAAATCACCCGATGTCCAATCTTAATTTCTCATTCTACTTAATTTCCTTATTTGAACTTGTCTACCATACTCAAAATTTTGGTATCATACCAACATCTATAAAATAAAAAATGACATACTTTAATAAGTTTATTCGAAAGTCTCAAATAGATTAATCCAACAGTCATCAACATCTCTCTCAAAATCGTTCACATTGTACCGTGCTTTCAAACACAAGTTAATCCTAATTTATTATATTTTGTGGATGTTTTTTTCATTGTCGGGTTAACTCTAGTTTATCATATTTGTAAATATTTTTATCACTGTTATACTATCAAAAAAAAGTGATAAAAATACACACAAATGTGATAAATCACCTAACCAAAATGATAAGAGGTTCATGCTAGGTTTATTCACAATTACAAACTCTACAATTAAGAAAAAGGGAAGAACAAAAAAAAGGGCACCATGGAAAAGAGGTGTCCATAAGAATGACACCGCTATGTCTTTTGGACTCATAATTGATGGCCGATTACTAATAAAATCAAGCATACAAATATCACAAAATTTGATTAAAATTATGAACTAAGGGTTTTTACCTAAGCTAGTTAAAGTAAAAATATTTCTTTTTTTTACCGGACACTATCATATAGAGACGAAAATGACGAGATTTGAATTTGTAATTTTAAAATTCAATAGCACGGGGACGATGAGATTTAAATTTAGGGTCTTAAAATTCGATAGAGGGACAGTAATTTTTAGACCAAGTGCTATCCTCATAATAAAAATATCTGGAAAAACAAAAAAAAAATTATGAAAAATATAGTGCTAGTAATTTGGAGAAGTTCCATGAAAACTAGCTACCCAACCAAGACGTTTATTCTATGCGTGCGACGGTTTTCCCAACGGCCGCATTCCACAACGCAACCAATCGCAACTCATGGCGGCTCATAATGATATTAATACTCTCTCTCTCTCTCTATCTCCATCACAAATCCCCAAAACCAGGTTGTACTGGACTGGATTGAGAGATTTAATGTAAACTCATTTAAATCATTTTATTGTGTTATAGTTACTTTCTCAACCTCGTTATTTGGTCTGTAACCTCCCTCTTAATGACACATCTAATCTAATCTTCTCTTCTTGGGATGCTTGCATGATATATATATGTGTGAACATGAATAAACAAATTCCATTTTCTTTTTGTTAATTTAACAAGATTTGTGATCAGGAACATAAACTGATTTCTTAGACGAATATGAATATGATTATAAAATGTTTAAGATAATTTCTAACGCATCCCATAACTTCAATTGGATACATATATACACACACATGTTTATATGTGTGCGCGTGTGTATATACATGGCAGGTTGTAATGCCAATGCATTTGATCAAATACATGCAAGTGATTTACTATGGGATGGTATAAAAACATAAGAATAGGGCCAAAAAGATCGGGCCAACATGCAAATTCCTAAGCATATAACGAATGTACCATCAATTTTTTTTCCTTCTTGTTCCTATTTTTGATTAAGCTGAATTTGGAAAAAACAATTCTCATCAAAATATGAAGTTTTACAACCATTATTCCCCCAAAAAATTGCAAGAACAATGAATTTCATGCAGTACCAAGAACACATGCATGTCGTCATGTATGTACATACGTGCTTAATATAATTAGCAATTAATAGAGGTGAAATGATGCAGCCCCCCTTTTGTTATTGGTAATGTTCACTAATAAATACTACATTAAGTAGATTCCACAATATATATTGTAACTCCCACAATCGTGTGCACCAACTTCAACCTTACTCCTTTACAGTTTATATAAAAACCCTTAAATATTTTTTTGGGCCTCTCTCTCTATCTGATTCTCTCTCTTGCAATCTCTCTCTCTCTCTCTCCAAATGGATTCTACACAACTTAGCTTTCTAAAGGTGGAGACCCAGAATGAGTTTGACTGGTTCTACTACTTGGAAGAACCATCTTTAGGGTGAGGATGTGGTGTACTTAAAATTCTTATGTTTAGTTTGAATAAGCCTTCTGTTTTTAGATTTTTTGTTACCGGAATCGTCTGTGTCTTTTGGGCTCGTAAAGATAACCCTTACTTTGGATGCATGTAATCACAGACTAACCTTGTGCATCGAAATTTATCCTCTTTCTATACAGTAGTATAATTTATTTTTTTTCATTTTTCAAGTTTCTTTTAAGTCTTACATCTGATAGAATTATGTATTTTGTGCTTTTGTGTCTTCAGATTGATAGAACAACACTCAGCTTTCTGTGATAGCTTTGATAACTACATGACCAGTCTCTTTGACGTCAATCCATGCCTACTTCCTCCACAAAACAATCACCATCTCCATTTTGGTTTCGACGATTTTGAAGATATCAGCCAGGATTTCGGCTTCTGGGATCCTAACTTCCCATCATTTTATGAAGATACTGTTATTAATGCTAAGCCTTTCAATTACTTGCCTCAACATTTTGACCAATCTGATCACAAAGTTATCAGTTTTTCAACTGATTTCCCAGCTGCAATACATCATCAGAGAGAGTTAGCAAATGCAAGAGCAAAGGCAAAGATAACAAGAGAAAGCGTAAAGTCTAAGTCTGCTGCCTTAGAATTGGAAGAGATTCAGAAGTATTTTGATGTTCCGATAACTAAAGCGGCGAAGGAATTGAAGGTTGGTTTAACTGTGTTGAAGAAGAGATGCAGAGAACTTAACATCATGCGGTGGCCTCATAGAAAGATCAAAAGCTTGAAGTCCCTCATCGATAATGTTAAGGTACGTATGTGCATGTACTGTTTACCAAACAAGTTCAGGGATGTATGTACGTGATACATGCACGTTTGAATATACATTAGGTGGGAGAAGGGAAAATTTTTACAACCTGCAGTAATGTAAGTGATGTAATGTTATTTATAAGGTGGAATTTTTAAAGTCACATGTTTTCAATAACTTGAGTTTGTATTGTATTGAATTTGTTTTATATATAATTTTTGTTTAATCAAATTTGTGTCAACTAATTTATCGATTTAACAATAAGTCAATATGTTTATATTCTAAATCTATTGAGGGTAGAAACATAACTGCCACCTTAATATCGGTTTTGTGTTTGAATTGACTGGTCATGTTAAAAACTGCAAACTTCAAGTGTTACCATATTTCATGACAATGACTCCATGGTTCATGGGGAGGAGTTTGTATATATAAGTTGTGTTTAACTGACTTCATATCGGCTAATTTGTTAAACGGATTCAAGGTGGGTCAACTGCTTTATGTTTTGGAGAAATGGTTTTGTAGGAATTAGGGTTTACTAATGAGGTGGGGATGCTGGAAGAGCACAAGAGAATGGTAGAGAAGGTGCCAGAACTGGAATTGACAGAGAGAACCAAGAGGCTCAGGCAAGCCTGCTTCAAGGCCAATTACAAGAAGAGAAGGTCCCTGGCTGCTTTTGCTTGACGTGTTTTTTGAAGTTAGGGTTTTTTTTCTCTCTCTCTAGATCAGACTTTGAGGGTTAGTGGGGTTTGTTCCTAGTTTGTTTCTCTTTTGTAATTACCACAGAACTGTCCACATACACAGATGTGTTCTTTTTGCTATCTTAATCTCTTAACTTGGTTTTCCTTGAGAATTCACAATCTGTGTCCTAACTACTCAAATTTTGGCAAGGTTTTGAAGCTTGCAATGGCCGCAATATTCATTGCGGACAATGTTACAGTATTGAATCGAAAATTTACTATTCATTTTTTTTTATTTTAAAGTATTTATAACTATTGATAGTGAAGTAATAAATAAGATGAAACAAGAGTGGCCTTGCAATACTACCCCAAATCGGCCTTCAACAGACTTTTTTTTCACAAAAAAAATAAAAAATAATCGAATTCAAATACATAAATTCATAAAGCAATTAAAAAAATAAATCGGAATATCAGGTCAGCTTGTCAGGCCTTAAATTGGGCCAGACCATCGGGCCAAAAAGTATAAGCAAGCCCATGGTGCAATCTGCTGTGATGGACTATGTATGAACAATCATGTGCCAGGCCGGGCTGCCTAATCGGATAGTTAATCGGGCCACCAACAACCAGGTAAATTTCACTTTATACCATAAAAGTTTTAAAATTTCTAACTTCACTCTCAAAAATAATTTTCTCATATTACACCTTAAAAATAATAAACTGATACAATGTAATCCTCACACTAGCTTCAGTTATTATTTATGTCAAATCTTACCATACACGACACGAATGAATTAATAACGAATGTTAGTGTGAGGATCATGTTGTAATTATTTTATAATGGTAAGGGTAAAATTTGAAAAATATTAATTTTCAAGAGTATTAATTTTTAGAATTCCAAATTTCTTTTCTCCCTTAATTTCAATTATTCTTATCTTTCTTTTCTAGAGTCCCGCAATGAATAGGGGTACCAAAATATAACTTGACTCATTAATTCGATACGAAATTAAAAATTTTATTTTTTTTTAAATTATTCGTTTCGTAAACAAGTAAATTTGATATGATATAATTAATAAATAAATAAATTTGATATCTATATACTAAAGTAGATTATAATTTAAATTTCAAAAGATAAATAAAATAATTTTTGTTATTTGCGATTGATATCGTTTTAAATTTTATTTTAAAGTTAATATAATGGTTAATATTAACACCTTAAATTTAATAAAATAAAAAAAGGTTTCTAAGGGTGTGTTTAGAGTGACTTTTTAAAAGTATTACTTTAGAAATTATTTTTCATAAATATTTTTTAAAAAAATAATATTTGAAACCGCCCCACCAACGCCACTGTCATCGTCACCACCACTACCACTGCAGCCATCGCCACTACCACCACGGTCGTCGTTACCACCACCATCACCACCATCACCATCACCATTTTCGTCGTCGCCATCATCGCCGCCACCACACCACCACTACCGCCCCCCACCCCCACCACCACCACTATTGTCATTGTCGACGCCACCACCACCATTGTCGTCACCATAACTCTCGCTACAAACTGATGTTTAAATTTATTTATCTATTTTATATATTTGTAATTTGATTTTATATATGAATACAAATATATTTTTTATTATTCTATACTTTTAAGTATAAGCAATAGCTAGTTATCCAATAGATGATTCAATATATAATTTATACACGACATAAAATTAAATGAAGTAGATATAGATTTTAAGACAAAAAAATCCAACTCGACACCAACATGGCTCTTCTGACTCGATTGCCAGGCCTGGGTCCATAAATATCTCTCTTGTAAAACCGTTTATCACCACAGTCATCAGTACATTAAATAACCTTGACTCTGAGGAACTCACTCGCATCAAAACTAATCCTCTGGGTGATCATAACTAATACTTTCCCAACTTCTCATCACAGGCCAGCACTAAAATACGCCTGACACCTACGACATCGTTCTCTCTTGAACACTTCGAAACCCTAATTTTCAATTTCAGGATCGAATTTTCTCTCTTCCCCACCTCCCCTCTCCCTTCTAGTTTCCATTCATTTTACGGGTTTCATTTTGCTAACTTCAACGATGGTTGAATTGAAAACGAAAGAGATGTCCCTGCCGGCTCTCTTTGAGCAGGTTAGTAAGATTCATCTAGCGGCCTCTGAATCCAGCGTTGATCAGGTACCTCTATTACTACATGTATGTTTGNAGTAAGATTCATCTAGCGGCCTCTGAATCCAGCGTTGATCAGGTACCTCTATTACTACATGTATGTTTGTTCTTTTTTTTTCCCTTATTTTGTTTGATTTATTTACGTTTTGGAATTTTTTTTTATCGCGGTTTCAGGAAACTTTGAGAAAAGGTTGCGAATCTCTGAAAGAGTGCGAGGAAATGATTAGTAAGTTAGGGTTATTTTCCTCCAACGAGACGAAAGATGATATTAGTACTACAAATCTCAAGTACCTTCTGGTAATTACTTTATCCTAACCTGAAGTTACTGATGCTCATACTAACTAGTGTGGGAAAAGCTTGTAAAGTTTTGGGTTTCAAGTAATATCACTTGCTTTTTACGTAATTGTTAAACTTGGGTGCAATGAGACAGTTTGTGAGTTTTTAATGGCTCTTCATATAACTTACGGTGGCAATAGGAATCTATCATCTTAAAATAGTCTTTTGCTAGATGTTGTGGGTGTCTCATTATTACAATCAACTGATGGACATTGGTATTTCGAGAAAACATAAGACGAAGCATGACTTATGCTTTCTCTTTACACCGTTAGGCAAAATACTCTGGGATTAGTTAAGTGGAAGTTTTTGTTGCCTTTGGGTCTCCAACAAGTTTGAATGTGAGATTAACTCTCCTTTTCCTGCATTTGCTCATCAATCATCGAGAATCCTTTGTTTTTTGTCCATGATTGACATCATTTTCTGTGGCCTATCAAACATTTTCTTATTTTAAATGAACCAGTTAAATTAGCCTGTAAACAATTACTGTAAATATGTCAATGGCGGAGAGGAATCCATGTGGCCCATTGCTCAAATTTTCCCATTGCTGGTGATTAGAGGATGCCCGAATCGAGAAGAACCAATGAAATCAATTTGTACATCTTTACACAACACTTACTGGTGGCAGGTGGCTCACAAATGTAAGCAAGCACCTTGTGGGAAAGTGTTAGTGGGAATAGAGAGTGTATGAGATGGGAGACTCCATTGATAAGTAAATTTAGAAGATCCTGGCTAACAGATATATGATGTGGGGCACTTAATTCTAACCATCAAATGTGCCTTCAAAAGACAACAGGGCATTTCAAACTTTCAAACTCTTTGGGGGCTTTCTCCAGATTTTCTAGTTATTTAAAGTACAACGCTTGAGGATTATTCCCAATTGGTATCGTTTTTTGTGAATTTTATAATCAATTAGGTGGACTCTCACAATTCTTTGGTACAGGTGCCATTTTATCTGGCTGAGCTGACAGAAAAAATTGCACAAGATGATAGGATACAAATTCTTAAGGCTTCACAAGCAAAGTTGAAGGTGAATGTTATTCTATGCCTGGAAAATGTTTCAAAATCGAAGCCTTTGGACATGTTTTGTTGTTCAATTCTTCTTCTTGTCAGCAAACATGCATCTTGTATTAGAAGTCTCTAATTCTTGAGTTAATGTTTAGTTTTCTAACGTGGCTATATTTTTAGGAATTCATTTCCTTTTGTGAAGCAAAAGAGCTTGTACCTGAAGAGGAGTTAGAAATATCTACCCAGGGGGGTCCTAATTCTTTTGTGGATCGAAGGGCTAAGAAGGTAGCTTCAGGTTATGCAATGTGCTGGAATAAATGCTAGTCTAGGTTCACGCTTTTGCAGTTCTGTGTTGATTCGATTCTCAAACCTAAAATTGGGTAAATTTTGGAAACTGCTAGTTACATTGCACTGTTGATTGTATTCATGCCTTCAGATTGCTCGGTTCAAAAGGCAAAAAGCCGCAGAGTCGAAGTTGCTGGAAATAAAGGAGCGGAAGGAACGTCGTGGTCGATCAACTAAAGCATCTGCATTATCTACTCCTATTGAGGCAGGGGAGGAAGATGCGCTTGATGATGATGGGGAAGAAGAAAGGGAGGTCAGCTATAGTTTTTATGAATTATATAATGAGCTTTATATTTTACCTAATTTATATTCTGCGGGGTATCACAATTTGATTAGGTGTAGTCTGTTGTTTGTAGCGATTAACTCCAACACATGACCTATCATATAACTGCCTTTTGAAACCCTCTCCCCTCCCCCAGCCCAACTTACACACACAAACACAAGGAAACAGAAAAGAAGAAAACAAAACTCCATTTTTTCCCTATTGCGTTGTAACTGCAGTCTGAAGAATTTTATAGTTGTGTTGAAATAATTGTAGCGAATCTTAATATCTTAATTTNGAAGAAAACAAAACTCCATTTTTTCCCTATTGCGTTGTAACTGCAGTCTGAAGAATTTTATAGTTGTGTTGAAATAATTGTAGCGAATCTTAATATCTTAATTTAACTATTCTAGAAAATGATATCTAGATTTCTACTAATATTTTATGTGGTGAAAAAAAAAATTTCCACAATTCATAGCTTCTGTTGCTTTGCTTCACTGGGCTGCTGCCATTTAGAAAAGTTGGTGTNTTAACTATTCTAGAAAATGATATCTAGATTTCTACTAATATTTTATGTGGTGAAAATTTTTTTTTCCACAATTCATAGCTTCTGTTGCTTTGCTTCACTGGGCTGCTGCCATTTAGAAAAGTTGGTGTACATTGAAATAAGTTAATACCATGGTATATGAGAGGATTATATGATATGAGCACTACAAAAAAATTGCAACCCATTTAATGTCCATAAAATGATGTGTAAGATAGGTTTTGATCAAACGTTATGATCACCCCCGCAATGCTATTCAGGCACAAGACAGCCACCGCCACCACCACATCATGGTTACGCTGCCATATGCTGACTTCTCCATCCTGATGACTTTAAAAAAGCAAAACATCTCCACCGCTTTCATTGAGTTCTTGACCGCACATTGATCTGCCGTGCATTATCACTGTCTTGGCCACCATCTGCATCCCAATGTACCCAATATTTGATGTTACATTTGCTGCAGTTGCTCCCTTTGCACCATTCCTCTTGAACACCAATTTATGTGTCTGAAAACCAGCATCTTATAATAATTTAGTAAACAAATAGTTAATTTGTTGTGAACTATGAAACAGCCGTCTGTTTGCGAATGTGTGTTCACTTGGGATCATTTTGTGAAAACTGAAAAAACCTTCATCATGCTAGCCTTAACAACACTGAAAACACCTTCTCTGTGGGTGTAATCAACATCATGGCCACCACTTGATTTCACCGTGAATGCCCAACACCTTCATCACATTATATGTGATTGCCTGGTTTGCACCCTTAATAACTGTGTAAAGCAGTCACATCATCATCTGTTTGGTAAAGCAGGTTGTGCATGTCCCACTTGGGAAATCGTACTTTGGCAATTCAACTCTAGTTGGACTTGTTCTGGAAATCAGTGGCATTATTTATGAATGGGCTTTCTTTATTCCCTTTACCTTTGTGCTTGTTTGAGTACTTGTTTTACGTTTACCTCATTGTTCATTATTGGTTTTCTGCACTTGTTTTGGGTATGAAACTTCACTTGATGTAACCATGGCTCATTTGTCGTCTCAAAGTTGAGTAGTTGGTAATAATCAGTCTTGTCATTTGCATTCCAATTGTTTCTGATGTATATGAATTTATGCATTTTGAATGCCTTTTGTCCCTTTAATGCCTTACAAAGTCTCAAGATGGAAGACTATCAATTGAGGATACATTTGTAGGTCCAAATGCACCTGAACTGCCTCAAAAAATTGTGGTTGAGAATTTGGCTCATGTTTTTCTATTAATTAGAGGTGGTTATGTGCCTGTGCAAATGTATGACATGTTAACTAATATATGAATTTGATGGTGCATAATTTACTTGTTGAAATGATTGTCATTTTAGTTTTTGGGTTATTTTTAATCTTTGCAGTTCCTCTGAAACAACAGTATTGTTATTGTGCAGGCATGGCTTACTACCTTCTCTTTGGCTCTTTGTAAGGTTGGTCTTATTATTTTATATATTCTGATGTGTCCTAATTCAGTTACCTGATTGATTGTCTTCCGTATACTTTGTTTGCCATTAATTGTGTTGCAGGCTTTTGATCTTCTGGAAATGCTAAAGAAAGAGGAAGAAATGCTTTCTGCCATGAAGGAAAAGCAATCACAGGTATTGACGTGCTTAGTTTAATTGCTATAATTCTAAATTTCCGTGTGTTCTAATACATTTGAAGTTGTAAGTAATGTTCTATGCATGAAATATCTTATTTGCATTGCTGATAGCAAAATACACACGGCTGGTTCTAAAGTTGAGCTCCATATATTTTCAGAAAGCTGGAACAAGAAAGGTTCTGCAGTCGCTCAACTTTTGACCTGTGTGATTTTGCTGCTTCAATAATTAGTGGAGGTAGATTGACTTGGAAAATTGCAACTGTAGTCAGTTAGAGCAGGTATGATTGAGTCTATCTTACCTTGGGCCAATTTTACTTTAAATCCGTGTGGCTAGGCCCTTTTGTAAATCACTCTTCTCCCTTGTAATTCTTGCTCTCCCCTTATCTTTTTCTTCTGGTTCGACAAAACCAAGGGCCAGACGCACCGAAGATCATCAGCCACCTCCACCTTCAATCTATTCTTCTTCATTAGCTCAATACTCATTCTGTATGGCTATACTCTTCCTCATCTAGATAGAACTCTCCCTCCAAACCACTCTAGTCCACCAGCCACCTCTCCACCACAAAGTTGACATCAACCATTTGATCTGTCTCGCCTCACCACCTCTANTACTTGTTTTACGTTTACCTCATTGTTCATTATTGGTTTTCTGCACTTGTTTTGGGTATGAAACTTCACTTGATGTAACCATGGCTCATTTGTCGTCTCAAAGTTGAGTAGTTGGTAATAATCAGTCTTGTCATTTGCATTCCAATTGTTTCTGATGTATATGAATTTATGCGTTTTGAATGCCTTTTGTCCCTTTAATGCCTTACAAAGTCTCAAGATGGAAGACTATCAATTGAGGATACATTTGTAGGTCCAAATGCACCTGAACTGCCTCAAAAAATTGTGGTTGAGAATTTGGCTCATGTTTTTCTATTAATTAGAGGTGGTTATGTGCCTGTGCAAATGTATGACATGTTAACTAATATATGAATTTGATGGTGCATAATTTACTTGTTGAAATGATTGTCATTTTAGTTTTTGGGTTATTTTTAATCTTTGCAGTTCCTCTGAAACAACAGTATTGTTATTGTGCAGGCATGGCTTACTACCTTCTCTTTGGCTCTTTGTAAGGTTGGTCTTATTATTTTATATATTCTGATGGGTCCTAATTCAGTTACCTGATTGATCGTCTTCCGTATACTTTGTTTGCCATTAATTGTGTTGTAGGCTTTTGATCTTCTGGAAATGCTAAAGAAAGAGGAAGAAATGCTTTCTGCCATGAAGGAAAAACAATCACAGGTATTGACGTGCTTAGTTTAATTGCTATAATTCTAAATTTCTGTGTGTTCTAATACATTTGAAGTTGTAAGTAATGTTCTATGCATGAAATATCTTATTTGCATTGCTGATAGCAAAATACACACGGCTGGTTCTAAAGTTGAGCTCCATATATTTTCAGAAAGCTGGAACAAGAAAGGTTCTGCAGTCGCTCAACTTTTGACCTGTGTGATTTTGCTGCTTCAATAATTAGTGGAGGTAGATTGACTTGGAAAATTGCAACTGTAGTCAGTTAGAGCAGGTATGATTGAGTCTATCTTACCTTGGGCCAATTTTACTTTAAATCCGTGTGGCTAGGCCCTTTTGTAAATCACTCTTCTCCCTTGTAATTCTTGCTCTCCCCTTATCTTTTTCTTCTGGTTCGACAAAATCAAGGGCCAGACGCACCGAAGATCATCAGCCACCTCCACCTTCAATCTATTCTTCTTCATTAGCTCAATACTCATTCTGTATGGCTATACTCTCCCTCATCTAGATAGAACTCTCCCTCCAAACCCCTCTAGTCCACCAGCCACCTCTCCACCACAAAGTTGACATCAACCATTTGATCTGTCTCGCCTCACCACCTCCANCATTGTTCATTATTGGTTTTCTGCACTTGTTTTGGGTATGAAACTTCACTTGATGTAACCATGGCTCATTTGTCGTCTCAAAGTTGAGTAGTTGGTAATAATCAGTCTTGTCATTTGCATTCCAATTGTTTCTGATGTATATGAATTTATGCATTTTGAATGCCTTTTGTCCCTTTAATGCCTTACAAAGTCTCAAGATGGAAGACTATCAATTGAGGATACATTTGTAGGTCCAAATGCACCTGAACTGCCTCAAAAAATTGTGGTTGAGAATTTGGCTCATGTTTTTCTATTAATTAGAGGTGGTTATGTGCCTGTGCAAATGTATGACATGTTAACTAATATATGAATTTGATGGTGCATAATTTACTTGTTGAAATGATTGTCATTTTAGTTTTTGGGTTATTTTTAATCTTTGCAGTTCCTCTGAAACAACAGTATTGTTATTGTGCAGGCATGGCTTACTACCTTCTCTTTGGCTCTTTGTAAGGTTGGTCTTATTATTTTATATATTCTGATGTGTCCTAATTCAGTTACCTGATTGATTGTCTTCCGTATACTTTGTTTGCCATTAATTGTGTTGCAGGCTTTTGATCTTCTGGAAATGCTAAAGAAAGAGGAAGAAATGCTTTCTGCCATGAAGGAAAAGCAATCACAGGTATTGACGTGCTTAGTTTAATTGCTATAATTCTAAATTTCCGNTTAATCTTTGCAGTTCCTCTGAAACAACAGTATTGTTATTGTGCAGGCATGGCTTACTACCTTCTCTTTGGCTCTTTGTAAGGTTGGTCTTATTATTTTATATATTCTGATGGGTCCTAATTCAGTTACCTGATTGATCGTCTTCCGTATACTTTGTTTGCCATTAATTGTGTTGTAGGCTTTTGATCTTCTGGAAATGCTAAAGAAAGAGGAAGAAATGCTTTCTGCCATGAAGGAAAAACAATCACAGGTATTGACGTGCTTAGTTTAATTGCTATAATTCTAAATTTCTGNAAAACCAGCATCTTATAATAATTTAGTAAACAAATAGTTAATTTGTTGTGAACTATGAAACAGCCGTCTGTTTGCGAATGTGTGTTCACTTGGGATCATTTTGTGAAAACTGAAAAAACCTTCATCATGCTAGCCTTAACAACACTGAAAACACCTTCTCTGTGGGTGTAATCAACATCATGGCCACCACTTGATTTCACCGTGAATGCCCAACACCTTCATCACATTATATGTGATTGCCTGGTTTGCACCCTTAATAACTGTGTAAAGCAGTCACATCATCATCTGTTTGGTAAAGCAGGTTGTGCATGTCCCACTTGGGAAATCGTACTTTGGCAATTCAACTCTAGTTGGACTTGTTCTGGAAATCAGTGGCATTATTTATGAATGGGCTTTCTTTATTCCCTTTACCTTTGTGCTTGTTTGAGTACTTGTTTTACGTTTACCTCATTGTTCATTATTGGTTTTCTGCACTTGTTTTGGGTATGAAACTTCACTTGATGTAACCATGGCTCATTTGTCGTCTCAAAGTTGAGTAGTTGGTAATAATCAGTCTTGTCATTTGCATTCCAATTGTTTCTGATGTATATGAATTTATGCATTTTGAATGCCTTTTGTCCCTTTAATGCCTTACAAAGTCTCAAGATGGAAGACTATCAATTGAGGATACATTTGTAGGTCCAAATGCACCTGAACTGCCTCAAAAAATTGTGGTTGAGAATTTGGCTCATGTTTTTCTATTAATTAGAGGTGGTTATGTGCCTGTGCAAATGTATGACATGTTAACTAATATATGAATTTGATGGTGCATAATTTACTTGTTGAAATGATTGTCATTTTAGTTTTTGGGTTATTTTTAATCTTTGCAGTTCCTCTGAAACAACAGTATTGTTATTGTGCAGGCATGGCTTACTACCTTCTCTTTGGCTCTTTGTAAGGTTGGTCTTATTATTTTATATATTCTGATGTGTCCTAATTCAGTTACCTGATTGATCGTCTTCCGTATACTTTGTTTGCCATTAATTGTGTTGTAGGCTTTTGATCTTCTGGAAATGCTAAAGAAAGAGGAAGAAATGCTTTCTGCCATGAAGGAAAAACAATCACAGGTATTGACGTGCTTAGTTTAATTGCTATAATTCTAAATTTCTGTGTGTTCTAATACATTTGAAGTTGTAAGTAATGTTCTATGCATGAAATATCTTATTTGCATTGCTGATAGCAAAATACACACGGCTGGTTCTAAAGTTGAGCTCCATATATTTCCAGAAAGCTGGAACAAGAAAGGTTCTGCAGTCGCTCAACTTTTGACCTGTGTGATTTTGCTGCTTCAATAATTAGTGGAGGTAGATTGACTTGGAAAATTGCAACTGTAGTCAGTTAGAGCAGGTATGATTGAGTCTATCTTACCTTGGGCCAATTTTACTTTAAATCCGTGTGGCTAGGCCCTTTTGTAAATCACTCTTCTCCCTTGTAATTCTTGCTCTCCCCTTATCTTTTTCTTCTGGTTCGACAAAATCAAGGGCCAGACGCACCGAAGATCATCAGCCACCTCCACCTTCAATCTATTCTTCTTCATTAGCTCAATACTCATTCTGTATGGCTATACTCTCCCTCATCTAGATAGAACTCTCCCTCCAAACCACTCTAGTCCACCAGCCACCTCTCCACCACAAAGTTGACATCAACCATTTGATCTGTCTCGCCTCACCACCTCTAGGTCTCACATCCTCATCGACCCCATCCAAAAACCCGAATTCTAATGGTCAATATGCTTCAATTTGCCTACCTAGATCAACAAAAGACAAATTCTGAAAGACCCAACTGACCCATCTCCCCCAAACTGTTATCAGCACTTGTGAGCTCATTGATTAGCCTGGATGACTAGAATTTCAATTTCAATCTCATTCAGTTCCCAATTGAATATTCAGAGAAGCCATTTCTGTTTGTGTCTGGATTCATATCGTAATGGGTATATCAAGAAAAATTTTGAGGCTATAACACGGTGATAGATTCTGTATGTGCATGCAAGAGATCCGAAGAAAGCCTCCTACAGTACTGGCTGTGTCCTTGGCTCCCACTTCCTCGAATCAAATAGTGCCATACATCCCACATCAAATAGTTACATCCCACCACTACAGCATAACTCACATCTGGTTCAGTTGGATGAAAATTATGACAATGCATTATGGTCCATAAACCACGAGTGTGGTGTTACCATTTTTTGAGGGTGATGGAGTTGATGTGCAGAGTGGTCTACAGTAAAAGTGCAATTTGTCCTCTTATCTTCATTGAAAGTTCAAATGACTAGTCGAATGTATTTTACTGGTTTAGTACTTTTCTTTACGCCATGGCCATCTCTTGCCACATATGATTAATGAATACAGTTTAGGCGCACTTAGCAATTTGCTCTGTTACAGGAAGGGACGAAGGAAGTTTCAGGTGGTATTCTTGATGAGCGCACCAAGAAAGCAGAAGCATGGCATCGTAATGCTGCAGCTCGAGTTCGATACACAAAGCCAGCTCCACCTATTACATGTGCCACGTTTGCTCAAGATGTCTTAGAAGGAAGAGCAAATGTTTCCCAAGCACATGAGCACAAACACCAGCCAATGATATTTGGACCAGCCAGTCTTGTGGGTGGAAACCCAACAAGCGAAAGGGAAAGGATGGCAGCGCAGGTTTTCCAACCTCACCACAGGTACATATATATGTGCCTTGATAAACTGAAAATTTAGTTGCTAGAAGCGAATTAAATATTGATAGTGTAGATTAAACTTTTGTGTGAAATTGTTAGATTGCCAACGATGAGCATTGAGGAAGCTGGACTAAAAGAAATGGAGATTATGAATAAATGGCAAGAGAGAAATGTGAAGCTCATGGAAGAAGCCAATTCATCTTGGTACAAGGACAGCCGGAAGTTGAGGCCTGGTGAAGAGGAGGATGAAGATGATGATGCTGCCGTAGAGAAGGCAAGGGCATGGGACGACTGGAAAGATGATAACCCTCGTGGTGCAGGCAATAAGAAGCTCACCCCTTGTGGCTAAGAGCAGCTGGTGACTACATCTATGCTCTATCATAAATTAGTTCAAAATTTACTGAACATCTCATAAATAGTCATCTTGTATGAATCTTTAGCTGATTGACATTGTAATTCCAATTTTGTTTGTCCAGCATAACTTAGTTCCTTGTAAATTGGTGTTGCACATGGAGTAGTATTATGGTTATGAACTTGCTTGGGGAAAAGAGCTGTAATAGCTATCTCTGTGTCTTCCAAACAGTATATTTGCTGATTATGTGTCTTTTACAATCTAAGATTTTGATGGTCTGATGGAGAAATCCTGAAATCTGAAGTAATGGGTGCAAGTGAACACAATCAAGCCATGTTTGAACTCAACTCGATTGGTCCCAAATGACTCGTTTGATCACACATGATTCAACTGAGCATAGTCATTGCCCATTAGAAGGAACCAATTTCATTATATGCCACCAAGAGCAAGCGTTCATTTGCATATATAGGAATTACAAGCATTCATAAAGAAAAAATGTTGCATATATAACACCTTTACTATCTTTAGTTACGATGCTATACCCATGAATGTATCTTTAGTTACGACGCTATACCCATGAATGTATCTTCCGCATAATCTTCAAACCACTTCATAGCAAAACCAGCAAGAGTAGATGGAGAGGCACCCCCAAATCAGTGAAGAACACACCCATTTTCGAAAATCTTGAGACCAGTTCAACCATTAATGCATTTGAAACCCCTGCAAATCCACAACCAGATGCCAAACAAGAGAGAACACACGATCAAGTCCAGGGACAGCACAATCCAAACGTGTTTCTTCCAAACTCGCTTCGCCTTTTGGTGTTGTCCCAATTCACCGGAAAACACCACATTCTTGTGCAACACCACCGAGAATTCCCTGGTCAAGCCACCAGCACTACTATCATTAGAAGACACATCCACCTTGTTCTGATCTTTTGTTTCCCCATATGAGTCCCCAAAGAACCTCTTTTTCTTCTTCTTCAACCTCTTAGGGACATCACCAAGCAATGGAAGAGACCCAATTTTCTGCCCTCTCGGTGAATCGAAACGCTCACTCCCACCATGATTGAGCTTCAAAACCATTCTTGGTGAACCGGGTGCTTCAAATTCGGAATTTGAAGCCAACAATTGGTGAAAAAGGGGGTTGAACTCGCCCTGAAAACAATGGGAATTCAAAGAATCCAAACGCTTTTTCACCGAATTGTTCTGAACGATGTCATTGAACGCGTCCTTAACGCTTTTCAGAAAGGATAGACCTTCCGAATTATCAAGATTCTCGTCGAAGATTGCGAAATACAAGAAGGAATCGTCGAGCAAGAACATATAAGTCTTGTCACGGATCGTGTGAGAGAAGATAGAGTGGTGAGCGGGAGTTTTCTCAAGGCATTTAGCAGCTAGGGCACCGAGATCGGCATCTTTGGAATTGAACTCTGCGAGGATTGTGGTTCCTTTTGCGACACAGGCATAGTATATCAAAAATTTGGGATTCGGATTCATCATTTCAATCGGTAAAATTCACAGAATCGATGCTGCTCGAACAACCACATTAAAGAGATCGATTTGGATCGTCAAATCAATCAACTCCGTATCTGTTCTCTCTCTCTCTCTCTCTCTCTTCCCCCCTCCCTCTCTCTCTAAAGTTGAAAAGAGAGATCCAACATGGGGTAGTTACGAGTAGATGGAGATTGATAGATGTTCGATGCAAGAGATAATTTCTTGAGGGAGAGGAGAGAAATCTAGGGTTTTTTGGGGGAACAGATGGGGAACAGATAGGTTCTGTCAAAGGGATATATTCAGATATTTAGGGCCGACGGCAAAGAATCCGGAAATTACAATTGGAAGAATTACATCTAATCCCCCGAGATTTGTTATTTAAACATTTAAACTGTTTGATATTTAAAATATTACACACAGACCATCTAAAATTTTTAATTACGGAAAACTCGGACACTGTCGTTAATATTTGTTTTGTTAGTAAATTACACTCAGACACTTGNGATTTGTTATTTAAACATTTAAACTGTTTGATATTTAAAATATTACACACAGACCACCTAAAATTTTTAATTACGGAAAACTCGGACACTGTCGTTAATATTTGTTTTGTTAGTAAATTACACTCAGACACTCGAAGCTTTTAAGTATGTAATATTTAGACTCTTTAAGTTTAAAATATTATACTTAGACAAAAAAATTTCAATTAAAAATAGAATATCAAATATTTTAAATTTTACAACTAAATTTATGCTATATCAAATATTTTAAATTTTACAACTAAATTTATACTCTATTATGTCATTTATTGAAATAAAATCAAAAATAAAAAAAAAATTNCAAAAAAATTTCAATTAAAAATAGAATATCAAATATTTTAAATTTTACAACTAAATTCATGCTATATCAAATATTTTAAATTTTATAACTAAATTTATATTCTATTATGTCATTTATTGAAATAAAATCAAAAATAAAAAAAAAATTGTTAAAAAAATTATAAGTGGTATATCACTAAAAAATCAAACAATGGGTCAAATCTTAATAGATATAATATCTTATATCTTTAATATCTTCTATCTTTAATTAAGATAATTTGATCGTTTAGTAAATTTTATTAGTTCTGTAACTAATAAGTGATTTAAGTATATTATTTTAAACTTTAAAAGATTTAAATATTATATACTTTCTAACTTCAATAGATCGGGATGTAATTTGCTAACAAATTTCCTAACGACAATGGCCTAAGTGTTACACACGATGTAATATTTCAAATGTCGGAGAATTTAAGTAATTAAATATCAAACTTGAAGAGGTTTGAATATAATTGCCCCTAATAAAAACTAAAAAACGTCTGTGCCAAGGATACCTACACTACGAATAAATAAGGGTAAATTGCATCGCTAGTCTCANAATTTGCTAACAAATTTCCTAACGACAATGGCCTAAGTGTTACACACGATGTAATATTTCAAATGTCGGAGAATTTAAGTAATTAAATATCAAACTTGAGGAGGTTTGAATATAATGCCCCCTAATAAAAACTAAAAAACGTCCGTGCCAAGGATACCTACACTGCGAATAAATAAGGATAAATTGCATCGCTAGTCTCAAAGGTTTGTTACTTATTATACTTTTGTCTGTAAAATTTTAATTACGTAATTTCGTCCTCTAGCCCTGTTTCACTCAATTCTTTTTCTTTTTTTTTCCCAGGTCGTACCATTGATTTAAGGATAAAACTGTTCTTCTCAAATTTATTTATCAAATATTATATTTTAAATAATGTGTCACAATCTCATGTATTAAATGTTTAGTAAAAATTAATAGACTCCACTAATTCAACCCCCCACGTTAATTTGAGGCATATAATTTGATAAATAATTTAGTAAACATGGCATTGCTCTTGATTTAAATAGGACGAGTATAGAAGCACTAGTAATAACATGTGCATCAAAGTATTAAATAACTCAAAAAACCTTTATGCAATATAAATATTTTAAAAAGTACGTTACTTTTCATTATTTTTTTTATTTATACAATTCAAAATCAATTTGAAAACACTATTTTTTTTAAAAAAATGGACAAAATTTTCCATAAAAGTACAATCCCTAAAAACTATCAACTTGTAAAAAAATTAAATGAAAAACTTATTAGAGAGGATTTGCATCCCTATTGCCAAACCCAAGCTCCTACAATTATGGAAGGAAAGAAAATTTTTCCAGTTATTATCGATGCATTCCCATACTAAATTTGTTTTGCTTTTTTTTTTTGGGATGGGGGGGGGGGTAGTAGGTGATATTTCGAAATCTTAAATTAATGTTTGGCAATAGACCTTAGAATCTTTAGGAAATTTAAGTATTTTATATAAGAAGACGAATGGCACCACCACAAGGCATAGTTTCCCACCCCTATATAGATTATTTGCAACATCATTACACGAAATAAATACTTACCAACATCACACATTTATTAGTGTTATTTCACACAGTCAACCAAAATTATATCTCCAACCATGGCCTCCCAAATGCAATGCCTTATCGTCGCCGCCGCCACCGCTATAATCAGGGCTATAGCTAGAAATCCATTTACCCTGTCCACGAACAGCAGTACCCTTTGGGTTTGGACTCCTTGGGAACTGGTAACTTGCAGTTCCTCCTCCTGAATTTGATGAGTCATAGCTTATTCCAGTCACTGTTCCTCTCTTTGATGGTGGATTCCTTTGTGTCAATGGTGGGCTACGCTGCTTGGCTGAGCCCTGACTCCGCGCCTTAGCTTTGGCAGATTGGGTTGGGGCCATGTAGCTAGGGACACCATCTGAGCTTCCCTGGTTTTGCTGCTGAGTTGAATACTGGATTGAATCAACTGTCTCCCTGCTGATCCGGCCTGTGTTTAGATTTTCCGAGCCCAGTGGTGTGACCAAATCCATTTCAACTGTTTTCACTGACATGTCATCAGTGGTGGTGGTGGTGGTGACTGTCGCGTAGGAGCTCTCACATGGCCCTGTGGGGTGGACATGGTGGTGTTCAGATGCAATCCACTGGTCAAGCCAATGCAATCCCCACTGTGACTTCTCATGCTCATTGGCATGTAATCCAATATNAAAATAGCAAGATTGATTGATTGAAATGATGGGGATCTAACATAAGGAGGACATGATGATCAATGTGGATAATGGGGTAGCATAGGTGGCATGATAGTAATATGTCATGAGCTCTGTTATGTGACTTATGTCACTCTTAGCCAAGTTGATGGGGGACCATATGCCCAATGCGGTTCCACCACGAAAACCCCATCAATCATCTGACTAATAGCTTGGAAATGAGTAGTTAAAGCAGAGATCTATCAATAAATGCATGCATATATTACAAACTAATGCAGGGATTAACCGAATCAGACGATGATAATGCCATAATCTATCTAATAAATCAAAAGATTTATGATATACAGGATTCAGTAAATCAGTTATCATTGTTCAATAAATAATTTATGGAAGGTAAAAGGGAAGGGTAATTGCAGTAATCTTTACCCAAAATCTCTCATCCATTTTGTGGCAAATTTGAAAAAAACCCATTAATTATTCAAACAAACCAGCACTAAAAATGGTAAATAGTTTGAGATTACCACCAAGAAAACAAAGAGCATAAGAATGGAGATTAAGGGAGGAGTATTTAAAAACAACCAGAATACCATCAATTTACCGAATACAAAAGACCAAAACCATCCATTTTGATCATTATATGCTTGGAATTTCATATAGTCCCATCAGAGTAAATCTATTTTCTCTGACATCACCCAATATGTATGTATGAACTGACCTTCTTCTCCGGCAGTTCCTTGGAGGAAGGTTTGAAGACTTTCTTGACGGTTGAAAACCAGCCGCTTCCTTTCTTGCCCATTTCGGGCCAAAAAAATGACCTATAAAGGAATGTAATTTTAGCAAACAACCACAATAAATCTGAGTCTTTTGACCCTCAAAACAGAAATCTTACCTGGGAAAGAACTTAATAGTCTCCGGTGATCTCTTTCTTCTTCACCTCCATTTCCTGAGAACATCCATCATGAAAGCACTACTACAACCACAATGGAGATTAGAAACAAAAAGTTTTTAGAGAGAGAAAGAGTCAGAGGTATCGCGGGAGAGAAGTAACTGCAGCCCTGAGCAATCGCCGTTGGTATTTATCATCCTCACGGGGTAGCTTCTACAACGTACTTCAAACAGTTGGGTTCAGTAAATGGGATTTTGACACGTGTTTTGTTCCCACAAAGGGTTATGCGGTCACATATGCTTGAATATAATGTACAAGTAACGTTGCATAATTTACATAGAATTATCTCTTGAATTAGCGGTTTTATTAACTTTTTCAGTATAACTCACCTATTCAACGCTCATCTAATGAATAATATGCATTTGAATTATAATTTTTAAATTTTATTTGAATTGTTTAATATTTTTTTTATAACATATTGACTTAATTTATTAAATGGTTATGAATTAAATAATTGTAATATATTAGATCAACAAATTAAATTTAAATGATATTTTTTAAATCAAAAATGTCTAAAGATTTAAGCTTTAAATAGAAGTGCAACTTAGTTCAAATCATACCCCTTGTCCCTAATGTGTGATATAGTTTTTTTTTAAAATGGAATCACCCATGTCTTATATTTATTGTTATAACATATTTATCTGTTTTTTATTCAATCACTGAACCAATTGAATGAATTAAAAAAATGACCCTTTGAGTCAGGGGTTGCTAAAAATGCTGGGTTGCTTTGGGTTTTCTATTTCTATGTCTATGTCTATGTCGATGTAAGTGGGTTTTCAATGCAACATTTGAGACCCGACAGACAATAATTTTTGAGTTATGTTAAAACATCCATCAATTTTATTATTTCTTATAATGATGATAATCAATTTAAAGGTTATGATCTAAATGTAGCAAAGAGGACATGATATACATATGAACTTGAATCTTTTGAAAGTGTCTCAAAATGATTGATTTGGGAGTACCATTAAAGTTTTACATATCTTTGAAAAGAAAAGAAAAAAGGGTTTTCCCAGCTTTAATACAAATTGATTGGAGCGAAACAGCTCAAAGTGAGAAAAATCACTTTTTTGGTTTAAAAAGATAAATCGCCACAAAGAGTCCACCAATGAGTAATTATAAGGGTGAATTAAGCTTCTTAATCATCTTTGAATAAATTAAATAATGGTGAATAATTACATGTTTGAGTAGTAGAAACAATTGCATGCAAGAAAGATAAGACTCTCTCTCTCTCTCTCTATATATATAATATTCCTTTGACCATAATGACAAGAGTTTCGACGCCGAGCAACCTTGTTCACTATTAGATGATGGATTGGTTGCTCTATAACAATTCCAAGGTTCTACTTCCTTAATACTAGTATAAGTCCACCAGGTAGCATACCAAGTGGAATGAATAACACAATCCATATGGTGTGCAAATAGAGGGGTTAATTAAATCGAGTTTTATGAGTTTGAGTCGAGTCTGTCGAGCTTATTTTTTTAAATGAGTTTAAAAAATTGTTCAATTCAGATTTTTCCCGAATCGAGCCCAAGTAATTCGATTATTTTACATATAAACGAGCTGAATTTTGCGAACTCGAGTCAAGTCTTTTAGGCCTAATTTTTAAACGAGTCTAAAAAATTATTCAAACCCGACTCATTTCGAACCAAGTCCTCCTCAAACGAACCCGAATAACTCGACACAATTATCAACCCTATTATCAGAAAGACTCGACCTATACAATTCCTCGTATGGTTGAGTTAATAAAATGTGCATGTTGGCCATGCTATCAACTCCATGGGACCTCTGGAGTATGGCCACCCCAGAGTCAACTGCCAAATAAATTTATCTCTCGCTTGCTGAGCTGTGAAGTTTTAATCTCACACCCACAATTTTCAGATCCAACCTCTACATATTGGTACAATGGAGGGGTTGAAATGTGAATGAAAAGGGAGTTTTATTCAGGTGGGTGGTGACATTTTGCTTGCATTTAAAGGGACATTGAAGCAAAGAGTGAATGATGACTGAGGGGGAAGAAATTTTTAGGTGTGCACTGTTTTTAATTTTGACGGGAGATGGTGGTACACACCTTTCATCCAGTTTATTTACATGAAGAACCAAGGATTGACTCAATGGTTTGTGTTGCACCTCCAAAGTTAATTTCACTGCTACAAATTTCAAGTTGAAAGTCGGGGTAAGTTTGGGTTCAATCGAATTTGATTTTCTTATTATGTAATTTAGTTTGAGCTAAAACTTGAAAACCCAACTTGAGTACTACTCTGAATTTAAATCCAGTTGGGATTTACTTGTCAAATCCAATGGTAAGTATTAAAAATTTGGACTTCGCTCGAGTTCGATGCAAGTTGACCTTCCTAAAGTGCACCCCTAAATCATATGTGAGAAGAGAGATTAAACATATCCGATAAGTACTGGCCGAACTTCTCACTCTGAGATTAATAATTCATGTTTTGAAGTCCACATTGGAATTCGATGGTTGACTACAATACTAGTCTAGCTAAGTTTGTTCTTAAAAAAAATAACATATACAGCCAAGAGCCTCGTGATCCCCCCAATGAAGATCTATTGAGGTTGTCTCTGGGTGTTTTTCTTTGCCCCCGCCCCTTTTTCACAGTTAAAAAAAGAAAAAAACTCATTTAGCCAAAAAAAATTGGTAGAGGTGAGGTGTTGTTACAGGCGGATCTACACATGTATTAGACAGTGTAGGACTATTCGCATGGATATACCTTGCACACATAAGGTGGTGTCAACCCCCATTTAAAAGAGCAGTGCTATTGCAATCTAATTTGAATACTTAAAGTCAGCATCTAACGTATTGTATTGTGATCATTAGAGTAGTTGTGGATCTTAACATTATCATAATTCATTTGGTCTCCAACTTAAGTCTTACTGAATTACCGTCCCCTCTCAATGCTTTCATAAGTTAAATCCACTATCATGAGAAATTCTTTATCGAATAATATTGACCTAAAAATTAATCTAATTTATTGATTTAATAAAGAACTCCTAAGTTGTAGTTCAAATAATGTTATTTTAATTTTTTTTTTTTTTTGGGGGAGGGAGAGGAGGAACTTGAACCTTTGACTTCAATCGCATTACTCTTTTAAGTTCATTTAATGGTTAAGATTATCAAGTCTAATTTTTAAGTCTAGTTTTTTAAGTTCATTTAGCATTACTCTTTTTTTTAAATGAGTATAACTAAAGAAGTATGGTACCAAAAGTTGCAATTAATTAAAGGTTAGTGAACATTTATCTCGATTAAGTTACTATTCACTATAGTCAAGCTAAGATAAAAAAAAAAGAGTTAAAATTTTAGATTCGATCTTAAACGCCGCAAATGAAATTTTAGATTCAATCTTATATTCTTATTTTAGGAATCCGTAGGTAAGCTCGTTTGCTCTATAAAGATGGGGGACATCACCCAATTCTAGAGTATAAATTATAAAGATAAAAATAAGAGCATCCAAAAACGAAATATTACATGATACTCGCCTTTTTGCAAAGTTACACTTTCACCACTTATCTAGGTCTAAANCCCAATTCTAGAGTATAAATTATAAAGATAAAAATAAGAGCATCCAAAAACGAAATATTACATGATACTCGCCTTTTTGCAAAGTTACACTTTCACCACTTATCTAGGTCTAAATTACTAAATTACTTTTGAAAAGAGTTTAGAAAGTCTCGATGCATAAGATTTCTCCCACTATGGGGAGAAGAGTCAATGTACNTTGTTCTTGTTCTTGTTGCTGTAGCAATTCAATTGAAGTACAGAAAGAAAAATGCTTACAAATCAGAAATTTATTTGTGGAATGAGAAGTAAGCGTAATTCAGCATGCACATGGTCCCAATTTGAATACAAACAAGGAACAAAGCTAAAATAACTAACCAACCTGGTAGGTAAAAGCATAGGCAAGAGCTCTCTCCCTATTCATTGAGGTGTCATGTTTTCTCAGGGTATTTTCTTTGATTTTGTCCATGCTCTGATCCCAACTATTCCAACCTTCTGTTTCAAGCTTCTTCATTGTGCTCCTCTTCTTCTGCTCTTCCCCTTCCGGTCCTAATCTTTCTTCTTGTTCTTCAACCTTTTTCTGAAGCTTTTCATGTGCTAGTTGTAGTCTGTGTGCACGTACTCTTGCCTGCACACTTACTAATGCTTGCATGCATCGCATTGTCATTTGTGCTTGCTTCCGTACATTGTGCCCCCTCACTAGTGCTTGTAGCCTCACCAGTCCCTTCAGAGCCCGCAGAGCACGTCTAGCCTACAAAATCAAAAAGACCTACAATCAAGTGGCTAAAATAAGGGGGGTAAAAGTGTCAACAGAAGGATGTAATTACTAGCTGTGACTCCACAAAACATAAGGCACAATGCAAACAAGCAATATGGAAATAGATAGGGGAAGTATTTTTTTTTGGACTGAACCGTAGTTTAAGGTTAAGTTAAATAGAGATCCTTTGAGTTTTGACAAACCAACAAAGGCCATCTGAGGTTTATGAAAATTATTAGCTATAGGCTACAAAGGAGTTTGTTAACCTCCAAGAGTTAATCTCCGAGGTTATGCTCAACATACGCCAAAAACATAATCATCAAAAAAATAAAAAGAGGAATGCTACCAGATATCCTCTGTAATATGATTGGATGAGGGTTGCAGCCCTTTCTTCCTTAGAGTGGCGTCCATAACCTGCCAATCGCACAACTTTAGCAGCTGCTTGAGCAGCGGCAACAGCAGCTTCAGCTGCTGCAGCAGTTGCCATTGCAACAGCAATAGCATGATTTTGATCGTCACTCTGCAGAGATGCCGCATCACTGTCATCATTTGTGATATCTGGAGAACTTTCTGCAGGGAAATGTTCAAATGACACTTCTTCTGGTGCATCGTGTTGCCATTTTTCCACATTATCCCTCTGAAAACCATTGCATTGCTAAATTTTAGCACTTACAAAAATGCTATTTCATAATCAAAAACTTTGTATTGGTCCATATCAGTGCCAGTTCAAAAATAGCAAGATTGATTGATTGAAATGATGGGGATCTAACATAAGGAGGACATGATGATCAATGTGGATAATGGGGTAGCATAGGTGGCATGATAGTAATATGTCATGAGCTCTGTTATGTGACTTATGTCACTCTTAGCCAAGTTGATGGGGGACCATATGCCCAATGCGGTTCCACCACGAAAACCCCATCAATCATCTGACTAATAGCTTGGAAATGAGTAGTTAAAGCAGAGATCTATCAATAAATGCATGCATATATTACAAACTAATGCGGGGATTAACCGAATCAGACGATGATAATGCCATAATCTATCTAATAAATCAAAAGATTTATGATATACAGGATTCAGTAAATCAGTTATCATTGTTCAATAAATAATTTATGGAAGGTAAAAGGGAAGGGTAATTGCAGTAATCTTTACCCAAAATCTCTCATCCATTTTGTGGCAAATTTGAAAAAAACCCATTAATTATTCAAACAAACCAGCACTAAAAATGGTAAATAGTTTGAGATTACCACCAAGAAAACAAAGAGCATAAGAATGGAGATTAAGGGGGGAGTATTTAAAAACAACCAGAATACCATCAATTTCCCGAATACAAAAGACCAAAACCATCCATTTTGATCATTATATGCTTGGAATTTCATATAGTCCCATCAGAGTAAATCTATTTTCTCTGACATCACCCAATATGTATGTATGAACTGACCTTCTTCTCCGGCAGTTCCTTGGAGGAAGGTTTGAAGACTTTCTTGACGGTTGAAAACCAGCCGCTTCCTTTCTTGCCCATTTCGGGCCAAAAAAATGACCTATAAAGGAATGTAATTTTAGCAAACAACCACAATAAATCTGAGTCTTTTGACCCTCAAAACAGAAATCTTACCTGGGAAAGAACTTAATAGTCTCCGGTGATCTCTTTCTTCTTCACCTCCATTTCCTGAGAACATCCATCATGAAAGCACTACTACAACCACAATGGAGATTAGAAACAAAAAGTTTTTAGAGAGAGAAAGAGTCAGAGGTATCGCGGGAGAGAAGTAACTGCAGCNAAAGCACTACTACAACCACAATGGAGATTAGAAACAAAAAGTTTTTAGAGAGAGAAAGAGTCAGAGGTATCGCGGGAGAGAAGTAACTGCAGCCCTGAGCAATCGCCGTTGGTATTTATCATCCTCACGGGGTAGCTTCTACAACGTACTTCAAACAGTTGGGTTCAGTAAATGGGATTTTGACACGTGTTTTGTTCCCACAAAGGGTTATGCGGTCACACATGCTTGAATATAATGTACAAGTAACGTTGCATAATTTANTAAATGGGATTTTGACACGTGTTTTGTTCCCACAAAGGGTTATGCGGTCACATATGCTTGAATATAATGTACAAGTAACGTTGCATAATTTACATAGAATTATCTCTTGAATTAGCGGTTTTATTAACTTTTTCAGTATAACTCACCTATTCAACGCTCATCTAATGAATAATATGCATTTGAATTATAATTTTTAAATTTTATTTGAATTGTTTAATATTTTTTTTATAACATATTGACTTAATTTATTAAATGGTTATGAATTAAATAATTGTAATATATTAGATCAACAAATTAAATTTAAATGATATTTTTTAAATCAAAAATGTCTAAAGATTTAAGCTTTAAATAGAAGTGCAACTTAGTTCAAATCATACCCCTTGTCCCTAATGTGTGATATAGTTTTTTTTTAAAATGGAATCACCCATGTCTTATATTTATTGTTATAACATATTTATCTGTTTTTTATTCAATCACTGAACCAATTGAATGAATTAAAAAAATGACCCTTTGAGTCAGGGGTTGCTAAAAATGCTGGGTTGCTTTGGGTTTTCTATTTCTATGTCTATGTCTATGTCGATGTAAGTGGGTTTTCAATGCAACATTTGAGACCCAACAGACAATAATTTTTGAGTTATGTTAAAACATCCATCAATTTTATTATTTCTTATNAAAGCACTACTACAACCACAATGGAGATTAGAAACAAAAAGTTTTTAGAGAGAGAGAAAGAGTCAGAGGTATCGCGGGAGAGAAGTAACTGCCGCCCTGAGCAATCGCCGTCGGTATTTATCATCCTCACGGGGTAGCTTCTACAACGTACTTCAAACAGTTGGGTTCAGTAAATGGGATTTTGACACGTGTTTTGTTCCCACAAAGGGTTATGCGGTCACACATGCTTGAATATAATGTACAAGTAACGTTGCATAATTTAGATAGAATTATCTATTGAATTAGCGGTTTTATTAACTTTTTCAGTATAACCCACCTATTCAACGCTTATCTAATGAATAATATGTATTTTAATTATAATTTTTAAATTTTATTTAAATTATTTAACATTTTTTTATAATATATTGACTTAATTTATTAAATGGTTATGAATTAAATAATTGTAATATATTAGATCAACAAATTAGATTTAAATAATTTTTATATCAAAAATGTCTAAAGATTTAAGCTTTAAATAGAAGTGCAACTTAGTTCAAATCATACCCCTTGTCCCTTGTGTGTGATATAGTTTTTTTAAAATAATGGAATCACCCATGTTTTATATTTATTGTTATAACATAAATCTCGACTATATACAACAATTACATGAAACTTGAATTATATGATGCAAGTGAAACGTGAATTCAAGATGAATATTTGCGTCGTTTTTTATTCAATCACTGAACCAATTGAAATGAATTAAAAAGATGACCCTTTGAGTCGGGAGTTGCTAAAAATGCTGGGTTGCTTTGGATTTTCTATTTCTATGTCTATGTCTATGTCAATGAAATGTAAGTGGGTTTTCAATGCAACATTTGAGACCCGACAGACAATAATTTTTGAGTTATGTTAAAACATCCATCAATTTTATTATTTCTTATAATGATGATAATCAATTTAAAGGTTATGATCTAAATGTAGCAAAGAGGACATGATATACATATGAACTTGAATCTTTTGAAAGTGTCTCAAAATGATTGATTTGGGAGTACCATTAAAGTTTTACATATCTTTGAAAAGAAAAGAAAAAAGGGTTTTCCCAGCTTTAATACAAATTGATTGGAGCGAAACAGCTCAAAGTGAGAAAAATCACTTTTTTGGTTTAAAAAGATAAATCGCCACAAAGAGTCCACCAATGAGTAATTATAAGGGTGAATTAAGCTTCTTAATCATCTTTGAATAAATTAAATAATGGTGAATAATTACATGTTTGAGTAGTAGAAACAATTGCATGCAAGAAAGATAAGACTCTCTCTCTCTATATATATATATAATATTCCTTTGACCATAATGACAAGAGTTTCGACGCTGAGCAACCTTGTTCACTATTAGATGATGGATTGGTTGCTCTATAACAATTCCAAGGTTCTACTTCCTTAATACTAGTATAAGTCCACCAGGTAGCATACCAAGTGGAATGAATAACACAATCCATATGGTGTGCAAATAGAGGGGTTAATTAAATCGAGTTTTATGAGTTTGAGTCGAGTCTGTCGAGCTTATTTTTTTAAATGAGTTTAAAAAATTGTTCAATTCAGATTTTTCCCGAATCGAGCCCAAGTAATTCGATTATTTTACATATAAACGAGCTGAATTTTGCGAACTCGAGTCAAGTCTTTTAGGCCTAATTTTTAAACGAGTCTAAAAAATTATTCAAACCCGACTCATTTCGAACCAAGTCCTCCTCAAACGAACCCGAATAACTCGACACAATTATCAACCCTATTATCAGAAAGACTCGACCTATACAATTCCTCGTATGGTTGAGTTAATAAAATGTGCATGTTGGCCATGCTATCAACTCCATGGGACCTCTGGAGTATGGCCACCCCAGAGTCAACTGCCAAATAAATTTATCTCTCGCTTGCTGAGCTGTGAAGTTTTAATCTCACACCCACAATTTTCAGATCCAACCTCTACATATTGGTACAATGGAGGGGTTGAAATGTGAATGAAAAGGGAGTTTTATTCAGGTGGGTGGTGACATTTTGCTTGCATTTAAAGGGACATTGAAGCAAAGAGTGAATGATGACTGAGGGGGAAGAAATTTTTAGGTGTGCACTGTTTTTAATTTTGACGGGAGATGGTGGTACACACCTTTCATCCAGTTTATTTACATGAAGAACCAAGGATTGACTCAATGGTTTGTGTTGCACCTCGAAAGTTAATTTCACTGCTACAAATTTCAAGTTGAAAGTCGGGGTAAGTTTGGGTTCAATCGAATTTGATTTTCTTATTATGTAATTTAGTTTGAGCTAAAACTTGAAAACCCAACTTGAGTACTACTCTGAATTTAAATCCAGTTGGGATTTACTTGTCAAATCCAATGGTAAGTATTAAAAATTTGGACTTCGCTCGAGTTCGATGCAAGTTGACATTCCTAAAGTGCACCCCTAAATCATATGTGAGAAGAGAAATTAAACATATCCGATAAGTACTGGCCGAACTTCTCAGTCTGAGATTAATAATTCATGTTTTGAAGTCCACATTGGAATTCGATGGTTGACTACAATACTAGTCTAGCTAAGTTTGTTCTCAAAAAAAATAACATATACAGCCAAGAGTCTCGTGATCCCCCCAATGAAGATCTATTGAGGTTGTCTCTGGGTGTTTTTCTTTGCCCCCGCCCCTTTTTCACAGTTAAAAAAAAAAAAAACTCATTTAGCCAAAAAAAATTGGTAGAGGTGAGGTGTTGTTACAGGCGGATCTACACATGTATTAGACAGTGTAGGACTATTCGCATGGATATACCTTGCACACATAAGGTGGTGTCAACCCCCATTTAAAAGAGCAGTGCTATTGCAATCTAATTTGAATACTTAAAGTCAGCATCTAACGTATTGTATTGTGATCATTAGAGTAGTTGTGGATCTTAACATTATCATAATTCATTAGGTCTCCAACTTAAGTCTTACTGAATTACCGTCCCCTCTCAATGCTTTCATAAGTTAAATCCACTATCATGAGAAATTCTTTATCGAATAATATTGACCTAAAAATTAATCTAATTTATTGATTTAATAAAGAACTCCTAAGTTGTAGTTCAAATAATGTTATTTTAATTTTTTTTTTTTTTTGGGAGAGGGAGAGGAGGAACTTGAACCTTTGACTTTAATCGCATTACTCTTTTAAGTTCATTTAATGGTTAAGATTATCAAGTCTAATTTTTAAGTCTAGTTTTTTAAGTTCATTTAGCATTACTCTTTTTTTTAAATGAGTATAACTAAAGAAGTATGGTACCAAAAGTTGCAATTAATTAAAGGTTAGTGAACATTTATTTCGATTAAGTTACTATTCACTATAGTCAAGCTAAGATAAAAAAAAAAAGAGTTAAAATTTTAGATTCGATCTTAAACGCCGCAAATGAAATTTTAGATTCAATCTTATATTCTTATTTTAGGAATCCGTAGGTAAGCTCGTTTGCTCTATAAAGATGGGGGACATCACCCAATTCTAGAGTATAAATTATAAAGATAAAAATAAGAGCATCCAAAAACGAAATATTACATGATACTTGCCTTTTTGCAAAGTTACACTTTCACCACTTATCTAGGTCTAAATTACTAAATTACTTTTGAAAAGAGATTAGAAAGTCTCGATGCATAAGATTTCTCCCACTATGGGGAGAAGAGTCAATGTACGCAAAGAAAGAGGTTCTAGAAATGATCAACACAATAAAAAAAACTGTGATTATCCTTTCGGAGACAAACAAAAAACCTGCAATGGCCTGGACTGTTCATGCTTGAATCCCCCTAGCATTTAAAAAGAAAAAAGACGAATGAAATAGTTGGAGGCCAAACTAGAACTGCATTTATGAAATTATGACAAAGAGAAAAGCTTAAGAATAAATAATATCAAACCAATCAAGGATCCAAGTAGCAAACAAGAAGAGAAAAAAAAAAAAAAAACAAGCAGCCAAATGCAAGAATACAAATAACAGGACAAGAAGTATATTTCCACCCCTATAGTAGCTTATTGCAACACCATTAAATCAAATAAATAAAGAGCTATATCACACATTTACTAGTGTTATTTCACAGAGTCAACCAAAATCATGTCTCCAGCCATGGCGTCCCAAATGCAATGCTCTTTCATCTCCACCACTAGAATCAGGGCTATACCCAGAAATCCATTTACCCTGTCCATGAACAGCAGTACGCCTTGGGTTTGGACTCCTTGGGACTTGATAACTTGCAGTTCCTCCACCTGAATTTGATGAGTCATAGCTCAATCCAGTTACTGTTCCTTTCTTTGATGATAGGTTCCATTGTGTCGATGGTGGGCTACACTGCTTGGCTGAGCCTTGACTTCGCACCTTCGCTTTTGCAGATTGGGTTGGGGCCATGTAGCTAGGGACACCATCCGAACTTGCTTGTCTTTGCTGCCGATTTGAATACTGGACTGATTCAACTGTGTCCCCCTTGATCCGGCCTGTATTCAGATTTTCTGAGCTGAGTGGCGTGACCAAATCCATTTCAACTGTTTTCACTGACGTGTCATCAGTGGTGGTGGTGGTGGTGGTGGTGAGTGTGCGCTCTCTTTGCCCCATGGGACGGACATGGTAGTGCTGTGATGCCATCCACTGGTCGAGCCAATGCAATTCCCACTGTGACTTCTCATTCTCATTGGCATATAATCCAACAACATCACGTTTTGGATCTGAATGCAAGAATTGTTGGGGTTGTTGCTGTTGCAATTTAAAAAAAGTATAAACAAATGGAAAAAGTTGCTTACAAATTAAAATTTTCTTGGTGGAAGGAGAAGTTAGTGTAAATCAACATGCAAATGGTGGTCTAATTTGAATACAAACAACGAACAAAGTTGAAATAATTAACAAACCTGGTAGGTAAAAGCATAGGCAAGAGCTCTCTCCCTATTCATTGAGGTGTCTTGTTTTCTCAGGGTATTTTCTCTGATTTTGTCCATGCTCTGATTCCAACTATCCCTACCTTCAGTTTCAAACCTCTTTATTGGGCTCCTCTTCTTATGCTCTTCCCCTCTCGTTCCTAATCTTTCTTCTTGCTCTTCAACCTTCTTTTGAAGATTTTCATGGGTTAGTTGGAGTCTGCGTGCACGTACTCTTGCCTGTACACTGACTAATGCTTGCATGCATCGCATTGTCATTTGTGCTTGCTTACGTACATTGTGCCCCCTTACTAGTGCTTGTAGCCTCACCAGTCCCTTCAGTGCCCGTAGAGCACGTCTAGCCTACAAAATCAGAGAGGCTTACCAATCACATGCTTAAAGTAGAAGGGTAACAGAACATTACCATCCTTTGTGTTTTAAAAGACATTTGAACCACCTAACGCCTAAGAAAATCATGAACCATCTATCTTTGATTTGCTTTTCCCCCACAATCTAATTAAGGCCACAAAAGGTTGGCAAGCATTCAAAAATTAATCTATGAGGTTATGTTTGACTTGTATAAGAGGTCTAATTATCATAGAGAGAGAGAGAGAGAGAGGAATGCTACCAGATATCCTCGGTAATATGATTGGATGAGGGTTGCAGCCCTTTCTCCCTTAGAGTGGCGTCCATAACCAGCCAATCGCACAACCTTAGCAGCTGCTTGAGCAGCGGCAACAGCAGCTTCAGCTGCTGCAGCAGTTGCCACTGCAACAGCAATAGAATGATTTTGATCTTCACTCTGTAGAGATGCCGCATCACTGTCATCATTTGTGATATCTGGAGAACTTTCAGCAGGGAAATGTTCAAATGACACCACTTCTGGTGCATCGTGTTGCCATTTTTCTACATTATCCCTCTGAAAATCATTGCTTTGCTTAGTGCTACCACTTACCAAAATGCTATTTCATAATCAAAAACTTCGTATTGGACAATATCAGTGCCAGTTCAAAAATAGCAAGATTGATTGATTGAGATGATGGGGATCTAACATAAGGAGCACATGGTGATCCACCCATGATGTGGTATTATAGGTGGCATGATAGTACTATGTCAGGAGCCGTGTAAAGTATTTGGCCATGTTGATGGGGGACCATATGCCCAATGTGGTTCCACCAGGAAAACCCATCAATCATCACCTTCAGTGAGAATTTCAAAACTAACCCTTGGTTGAAGGCAACACTGAGGAACAGGTCAACGATTCCAATGAAATGCTAGGCTGTGGTTCCTCAGTTTAGCTAATCCAACCTTGACCGGAAGCTGGAGTGAGAGTCTTCCTTTGAAGAAGAGAGGTTAAAAGAGCCCAATCCAAGTTTAGATGTCTCAGCAAGAGTTGCTTAAAATGAGTGTTCTAAGTCCTTTTCAGGCATGTGCTTCTGATTGTAAGAGTGGTTTACATGATCTGCTTGAAACTCAAGATGTCTTATTATCTTATAGGAAACGGCCCATTTAATCGATCTTGAGATTGAGGCGGTAGAGATCAAACAATGAACACATGCATAAATTATACAACTTGTCTGGGATTAATCCAATCAGATGATGATACTGCTATACTTCATTTGAGGAATCAAAAGGGTTAGGACATAAGGATTCAGGAAATCATCTATCATAACAGGATAGATCATGGAAGGGAAAAAGAAAGGAAATTGCAGTAATCAATGTCACAAAAATCTCTCACCTATTAAGTAGCAAACTGAAAATACCCATTAATTATTCAAACAAACTAATATTAGAAATGATCAAATGAATAATTTGAGATTACTAATTTGCTTTTCCTGAATTATTCTATCTCTTTTTTGCAACTCTAAACGATGGTTTTATATAAATAACACAAAGAAAATAAGAACAAAAAATGGAGACTAATGGGGAGTATTTAAATACAAATCAGAATACCAACAATTTTCCCAACAGAAAAGAAAAAAAAATCATCCCATTTGGATCATAGCCTTGGAATTTCAGATAGTTCCATCAAAATAAATCTATTTTTCAGCGATCACCCAACATTATATGTATGTAGATATGCATGAACTGACCTTCTTCTCCGGCAGGTCCTTGGAGGAAGGTTTGAAGACTTTCTTCACGGTTGAAAACCATCCGCTACCTTTCTTCCCCATTTCCGACCACCTACAAAAAAAAAAATTCCAATTTCACCAAACACAACCAATTGAATTGAACTACGAATCTGAGTCTTACCCGGGAAAGAACTTAATAGTATTCTATGATCTCTTTATTCTTCACGTCCATTACTTGAGAACATCTATCCATGAAACCATTACAGTCACAATGTAGATTAGAAAGCAAAAATTATTTAGAGAGAGAGAGAGAGTCAGAGGTATTGCGGGAGAGAAGTAAGTGCNCACATCTATCCATGAAACCATTACAATCACAATGTAGATTAGAAAGGAAAAATTATTTAGAGAGAGAGAGAGAGTCAGAGGTATTGCGGGAGAGAAGTAAGTGCAGTGCCGCGCAGTTGCCGTTGGTATTTATCAACCTCACGGGGGGAGGTTCTACAACGAACTACAGACAGTTGGGTTCAGTAAATGGGAAATTGACACGTACTATGTGCCCTTGTTAGCAGGGCTTTCATCAGGCTCACCAAACTTCTATGGAGTCAGATATCAGAAATGTCCAAAGTTTAGAGGGGTCAATAGCAAAAAAAAATTGTTTGAATCTAAATGGGGTGTCTCTTGATTTATGACAACAATTTAAATTTAAAAACAACAAAATTATTTGTAAACTTGGCGTATCAACAAAATTCAAGTTTTGTACAAACGTGTTGAAATATAAATACTAAAATTACGCTCATTAATAACTTAAATTTTTTAGAATAAATGGTTATTTAACATGATATTCTGTATTCGAATCACACTGTCACCCTAACTATTTAAAAGATTTCTACTGACTAAGAAAAATAGCCGGCACGTGAGGAAACGTAAATGGTTGTTTAGCAATGCAAAGTTTAGACAAATGAAATCAATCTATGTTAATAGTGAAATAATCTTTGCACTATTAAAAGTGAAAGTGTGATTTTTTCGTAAGGAAAATGTTAAATAGAATTAAAAAATTGACTTGATAAATCACTATTAATGAATATGTAGTAGATTCCAATAAATATTAAGATTTACTGTTAAATCAATGAAAAATATAATAGTCACATTATCAAGTAAAATTTTTAATTCTGTGTAACNCAAAAAATTGACTTGATAAATCACTATTAATGAATATGTAGTAGATTCCAATAAATATTAAGATTTATTGTTGAATCAATGAAAAATATAATAGTCACATTATCAAGTAAAATTTTTAATTCTGTGTAACATTGCTCTTTCTTACAAGGGTTTGATAGGAATTGTGGGTTGCTCTGGGTTTTCTACTATTATTTTTTTATGTTTTGTGAAGGGTAAATTTGAAAAACATAATTTCTTAAGTGTCTACAACTTTTATTGAATAACCCCACTATTCCCTTAACGACGAAGGTGATTGTGAATACAATAATAACGTTGTTTAATTGTGATCTACGTGAGACGAATTTGAGTCACAAATATAGTCTTTTGTAAGGGAATGAATAACATAGTCCATATGGTCCCAAAAGGCTCAACCTGCATGTTCATATGGTGGTGTGACAATAAAATGAGCAAGTTGGTCATGTTATCAACTTCATGGGACCTCTGCAGTAAGGTCAAGGCATAGATCAACAGCCTAATAAATTCATTTTCTTGCTTGATGAGCTGTGAAGTTTTAGTATCAACCACAACTTGCAGATGCAACATCTACATATTGATAAAGTTGAGGGGTTAAAAGGCAAATGCAAGTGCAAAAAGGGAGTTTAATTTAGGTGGAAAGTGGCCTTTTGCTTGCATTTAAAGAGAGATTGAAGCAAGAGTGAAGGATCAATTAATAAGAAGAAAATTTTAGGTGTGTGCACTGTTTTTAACTTTGATGGGAGTTTGGTTGTACACATCTTTCATTAAGTGTATTATACACGAAAAACCAAAGGGATTGAATCAATGGTTGGTGTTCCACCCCAAAAGTTTAATTCCCGGGTGCAAATTTCAAGTTGAAAGTCGGGTAACATCGGGTTCAATTCATATTTGATTTTCTTGTTATGTAATTTAAATTGAGCTAGAATTTGCTTATTTTGGTTGAGTCACAAAATCTTGAAATCTTAACCCAAGTGCTATCCAAATTTAATTTCGGACTCAATTTGAGTTAAGTTTAGATTAACTAATTCAGGGTTATAATTCAAGTCCAATTTTGAGCATGACGCAATATGACTAACCTAAATTCAATAAAACCTAAAAGACACTTAAAATTTATATAGTCCCATCAGAGTATATATTATTTGTTTATTTTAATTTTGGGTTAAACTCAAATTGTGAATTAAAGTTGAACCTGATTTCAACCATTCGAGTCAGAGTTCGGGGTTGAATCCAATAATCCGAAGTCTTAACTCTAGTACGACCCGAATTCAATTTAAGGTGCAATTTTTCAGTCGAAATCCAACTAAAATTTTGAAAATTTTAACCCCTACTCTTTTTTCCGGGTTGGGTTAAGGTTAGATTTGAGTTAGCCCATGTAAATTACACCCCAAGGAATCATTGGGTACCTCTTTTGCTCTACAGCCCTGGGGGGCATCACATACTTCTTTTTGGATAAGAAAAGATTTGTTTTGGGTAAATACAAACCATACAATATGATTTTTTAAAAAAAAAATTTTTGTGTATTGCGATTATGAATATTTTGGTCAATTCATGCATACTTCAACTAACATCATCTTTGATTTGATCAAAAACAAACTATCCACATTAACAACACAATTTAAAACACTAGAACAATGTTTGTCTGATTACTTACCCAAAAAAAACAAAAAAGTTTGTCCAATTGCTGTTTAATTAATAGCTTACTAATTTTCAATGACATAACATCTCTGTTACCATCAAGAGTTTGTTTAATATTTTACCAAGAAAAGGAGTTTGTTCAAAAACATTCGTAAGCTAGTTAGGGTCTTAAATGTAATTATTAAACACCTTAATTACAAAATTGAACAAAAATAAGACTATTTTTGAGGAAATGTCAAGGTTTAAATTCTAGCACCATTGCTTAAAAATTGCCAATAAAAACATTTTAAACATTTTATTTTATTTTTCTCAAAAATTGAAACTATAGTATTCAGGTTTCTTTTAAAATAATAGTAAATTATTTTTATATTTGTTTCACTAATTTATTTTTCAAAGGGTAAAAAATGCAAATTGCCACCTAATGTGTAACTTTAGTTTTGTAGTTTTTAAAGAATAATTTTAGAATATTTTACAGATAAAGTGTCATTCATAAAAAAAAAATGTAATATTATTTAAATTTAATTTATTATAATCGTTTGATTAATAATAAATTTTACTAATATTGAATGAAATGACTAAACAATTGTAGTAGAGTAGCTAAATTAATAAGTTAGATGCGAATAAATATTATTTGGAAGTGGCATCTGGTCATGCCACGTATAATTCCGTACGACGGTGGGACACCACGAAGCTTTTCTCTGAAAACAAACAAAATCTCTAAAAAGTACAGGGTGCGCAAAACGCATCTTTTCTTAAGNCTTGGAAGTGGACCACGTATAATTCCGTACGACGGTGGGACACCACGAAGCTTTTCTCAGAAAACAAACAAAATCTCTAAAAAGTACAGGGTGCGCAAAACGCATCTTTTCTTAAGCTGTATTTATTTATTTATTTTTTTCCCGAAAGAAACGATATACACAGACCACTACACAATACCGCCACTTAAAAGTGGCAGTGTCATAGGGCATTATAGGTACTTGCTTTTTTTTCTTAAGCTCTACTCCTTACAACTAAGTGGCCGTTGGAATTCCATGGACCCCACTTCACTCTTTCCTACACGTNGGCTTTTTTTTCTTAAGCTCTACTTGTTACAACTAAGTGGCCGTTGGAATTCCATGGACCCCACTTCACTCTTTCCTACACGTGGCACAAACAATCCTGGCTTGCGCACGATAAGATTTACCCCAAAAATTTAAAATTTAAAATTTAATGAGCGCAGAGAGCGCATCGTGCACAGGGTTATCAGCAGTCGAGCGCTTTGTAATCGTAATTCAAAGCTCGCGTGGTGGAAAAGAAAACGAACAGTGCGCAGTACACCCACCCGCGCATTTTTGGCCTCTCGTGCCTATTCTGCTCCATGCACAATCAACCGCTTTGTATTCTTTTTCTCAATAAACTTCATAGTTCTCGTCTATTTGTTTGCCAGAACCCTTCCTCTGCCATCTCTCTCTCTCTCTCTCTATCTCTCCCTCCTCCGAAAGATAAGCTCTGCTGCCTCTGCACATGATTTTTCCTCAAAGCAAAACTCTCTGAAAATCTTTACAAAGGTAAGAAATCATCACTCAATCCATATATTTAGTTTACACNCTCTCTCTCTCTCCTCCGAAAGATAAGCTCTGCTGCCTCTGCACATGATTTTTCCTCAAAGCAAAACTCTCTGAAAATCTTTACAAAGGTAAGAAATCATCACTCAATCCATATATTTAGTTTACACACACACACACACACATNATGCACAATCAACCGCTTTGTATTCTTTTTCTCAATAAACTTCATAGTTCTCGTCTATTTGTTTGCCAGAACCCTTCCTCTGCCATCTCTCTCTCTCTCTCTCTATCTCTCCCTCCTCCGAAAGATAAGCTCTGCTGCCTCTGCACATGATTTTTCCTCAAAGCAAAACTCTCTGAAAATCTTTACAAAGGTAAGAAATCATCACTCAATCCATATATTTAGTTTACACACACACACACACACACACACACACACACACAGTGAGTGGTTGTACGGATGCGTATTGCGTAGACATGGAACCCATATATTATTTATATACATATGCTCTTGCAAATGCATTGTTTCTTTAGGTAAAGGGTTCTATTTTCTTATACAAGTATCAAAGTCGAGACTTGTTCGTACATTTATGTGTGTGTGTGTGAGGGAGGGGGGGCGCGCGCCCGTGTGTTGTGTTGTAAGTGAATGGATGTATAGATTAAAGACCCATGTATCTACAATCGTTCTTGCAAACTTGAGGTTTCTTTATTCTTTATTTTCTGTATAGTAGTTTGCTGAAGATGGACTCGAAGACAAGCCAAGGGAGGCTGATGAAAAGGCCCATGGAGTGCTCAGATATTGACAGGCCGAAGAAGAAGCCCACTGAATATGTGAACGACGATCGTTTCGAAAGAATTTACATGTTCAAAGTGCTTTTACCGAACGGTACAAGCATGGGTATGAAGATGTCTCTGCTAAAGAGTGAAATACCCATTGAAGAGTTTGTTCAAATGGTTCAGCAGGAGTACTTCCAGACCATAAGAAAAACAGAGCCTTCAAAACCCAGAAGACGGATCAATTGGAACAGTCAAGACTTGCATTTTGTTGATGCATTCGAGAACAAGATAAGAAAGAAACTGAATTTCAAGAATTTTAAGCCCAACAATTGGTACATATTGAGGCTGCACGTATGTCCCCTATGCATTACTTTTTTAAGTTCCATAGTTGTTTTGGTTAAACGTGTCTTGATGATATTGTGTTGGTTTTTGAAATAGGATGGTTCTGGCGAAGCAGAGACTTTTGAGGTTGGTTTTGCATTATTGTTGTTACTTGGTTATGAATGGTTGTTTTATTGGGTAATTAATGCGGTATTTTACTTGGCTCATACGATTAACTGTGTGTTTCCCTCTTTGGGGATTTGTAGAATATGTGGGATTTAACTCCAGATACAGACTTGCTAAAGGAGCTACCTGAGGAGTATACTTTTGAAACTGCCCTAGCAGACTTGATTGTAAGCATCTGACAGAGTTAGAATTTGTTTAGTGCTGAATGTTGTTCATTTGGGCACTAATGCTTTTCTGCCGTTTACTAGGATAATTCATTGCAAGCGGTGTGGTCCAATGGTAAAAATGAGAAGAGATTAATTAGGTATGACAGTACTGTTGATGTTTTTTAGTTGTGTTTGCTCTGTTAATCTTTAAAGAACCCTTAATTTAATGAAGNGAGATTAATTAGGTATGACAGTACTGTTGATGTTTTTTAGTTGTGTTTGCTCTGTTAATCTTTAAAGAACCCTTAATTTAATGAAGTTCTTCAATGTTTTATTTACAGGACTTGCTTTAAGTTGAAAACCAAAAAGCAAATTTGAAAAGCCTTGCTTTGGATAATGTCTTTTGACCTGTTGGTGGAACCTGTAATCTTTAAAGAACCCTTAATTTAATGAAGTTCTTCAATGTTTTATTTACAGGACTTGCTTTAAGTTAAAAACCAAATTTGAAAAGCCTTGCTTTGGATAATGTCTTTTGACCTGTTGGTGGAACATTTTATATGTAATTAAGTGTACAGTTAGTATGGGATTCACCTTGGTTTGATGGCACATATGGAATAATTTTTTCAATCGTGATATGGCGGATATTGGGATAACCCACGACACTGGTGTTCAGTGTAAAGTGTCCAAGTTCCTGCTTTTTTCTCATACCTTGTAGGATGGTCCCTGCAGGTCATGAAATTGTGCAAGCTAAAACTATGAAATTAGCCAAACTTTCCTTACTGTAAACTGAATCACAGATCTGTTGGGCAATTCTATCTGATGCATAACCTATTGGAAATGAGGCTGACCCTGACCACAATTGCATTTTCCCTTAAAATTGGGGAGTGATTTGAAACAAATGTGCCTTTTTTTGGTTGACAACTAACAGCCAAATCATATTTATCTGGTCTGGTGTAACTTGATGGCCAATGGAATTTAACAGCATACTTATTTTTCAAATACCATATATGTGTGCGTTCATTTGTGTGTTTCAGGTGATGTATATGGAAACATCTTCAAATTCTTCAATCATGTCTCGGAATAAGTTACTTATTAAAAAAAATCTCGGATTATGTTAATTTAGGGGTCTTACTTGGAGAGAATTAAGATTACATTTCCCACAATACTGGTTTTGGAATAATGAATAATGTTGTGTTTTGATATGTGGAATTGCTTGTCAATGCAGAGATAATGATTGTAACCCATCTTCTAACCTTGATAAACTGAACTTTAAGTTGAACAATGAAATAGGTTTCCTTAATCTACCTTAAGAAAGATTCATCTTTTAGATTTTTTGTTTGTTTTGGATTTTTAGTTAACTGTATGACTTTCAAGTGCTAGGTCTTACCTTTGCTTTTCCACAATGTACTAGAACAGCAGTACAAAACATGGATACGCGTGAACTCAAAATAAGTTAGAATGATAACTTTCCTTCAGAAAACATTATCCATGGCTTTCAAAACGTTATGTTAAAGTATAAGTCACAATCATTTACTGTGCTTGCTACTTATATAAATTGGGGTGATTCATACATATCAACCAGTGTTTCTGATCCAGATAAATAGNTATCCATGGCTTTCAAAACGTTATGTTAAAGTATAACTCACAATCATTTACTGTGCTTGCTACTTATATAAATTGGGGTGATTCATACATATCAACCAGTGTTTCTGATCCAGATAAATGGGCTTTCAGCATCTTTATGGTTGTGTTCTTGCTGATGTATATTTTTTGGGCCTGTTTTTTTGGTGTATAAATTTTCTGCTATGCGGATGTAATTGGAAAGTCTAGATTTCTTTGTTTATGCTCATGTAAATGTAAATTGGTTCTCTGACATTATGATATTGTTTGAGCCATCAGGTCTTGTTCTTTGCATACACATTATGGCATCTGCTGCTTATTCGTTTGTGCATTTGTTTTTTGTGGGGTTGTATAACTCCATTCAGTTGGTTTGTTTTTAGCTGTTTAGTTTGTTGAACAAACATCGCGATTATTTGATCACTTAAAGCTGACTATTTACTTTTTTCACAGTGTGGATATTGTTGAGGGTAGGATCTCAATTTTTGATACAGGGCGCGGAATGGATGGTAGTCATGAAAACTCTATAGTGAAGTGGTATGATTCAGTAGTCTTTTTGAGTTTAATTATTGGGACTTCAATGTTTTTCGATAAGGTTATGTTACTCTGCTGTAGGTGAGACAGTTTACATGTTTGTCTTAGAAGGGGGAGGTTAGTTTCTAGTGGCTACTTGGGTTCACTATGCAATCTGATAGGTGGTCTCCAACCGGTTTTTGAACAATTTGCTTACATGTTACCTTTGATCTGATTATTTCAAGAGGAAGTTATTATGGTTCTTCTTTTAATAGTTTTTTGAGAGCNGGTTCACTATGCAATCTGATAGGTGGTCTCCAACCGGTTTTTGAACAATTTGCTTAGATGTTACCTTTGATCTGATTATTTCAAGAGGAAGTTATTATGGTTCTTCTTTTAATAGTTTTTTGAGAACCCACCTGCATGATTTCAGAGACATATTTCCAGTAATGGAAGAAAATATGTCCGAATGACTTCAAGAATAATTTGTGGCGACTTGCGAGAAGTAATTTCAAAAGATATTTTTTCTTAAATAAATGCTGTGAATCTCAACCAGGCTTTCAATAAATCCAGTATGTTAGATGGTTATCCGTTGTTTCTCAAGGTTGACCCCTTATGACTATTTACGGTTACACCAGTTGTGTTAATAATTCAACATAGATGTTGCTTCAGACAAAGGCTCCTATAAACATCACAGAATATGTGGCTTCACTTTTCACAATGTGTGTTTTGCTTAGGTTTGTCTTCGCATTACACATGGGAAGCGGTTCAGTGTTCACTTATCAATAAAAATATCAGTTTGAAGGAGTTTAATCAAGTATATTGACTTATTAGGTTACTTCTGTGATTTTAATTTGATGTTTTCTTGGAATGGAAAATGATGAACAAAGGAATGACATGATGAAGTAATCCCAAAGAATACTTGTTACTGATTATATTCATAGAAATCCAATCTGAGAATAGACATTCCTCCTCAAACTTTGTATGACTGTCTTTTTCAGATGCCAACAAATGCAGTAATGAAATTACAGATTGATATTTTTCATATATTGACTTCTATGTTTTTTTGTTCGAGGACATTCCTATTTGCTACTCTATGTTGTTATTTTATATTGAAAACCTAACATTCTTATGTTTAAATGGTACTTTCCTGTGGGTTTGTTTTCTTTTGCTTTTCCGTGTTACTTTGTTAGGGGAAAGATGGGTGCCTCCTTGCACAGATCTTCAAAAGGACAAGCAATAGGGGGAAAGCCTCCCTACTTAAGGGTATATAATACTTTGAAGCACTCCATAAATATGCATTCGTTGTAATTTTCTGTATTCTAATTGTGTATCCTTAAACTAAAATAAAAATTTTAGTTTAAAGTATGTATCATATTTTAAAATAATTGAAGACTCCAAGGGAAACATATTTTAAAATAAAAATTTTAGTTTAAAGTCTGCGCCTCAATGGAAGAAATTTTTTTTTTCCCTTTCTCTTCTTACTGAAAAGATGAAGTTTGGAAAGCATTGCTTCAATAGAAGTCCAAACCTTTCTGATAAGGGGAGAAAAAAAATTAAAATGTAGGGTTTCTTTGGAAGTTGAAGAAGGTGGTGTGGAGAAAATTTGGAGTCATGAGAAGAGTGGTTTTGGCACCTCACCTTGGTGTATATGTTGAAGTTAGATTAATTAACTTATTCACTGCACATTTAATATAGTGATATTCAAATTTTGAAATTCATGGTATGGCTGTCTGTGGGTGCACTCTTCTATGAAATGTCATCTACAGCTACAGCTGTATTTACATATCCCCGGTTACACCTTGTAAATGATGTGCATCAATTTCTTTCTGCATAGACTTTGTTGGTTGATTGTGTTTTTAAATTCAGAGCTGTTTCGGTAATTGCAGCCTTTTTTTGGTATGTTTGGATATGGAGGACCTATTGCATCTATGCATCTAGGAAGGTATGGTTTCCTGAAAGATTGTTCTAGCAAAGTTCAGTTTTTATTCCACTGTCTCTTACAGTTTACTTCCTTGATGCAGGCGGGCTTTAGTTTCGTCCAAAACGAAGGAGTCCAAAAAAGTTTACACACTGCATCTTGAGAGAGATGCTTTACTCAGCAGTTCCAGTTCAGAACAGACCTGGAGGGTAATCAAGTTCTCCGTGCAGTTTGTCCACCTGCCACAGTTTTTTTCCTTTTGCCTTTTCTGCTTATTCTGGACTCCTTAATCTTCATTATGGTTCTTTTAGACCAATGGCGGCCTGAGAGACCCTTTGGAAGATGAAATAGAGAAATCACCTAATGGAAGCTTCACAAAGGTAGCTTGGGCTTCATATTTTTACACGCACCATTTAAGATTTTGAGTCTGTTTATTTCATCTACCATTGTCAGTAAGTTATGCAGTCTAACTCTTCTCATTTTAGTGACATTATGCTGAACTAGAATATGGATTTCATTGTGGCATTATCTTTGAGGATAGTAAACATTGTGGTTTGTTTTACCATAATTCTGACCTGTGATTTCTATGTGCAAAATCTTTTGATAGTAAATGCAGACAAAACCTTGTCAAATTATGATAATCCTTTTTCCAAAAGACAATGATAATCCTTGGTGCTGTTGATTTTGTGAGAAAATGTGGTCAGTTAATATATCTATTTCTGGGATGAAACACTGAATAGTTGTGGTAGTATAACCTTTTGGGTTTTGAGCCTTGGGCCCTTGATTCTTTGACTACTATTCTCTTTTTGGGTAAATAAACATAAAGTCAAACAGAGGAAAAATGCAACAGACCAAAACCGAGAATATGTCCAGTATTTTTGGAATATGCTGGTTTCCCTCGACTCTTAAAACCTGAAAAGAAAAAGATATAGCATGCAAGGCTCATACTGATTTGTAACAAAGACAATTTAGTATTCAGCTAGCTGCCGCAGACAGTTGCCATTGGACAGAAATGCCTTGTCCATGTTTTAGGTTGTCAAAGTGGACATGTCTTCTCTAATTGTCTGATGGGCGTAGCATTGAATGAGCTTTATAGAATCTTTCATTTAAATTAAACTTACACTAGTAAATTTATTTCTAAATGTTATTTCATCTAATTAAGGGTGATTCAGTACTAGAAATTTTTGGTATTGAATTTTTTAGTCTGTCAACAGCTCCTTGGGTGATATTTGGGATAAACCCTCATCTGCTAAACAAAACAAGCATGTAGGAAAGGTAAAATGCGGTACAAACTTGAGTTGGAAAGCTTCACAAATATGTTTGTACAAGAGTGGAGATAATGCTGATTAAGTAATAAATTTGTATGATAGCAATGCAAAAAAAAACTGTGTGCAATGCTTCTACCATTTCAACTCCAAATCGAGGAAAAAGCAACTGATTTTAAAGGGAATGGTTGGCACTTGGGGTAAATATGGCCCCTGACCGTGAGAAGCACAGCCAAATAAGGTGTTCCTTCCTAATGATTTTTTTTAGGGAAAAAGACTCAAAAGGTATCTTGAATGTGTTTTTTTAATGCATGCTTACATTCAGATGCATTTCACAGTTTCTGGCCATTCTGATTAATTTTGTAGAGGAATCCTTTCGTTCCCTAGAGTTTGTTTGCCATCAAATACCTTTTTTTTTCGATTTTCCTCTGCCAGGGGCAGTGTCTTTTGTCTGTTATAGGTTGTAATGGTCTTTACACCAAATTAATCCACTATATTTTTACTTACAACATGTTTTCCTCTTCCGTTTTCTTTTGGACAAACTTGCTAATTATAGTTAAAAAATGCTTGTAATATAGGTGTCTTTGTAGCATAATTGTTTATTTGATGTTTATGGAAAATGACATGCCTTCTCAATATCACCCTAGGCATAATCTTTGGAGCAGTCAAGTGCGGGGTATATACTCAAGTGTGCTTTGAATTTGCTTTAATTTTTGCATTTGCTATATATTTTGACAGGTTGATATTTTTGAACCAAAAATGAGATTTGCAGACATATTGCAACTCCAATGTGAACTAAAGGATATCTATTTCCCATATATTCAGGTTTGCATGCACCAACAATAGTCTCTCATAACTGCTTGTATCCACAATTCCATACTCAACTTTGCAATGTAATAAGGAGCGTATATTTATTTGTATGGACTTGAAAGATAGTATTTTTTCGAAGTTGTTGACAGAATTACATAGGAACACATAGAATTTAATAATGAACTGGCCGGAAAAATCCTTCTTTATTTATGTTTCTTCTCATTTTTCTTTCTACGGCATGGCGCTCTTCGTTGGAAAGTTACTCATTGCTACCCTGCATGTACTTGTAACAATTTTTTATATCTATTTTGCAGTAGGAGCTTTAAGGAACTTATTCCTTCAATGATCATTAATTTTGCTTGGTCTAAAGAGATACCCTCCACCAACTAGATATTGGTTCGCACTCATAGGTTATTTATTGACTTCAGGTTTTGAGCACAGAATTAGGATATTGGCACTCATAGGTTTTTAAGTGACTTCGGGTTTGGAGCACGGAATTACGATATTGTGGTTCTATAGCTGCTGTTTAATGAAAATTTTGAAGAAAGGCTCATGCTTGTCTTTCTAGTTTCTTCCCTAACTGTAGTGTGATGTTTCTGAGTATGAGTACTAAGACATCCCACAACTTCTAGCTTTCTTTTGTCGAAGCAGCCACCTCAAAAATCAACATCCATATTTGTTGGGCAAATTAATGAACCTGTGTAGCGATATCTGCATGTGAATTATACTTTTTGTGAACCTTAAATTTCAGTTCTGTAGTGACAAACTATGAGTACTTTGTCTGATGGATCACTTGGTTGAAATACAGTATTGTTGGTGAATTTGTGTATGAGTAATTTGCTCATAATTCATAATTGAGCACTACCATCTCACCCACCCAAGGTGCAAGTCAAAATTCTAACCCACAGTTATGGTATTTAAGGAATTCTATAAGCTACTATCCACAAAAGAAAGAATGACCATTAAGAAGCAGCTAGCAGCTAGTTCAGATTTCAGATTGCACTTACCAACTCTGAATTATGTTTGTTGGCATGATTGTGCATGCCACACCATCTAGCTAATGACAGGAAGTTGAATACATAAATATCACAACTTTATTATTCATAATTTGTGCTCTCTTTCCATTATATATCTACCTTCCAGATACTATAGGTCTTCTTCCTATGGTCACTAAATGGAGCACGTTAACGCTCCTATACCAAAAATATCTCCAAACATCTCATTGCTACTGGTTTTCCATAAAAGTGTATGAACTGAATTGTAAATAACGTGTGGAAGTTTTTGACTACTAGTTATTGTCTAAGTAGGGGCTTTGATATATGGGAGTGTGGAAGGATTGTCTGAAATTGTTTGCTCCAAATTCCTTATTTTTAAGGCTATTTGTCACGAGTCTACCCGGAAATTTTTGACTCTGGTAGCATCTAAATTGTTTAGCTGATTGTCAGACCTTTACAATGAAATTAAGTTTTGTGTGCAGGTGTCTCATAATTGCAGCAAATTTGATACGTATGTNCTACCCGGAAATTTTTGACTCTGGTAGCATCTAAATTGTTTAGCTGATTGTCAGACTTTTACAATGAAATTAAGTTTTGTGTGCAGGTGTCTCATAACTGCAGCAAATTTGATACGTATATNTCACGAGTCTACCCGGAAATTTTTGACTCTGGTAGCATCTAAATTGTTTAGCTGATTGTCAGACCTTTACAATGAAATTAAGTTTTGTGTGCAGGTGTCTCATAATTGCAGCAAATTTGATACGTATGTGCATTCGATGTTCAGGATTTTATCTTCATCTGTTTATTTTTTCTTTCTGCAGTGTGATGAAGTGTCTAATACTGGCAGAACTGTCATGCCGATTGAGTTTCAGGTTTGATTTATTGGTACTCCTGCATCATCCATATTCCGAAATTGGTTTATTTCTTTCATCAGATTCCTCATCCTTTATGGCATGAAATTTCACTAATCATGTTTGTAACCTGTAATGATACTTGCTCTTTCAATTGCATCTTGTTTGATGCAAGCTTTCACATTCTGTTTGTTGTCCCTCATTTTGATATTTTCCTTTCCTGAGTCTCCACCTTCCTGTGGTAGCTTTGTTTTCACTACTCTTGTTTAGTTTTCTTTCCTGTTTTGATGAGCTTCTTATGATGAGTTTAGCACTTAGGATATGCTTTCTTTGTTTGAACTCGATTGATAAGTGGCCATGCCATGCCCTAAGCATGCATATCAAGATTATGTGATGTGATCTTTTTGTATGTGTGAGTTAGAGTGTGATCTTGTGTTCTGTATGTCGCGAAAATAATTGATTTTTTCTGGTGTAGAGTGGGAAAAATCTCAGAAATTAAAGGATTGATGGAATGCATTATCAATAATGGCTTTCAGAAATCGATATTTGCTTGCGTTTTATCTGAAGAGAGAACTTGCCTATCTCATGTAACATGTTTTTATGTCAAAGTGCTTTTCACTCCATCATGATTGCTTCATTTTCTTTGTTTTACTTTTCTTCACCTTTGTTACCTTCTTTTTTTTCTTTTTCTTTTTTTTCAACTTGCCTTACTTGTGAATCTTGTTTGTGTATGCACTATCAATTTTCCTTTACACCTTGAGAAAATCGGGAATATATACAATCAATGTTTTTTGTAGGTCAATGGCATTGATTTAGCGGAAATAGGTGGTGGGGAGGTAGCCATAACGAACTTACACTCCTGTAATGGCCCAGATTTTGTTCTGCAACTTCAGTTTTGCTTCAATCAGGACACTGCTTCAGCAAGTTGTCCAGGCAAGCACTTTGTTCATCATGAGAAAAATGTTATTTAGTACTGTTGTATCAATTTTTCCATTTACAGCACCTCTCTCCCCAAAAAACCTTCCTTGTGGTAATAGATGCAGACTTTATGTCAATAGTCATAGCTGAAAGGTTAGTTTTGAGTATGTTTTAAGAATCTGAGACTTCTGTTTCCTTAGGATTAAGAAGATATCAAGAAGCGAATGCACGGCTAAAGTGCGTTTTTTTTCCTATTGTTGAGGTACTATATACTTGCATAGTCCTTGGCCCTTTTTCATTAATAACAAGTGGGAAATGCTCTATTTATGTGTAAACACGAATGCTGTACATACTAATAAATTTATTCATATTTACTCTTAATAATAGGGTAAAGAGAGCATTGAGAGGATTTTGGAGAAGTTAGAAGTGGACGGATGTGGAATTCCAGAAAACTATGAAAACTTTAGTCATGTATCTATCAGGCGGCTGGGTCGTCTACTTCCAGATGCTCGCTGGGTGAGTAAATCAAAATATTCGTTATATCCTTTCAGTAACAGAGAAAAATATTTGTTTTCATTCCTAGATATCATTAAATAGGTGTTTAATTTTGTTTTCTTTAGAAATGTGCTGGAAAAGTTCTTACACTTCATCTTTCGTAATCCCCACACCACCAACATACACACACCACACACACTGACAAAAAAAACTGTGATACTTTGAATTTTAGCATGACGCAATATGTGCATTTTATAGTTCTTATTTCTTGGTGTCTTTTTTACCATTGCATTGTGTCTGGTTGATGTGCAGTTTTCACAACTTATGTCATGTTTTTCCTTTACCACAGGCATGGCTTCCATTTATGGATTTAAGGCAGAGAAGGGGAGATAGGGCCCAAATATTGAAGAGATGCTGCTCAAGAGTAAAATGTTTTATTGGTAAAAATGATTAGTTAATAAGTTACATCGCCTAGTTCTTGTGTAGTCCGAACAAGCAATATTCAAATTTTTTGCCTGTTCAGTATGCCTCAATGGACACTGTTGTGGTTGCAGAGACTGATGCTGGTTTCAGTCCAACACCCTCGAAGGTATAGATTGTTGGTTCCTTCATATCATTTGCACGTATAGCATCAAGTATTTCTATGTGTATATGTGTTTGCATATGTATACCAAAGAATTGTGACAAGGCCTGAAGCCAAGAATTCTAAGTCCTGACCTGAAAGTGGTAGATGCCTTTGGGATGAGCTTTTCCTTTGGATTTGTTGGTGCATTTTTACTTTATTGCAATAAACTTCCTCCGTGCATAATTCCCTACTCATCTTTTTCGTGGTTTATTTCCTTCAGTAAATACATCAAATTTAGAGTGATAAATATAATTATTTGTTTCTGGAAAACAATCAATGATTATTGACGAATATGAATCATATGGGTGCTGTTGGGTTTATTCCATTTGATGCATTATTCTGGAAGTACTGCAGAGAAGGAATTCTTTCTACCATGTTATTTATTGCCAGACCAAAGAGCTGCTTATTTAACTTATTCTTGTTTTGGGAATGCTTCTTACTGATCTGGAGACTGCATATTTTTATGAAAAACTTCAATTTGCTTTAATGTGGTCGTTTTAATTGCTACTTTTTTTTTGATTCCTGAATAATGATAATGGCTGGATGCATTGTCTCCTAGACGGATTTAGCACACCATCACCCTTATACCATTGCCTTAAAGAACTTTGGCAACAAGTCTCTTGAGAAAGAGAAAGGTAAAGTTCTTGGTCGGTTTTAATATGTAAAATGTGGAAGTTCAATTATTGATTATGTTTTTTTTAACGTTCCAATCGATTCTCAGCAATGAAATACTTTTATTACTTACCTGCAGAGGTAAATGTTGAAATTTACAAAGATGAAAAGCCATTGAATCTTTTGCAACTGGAGAGGCAATATCGAGAGTGGATTTTTCAGATGCATGATCGTTATGATGAGGAGAGTGACACTGGTGTGGATCAACCTGTTCTTGTAGTTAGCCCCTTAAACAAGAAGGCACTTGGTGTCTCTTCTGATGGTAAGCACATACAAAAGATGATGTATTCAGATTGTTACAACATCCAACCCAAAATCAATTGACCATAGTTGGAGTGGCCCCTCAAGTATATAAAACTAATCTTAGTGGGTCCTAATTGTTGGATGTGGGACACAAGCTCTTTTAACACTCTCCTTCACGTGGGACCGAGCTCGCATGTGGGGTCCACATATAAACAAAAAACCATGTATACGAGGATTCAAATGGGTAAGAGGCTTGACCCACTAATTACCCCCAGGCCTTAGCTTTGATACCATGTTAGAGCATCCCACCCAAAAATCAATTGGTAATGGATGGGGTGGCTCCCAAGTATATAACCAACCTTAGTGGTCCTAATTATCCTGTGATATAAGCTCTCTTAACTCAAACAACTCTTCCTTTTATTTGTCTGAATATTTCTTTTTATTTTCCTCTTAATTTTTACAATATCTGTATGTTTTTTATAAGTAAATTATGATAATGTTGCTGCTTTTCAAACTTGTAGTTGTGAGGGTTCACAAAGTTGTCCAGAGGAAAGGAACATCCTGGAAATCAGGGCAGAAGATCAAAATTCTTAAGGGAGCGTGTCCAGGATGCCACAAGAAGAATATTTATGCTACTCTTGAGTATATTCTCCTTGATGGGTTTCAAGGGGATGCAGGTGGTAAGTGAACTCGATTTTTTTAATAGCAAGTAAGCATAGCAGTTTTATTTAAATTATTTATATGCTAGGAGAATACCTTGGCGGTCTTGCATTTTTTCAAAACTAAGTTGAACGATGAACATAAGGAAGAATTTTTGTATGCCCTGGGTCATAGTCTTACTATAATATATTATTATTATTACAGCTCCATGATAGTTCTAGTAAAATTCATCCTTGTCATTTTAATAACCCTAGCTCTTCTTCCTTAAACCCCCCCCCCCCCCAACTCACCAGGGGAAGCTCAGCTTATTTGCAGGTATGCCTTCTTCTATGATCTTCTGAATCGAACATCTTTTTTATAATTATTGTTGTATTTTACTATAATTTTAGAATAATATTTGTCGGTACTTTGGTTCTGGAAGGCCACTAGGTCTCACAGAGGAGAATGGTTGCCTCCTCCTTGCTGTAAAGGATGGAAGTTCCAATTTAGATATCCGTGACTCTATCTCTGTACCAATTCATGTGATTGATTCTGGAAAGGTTAGGCATTGTAACTTGTTGACTGTATTACTTTATTGAACTCTTCCTTAATCTCTCTCTCTCGCTCTCTTTGTGTGTGTTTGTAATTGTTTTTAACATTTTTTTTTATTTCTGTTATTTAATAAATCTTCCCATATTGATGCTAGTGTCTAGCCATTGAACCTGAGGAGTGGAATTACCAACTTGAGAAGCAACGTCAAAAAACTCCATCCTCAATTGAGATATTGAGTGCAAAACATTGTCAAGAGTTAGAAGTCAGTGAGGTTAGTTTATCCTCACCAGTCTCATTTGTATATAGTAGACGCCGATCTCTTGTCCTCTTCTTGATTGCCAGAAGATGACAAAAGAGAAGCTTTTCAGAATCCTTGTACAAATTGGAATCTCCATCAACTAAGCAATTAGACGGAGTAGTGATGTTTTTGCTCCTGTTTTTATTTTTTTTCAAAGCCTCAATCAGCAACTAGGCGGAGTAGTAATGTATTGTTACCAAAACTTCGTTCTCTTATTACAGGCATTACCTGCTGATTCCGTAGTTGATGCTGGACATTTGCCCCCTGAGCAAATAATTGCAGTTGTACGGCCGACCTCATTTAATTTAGCGAGTGGCTCAAAGAACTTGGATCAAAAACATATTGCCAAGGAAAATTTTGAGATGACTCTAGAATTAAAATATTACTCCCAAAACAAAGATTTACAAAATGTTCAGCATATTTATTCGGTTCGTGTTGCTNCAAAGAACTTGGATCAAAAACATATTGCCAAGGAAAATTTTGAGATGACTCTAGAAATAAAATATTACTCCCAAAACAAAGATTTACAAAATGTTCAGCATATTTATTCGGTTCGTGTTGCTCCTTCATCACGTAAAGCGTTTCATGGTTTATACATATTTCCACTGAGAAGCAAGTTTCCAAAGTTATTTCAAGAAGCTGGACTCTACATATTTACTTTTTCTCTTGTAAGTGATATGCAAGGACTCTTAATCGTTGATTGTTGATGTTTGTTACATAACTTGATGTGTTTCGTTTCTGATCCTGCATTTTGCTGCGATGGAATTTGTTTGTTAGAAAGAGTTGAATATTAGGAATTGTGAAAAAAGAATACAGGTGAAGGCCTTATCTGGACTTGGGAGATGGGGACTATTAAGTGCTGAGCAGAGTGCACCATGTAGTGTAAGGTAATACATGGTTCTGATGTATACCACTTAATTTATATTTGTTGATTATGCTTCTGAATACAATCACCAGGTACTCTAGTTTGTTTTTGTTTTTTAGACTTTTATGATTGATAAAAGATCTTATATTTGCATTTTTCAGATAATTGTGTAATGAAAACCTTATAAAGTTTCTTGAGTAAATTTACTAAAACATAATGGTGTTGTCAACTCCCTTAGTTTGTCGTCATCACCCTCATCACCTTCTCCATAACCATTACATGATTTCAACTACTTGGCAATAACAATTATCAGCAATCTTATTATTAGAGAGAAGGAAACATTGATCAGAAGCAAATAAGATCAATACTATTGTTTTTGTTTTAAGGTCAAATATTTTCATTTGCATAAAATTTGCTATTTCACCGCTGCTGGTGCCATGATGGCTGCTAGGAAAGTCCAGTTATTGTGGGTCTGATGTGTATTGCCTATTGTGTATTTCATTGGATCTCCATTTAATCAATGCTCTTTTTTATGTCTCATCTAAGATTCGATGCATTTTCCCCAAGGTATCCTTTTGTTTCATCAATGATATTCTTGGGGTTAACAGTCATCCACTGGTGGCAGGGTTGGTTCGTGTTTTCCACCTTTTTCAATTGCATTTTATGATAGATACGACAATCGCATTTCATGCACATGCATTCCAGAGGTGATGGCAAAGGTTATTGCAAAAAGAGATGTTCTTGCACATGTGCATAATCTGAAGGTGCACACTTCATCCAAAATATTGAGAATAAAGGTATCGTGTACTTAGAAGCCTCTCCTCCCTTTCTGAAGTAACTTTGTTCTCATCTTTTATGCATAAATGTCTTCCTTTAATCTACAAACCCCTGTAGGATCTGCTGATCGAGAGCAGTGAATTAGACAAGATTCGGCCAAGTTATCAGGCCACTTTAATGATATGTTCACTGGATGATTCACTCTCTGTACAGTTTCCGTGTCAAGGTATTTTGAGTTCATGTTGACGTTCTTCTTTGCATTATGGAACTATTTCCTTGAATACAAAATGAACAATAAGAATTAGAGTTGGACTTACGTTCTGGAGTTTAATTTCTCATGGAATTTGTTTACTTCAGTTCTTCCTGGATCTTTGCAAAGTGTCACTACACAACCACCATATTTTAGGGGGAAATTGCTTCCAGGGCATGTAATTAAAGAGCTTGTACTAGAGGTACCTCCGGTATTTTTATCATTTTTATGGGCCACCTATGTGCAATCTTCTTCCAGGAATCGGAATACTCATTAATCAACTGCTATTGTCAAGAACTTGCTTGATCAAAATACTCTGGACATTTGTATTAATATATTAGAAACATAATATTTCTTGATATTCATTGTATGAGGATGATTAGATTGCCCTGCTAACTTGCATTTCATATTTTTCTTTCCTTGAAAGGTTAACATACAATTTGCATTGTTCCAAAATATCTTCTAGAGATTATACAGTGGTTACAGTATCTATTGTTTTTCCCGGGAAGCAAACTCTATATTGTTATGGGTGATTTAATCTGATTTTTTCACTCGTTCCCCCTCTCCTCCCGTGTGTGTCTTGGCTCTTCTTACCTCAAGTAGGCCCCACCTAGGGCACATACTCCAGTCTATGTCCCAGCCAAGATCCTAATAGTCCACCATGCTTAAGAGCATCACCAACCCCGACTCAAATTTAAATTTGAGTAGAAAAGCTCAAAAAACTTGTTCCAACCTTTAACTCAAACTTATACCAAATCAAGGTGGACTCATTTTTTTAATCAAATCAAGGGAGACTCAAATTTTTACCTAAATTTTTAATGGTGAGATTTTACCCTCTTTTAAAGATTTAATAGTCATCTTTACTCTCATTTAAATTTGGGTTTGCCCTCATTTAAATTTGAGTTTGTCCATTAGAGCCATTTGTATCAAATCAAGTTTTTTTACTCAAATGTTAATTGGTTGGAGATGCTCTAAGAGCCGACATCCTCGTCATCCCATTTTCCCTGCTTCGGGGGCCAATTTTCTTAGCTATGATCCTTTAAAGTATGGTATTTTGTATTGAATGATACAAATATGGGTTAAGTTTTTCACCTGGATGTTTGGTGCTAAAACTTCCACCTCAAAACCAATTAGCATTGAGTAGGGAGGCTCACAAGGTGTTTATATTAGTTTGGGAATTACTATTATTGTGACATGGGACAAGCTCTAAACTCCCTGTGCAATGTACACTTACAAGTGGAGAGGTCATAGGTGGATATAAGATATAATCGGCATAACAAAGTACACTTGGAGCCCTAAAATAGGGCAAACCAATACAAAATTAAAGAGTCTCTCTTGCCCAAATCTCCTGAAGCGCAACGTTGATAACATGTTATAGTATCTAATTCAAAACCAACTGGTAATAAGTAGAAAGACTCACAAGACTCGTATACTTAGTTTGGCAGGTATATAAACAACATGATCATGTGGATTACATAATATTTATATCTTGTCTTTACATTACGTTATCAACTGGTTTTATGCTTATTAGTTATTACTGGAAAAGGGTTACCATAATGTTCAATCATAGATAAACACACTCAATCAAGGCTCTGTTGAGGTAGAATTTTGTTGCCAAGATTTTGTCAACTCACTCTTTTCATTCCATGGGGCTATTTTTCTCACGGAAATATTTGTAAGTTTGGTTGCTCTAGCTAATATAACAACCAATTTCTTCCGTAGATGTTTGATGCGTATGGTAATCATGTGAAAGAGGGTGAGGAAGTCCAGTTAAATGTGGATGGATTTTGCTTCCAAGATAAAACAGGCTCTATGCGCAAGGTCAGTTCTTTTGTAAAACTGTATAAACATTCTTTGCATGAAAAACATTTTTTTGGAATTTATATTTGTCAAATAATTCTTGAAAGTTCTACGACTTTTACATTTGTGCTGCTCTCATTGAAGTGATAAGCGAAATTTGATTAAACAAGGGATGAAGGCATATGGATCAGACAAAACTGTAATTGTCTAACAAAATATTCATAGTAAGGTTTGTGGTCATGATGGATTTGGTGACACTGTAGTTTAATCAAACTGCAAGGCAGAGGCCAGAATTAGGATGGTGGCGTAGTGAAGATTAGATGACACAGTGGGAGTGGCCTGAAGGATGCTGATGGCGGATGTGGTAGCGAAAAAGTGGTGGTTGAGGTGTAATCGGGGCTTTGTTTTGTTTCTTCTTGTAGTGAAATACCTATTTTCTTTAAATTGCTAGAATGAGCTTATTTAATTCTTTTATGCAAGCTTTCATTGCATTTTTGCTTTTGTAAAGAACTTTGAGCAAGTGATTGGTAGGTTTTTCTTATTTTACTTATCTGTTAACCTGTATTTTGTTTATTTACTATGGATCCCCTTCAAGTTTTGATGATTTTTATTCACAACTTGATATTATGTGTGACTTTCTCCATTAAGGTTTGGCGCNATTGGTAGGTTTTTCTTATTTTACTTATCTGTTAACCTGTATTTTGTTTATTTACTGTGGATCCCCTTCAAGTTTTGATGATTTTTATTCACAACTTGATATTATGTGTGACTTTCTCCATTAAGGTTTGGCGCTCTCAATTTCAAGTCATCGAACCACCATGAAGCTGGTCGCTATTGCAGATTTTTATCCGAAGTGATTAGTTGCTTAGGATAGATGGTGATGTGATACCTATTGATGGTTATATAAGGGATAGAGGTAGGCTAGAATTAAATTTGAAAGATATAACAGAGAAAGATGTGATAGTTTCTGATTTAACATCATTGGTAGAGCAAAATGGCGGAACAATATTCATGCAGCCAATCTAAATTTGGTGGGGAAAGGTTTATTTAATTGTGTTGAATATGGATAAATAAAAATTGAAACTTCTTTATTCATCACTTTTAGTATGGAGATGTATCAAGCAGCTGAGTGTTCTCACCAACATTTTCATTTTATCAATATAGGCAGATGACCATGGGTGTGTTGACCTTAGTGGCCTCTTGAAAGTCACAAAGGGATATGGAGAAAAGGGTATGCACTTCCATTCAACTGTGTTTCCCCTGATGTATTGTTTACACATCGGTCAAAGTTGGAATGATCTTTTGAACTTTTAAATTTCATTGTTATGGTTTAATATTATCAGCGAAATGTATATTGCTTGTGGCATTCTTCTACAATTTGACATTGTTAATCTCAATTTGGCAGGTCATCTTCACTTCCAAATGTATGAAGTATATTTGATACTTGAAAATACTGCTTCATGCACTTAATTTTGTCTTTCTTCAACTGACTGAGCATTTGGTGGAATTTGCTTACAATTTGATTGTGTTAATAAAGTCAATGTTCTGTGAACACTTCCATTGTCAGGATGGTGCAAAGTATTGATCCTTAAATGTTTTCACTAGATCTCTTTTGTTTCTGTCTTCCTCATTTGAGGTGTCTGCTGCTGACACTTTCTCTCTTTGCTCCTTTTTGTATCTGTATGTGTGTGGAGGGAGGTTGCTAATCTTCTATGAAGATCAGAACTTAGGAACATGGTTAGGTTTTTGGCTGATACTTCTAGAGTCTAATCTAAAGATCCACAACCCCCGTGGATGCTGTGTTAGCTTCCTACATTTAATAAATTTAATGTGAAAGGTCATTTATAGAACTGGAATGAATATGGGTCAAGAGATCTTCAATCTGAAAAATCTTTGCATGACTGCCAGCTTGTAGTTATTTTGTGTTCATTGTCTGACTGTGTAATGTAATGCACATTTGTGCATCATGTAAAGTTAACTTTGCAAGGATCAATAATTATGGAATTTTCCCAAAGGGATTTTGTTATTGAAAAGGTGGAGAATCAATTACATTTATTAGTATTGAACATCTGGTTGAAAGCTATATCCTTTCTTAATAGCTAAAATTAGTCTAGTTGTGTCCTTAAGAAAGTTTTAAGTCTTTTCAGGTCTGTAGTTTTTGGACACCCATGTGGATGAACTAGAATGTAATTTAAAATGTTTTTTTCAGGAAAAAAAAAATTTGTAAAGGAAATAAACTCTTGAAACTTTCTGGATTATGACAGTTTATGCAAAATAAGTTTTCTGAAGTGGATATGTTCTTGTTTATTAATGACTGTTAGGTTAACATTAAGTATTACATCTCTCGAAACTGTCCATGTTAATTAATGCATAAAAACAGTAGTTGGATTATCTGAGTCTGTCTTTGTGTGTATTTGTTTTCTTCTGTAATTATTCGGGTGAAATATGTTTTTCCTAGTAATCTCTTTTGAATAACTTTTGGCCCTACAGTGTGTCTTTCTGTGTTATCCGGTAAGGAGATAGTTTTCAAGGAAGAGTTTCAAACTGAGAAGAGGGAACTGAGAGTTACATCCAGGGTTTGATTCTTTGACTTCTATTTGTCATTTTTCTAAAAGATAAAAATATGATTTTCTAATTGACATGGATTCCCAAACTATAAAGTATGTCCGTTATCTCCTTGATATCAGTTGCCTAGGTCTTGCTATGTTGGTGCTCAGCTGGAAAATGTTGTCTTCGAAATCACCAACTCTGAGGGTGATGTGGATGAGAGTATCCATAATGAAGAGAAACATGGTCAGCCTCACACACTTGTGATAAAGTCAGAGTCCGGGGATTTGGATGATTCTGTGCAATACAGCTTCCGTCGTGGGCGGTGCACTATTCGTTCTCTTCCCCTTCCTACAAGAGAAGGGATTTTCTGCTTTGTAGCTGCTCATTCTCGCTACCCGGAGCTTAACTTGAGCATTGAGGTCAAAACATTTACTAACAAGTTTCTATGGTAATAGTGAATGCTATACTGATAATTCGGAATTCTATGTGTAGGTGTATGTTGAGAAAACTTCATTGGTGGAGCATGAAAGTCTCCAATCTCACCATTCAGATCAAGGAATTTTGCTTCCCCATGATTCATCTGCTTTTAAGACTCCAAACGTAAAACATGATGATGTCCAACATCAATATTCAAATGGAAAGATAATTCTCATCCCGGACTCATCTGTTCCCGAGGATGTAGCAACAAATTTGGCCATCTCCATCATGAATGATCAAAGGGTAAAGTCATAATAAGTCTTCACTTGACATTACTTATCAGATATCACTTAGTGATGCACTTGTGGAGACAGAGCATTACCAACTTCGCATTCTAAACTCAGTTACTGGTAACAATCTTTCTCTACTTGCCTACTTGATGTAGAAGGCAATCAAAAGTAGCTTTGATACTGAATTGATGTTCATTGAGAAGAGTATGAGAAGGAAAGCAGATAATTAGGAGAGGAAGAGTATTAGAAGAAGAGATAAGATTGATAATCAAAGTCTTCAAAATTCTATGCATCCAAACCATTTTTTGGTTGAGTGAAGCCTATAATGAAATATTTCTAATATAACTATAATACCAAGTAAGAGATAAATCCTGCAACAAGAAAACAGAATCTAATAATCCAGGATAAAAAAAAGTATCAGCATAAATTCTCAAAATCCTAATCTTCAATTCCAATTCTTGTCCAACTACTTTGTGATCCCCATCATTTCTTCCTCACTGAGAAAATCTCAGCTCCAGGGGAATACATATTGATCCTGCTCTCTTGGACTACTATTGCTGGACTTATTTGTCATTTAGGTTATTGATTTTTCATATTATCTCGGGATTTATTTTAATAGATATGCATTGGATCTTTAATTTAGGGTTTTGGTATTCACCTATGTGGGGATTCCTTCCCCTAATTTCCTTTCTTTTCTCTTCTTCCCTCCTCCTTTNTCTCGGGATTTATTTTAATAGATATGCATTGGATCTTTAATTTAGGGTTTTGGTATACACCTATGTAGGGATTCCTTCCCCTAATTTCCTTTCTTTTCTCTTCTTCCCTCCTCCTTTTCCTCCTCACTTCTTCCCTAAAACCTTTCCCTGGTCTACTTCACATCAAGTGTATGTATAAATTCAACTCGATTACAAGAAATCTAGCTGATAAATAAAAGAGCTATGCCACCATTAGGAATCTGCTGGAATTGTTTCCCACATACAGTATGCTTTTCCTTGCAGGAGCTTGAGGATGATGTTTTTAGGTATGGTCTGTGTATCGGACAGCATGAAGAGAAGCTGAAAATGTTCAGTGTTCAGCAGGATACAATTGAGCAAGACATCTCTATGTTGCAAGGTTTCATATTCCACAAATTGTTGCTCATTTACTCTTTAATGGAATATGCTGGTCCTACTGTTTGGGCCTTTGGTCCAATGGTACTCCTTGCCTTGAGAAGTCTTTGCCTTCTTGTTGAATTAGCTAGCCAAAATCCACCATCTTAGCTGATTATTTGTTTGCATGTTCTATAATAAAGGTTCAGACTGCAGAGCCAGTGGCTGTTGGCTGCGTGAATAAGACACACCAGGCACTGTATACAATAAATTCCTTTTATGAATCCATACAAAGTAATAGTATTGGGTTAGAAAATATGTAAGTGAAAGTGAAACTGCTACTTGAGCATGTAATGTTGATGTGCTTTACAGATTATATGGACCTTGATTCCTCTAATGAATTGGGCTACTCTACTGGAAAAGAAGTTATGATGGAACGTATTGAGTGCAAGGACTCTGCAGCTGCCATTGTCTGCAAAGTCTTAGGAGCATTTGCGTTAGAAGAGCAACATGACTTCACGAAAGATATACTGGGTGTGGTTGCACTTCTTGGAACAGTTCAAACCAACGAGATTAGCAGGTCATCTTTCCATTCAACCTTTGTATTTAGCCTTTCTGAACACAAAAGTACACATTAAATGAAATGTGATATCTCTTGTATTTTCTTGAAGCAGGATTTTGGCGGAGTATCTGGGTGAGGATCAAATGCTTGCTGTTGTGTGTAATTCCCATGCAGCTGCAGTTACTCTTGAGAAGTATGAACAAAATGGACAAGTAAATCGTGCTTGTGCACTTTATGCAATGGCAATTGAACTTGGAAAATCTATAAATGGCCGTTATCTTGTTATATGCCTCGAGGATGTTAGGTACCAAAATGATTATTAGTCTCTTTTAAATTGAATGATTTTTCGACATGCTGGTGGTTTTCTCATATAGGTACTCCAGTTTGGTTTAGTATTATCCTTGCAAAATTACTCCTAAATAAAGAGTTGTGAACTTGAAGATTTTAATTTGCAAGTTGTTTGGCAGGCCCTACACAGGAGAGTTGGGCTGTGATCCCCAGAGGAAGCTTGCCTTGCCAGATCCTATTTTGCCAAATGGAAAGGCCCCACAAGGTTATTTGGGGTATGCTGTTAATATGATATATCTTGATGCAATTCATTTGCACATGAGAACTGCTACAGGTCATGGTCTGCGGGAGACTTTATTTTATCGTCTTTTTGGTGAGCTTCAAGTATATGATAATAGAGACGACATGGAAATGGCAAACTCTTACATAAAGCAAGGTGCAGTTTCTTTGGATGGAGGGATCATGAGAGGAAATGGAGTTCTTTCTCTTGGATATTGGTATGTCTATAATATTACATCAACATACATTGGTGTTGTTTGTATGGCTGTGTAAACTATAAACTCGTGACCCTATTACATACCTTTTTTGCTCATATTAATCTCAGACCTCATGCATGGCTTGTCCAGTGCCTTAATAAAATGTGCAAGTTCCTAGCAGTTTGGACAAATAGATGGAAGATTGGTCCCAAGCAATAGAATGCCACATTGGTGCTGCACTGCATGTTGGATAGAAAATTTGTCATCTGATTTATCAACCACCTTTATCGTTTGATCAAAATTTTGTTGACATTGAAAATTTGGTGAAGTCAGATGGTATCAGATATCCTGTTCACCGAATATTCTTGCGCTATACACACATAGTACTGCACCTTGGGAAACTTGCTATCCCAATCTTTTATTTTAATGCAACTATTACAAATTTTCCTGTAGATCTGACCTAGTATTTTGCTTTCTTCAGCGAACCAGATATTCACTTTCCAGTTGTGATGCTGGGAAGTCAAATGAATATCTCTCAAATGAGCCTCAAGATGCTGAAGCAGATTGAAGCAAAGAAACTGGAGTTACGACATATACTTCGTGAGATGGAGAAAGAGACTAAATCCCATAAAAAAGTTTTGAAAAAGTTTAACAAGAAGCGAGATAGGTATAAGAAGTTCTTGGATGAGAAGGAACCGTTGCTGAGAAGTTTAAATACAGACACAATATGAAGAGCTTGTGATTGTCATGTAAATTTTTGTGCAGAATTCTCATATTGGTGTATGTTCTGATCCCAGTCAGCACTTATGCATAGGTGAACTGCCAATAGTTTGTTATCATACGGCCACTCATAGGATACCAGATGGACAGGATAGACAGAATACAAGAATACAGAGACCAGCGGGCGGACTTGCTTAGTGTAACATAACTATTACAGCTATCTAATCTCGGCAATTACAGAACCTTTTTTTTAAGCTCCTGTTAAATTTTTACATTAGGAATGGTGTANGAGACCAGCGGGCGGACTTGCTTAGTGTAACATAACTATTACAGCTATCTAATCTCTGCAATTACAGAACCTTTTTTTTTAAGCTCCTGTTAAATTTTTACATTAGGAATGGTGCAAGGACTCAGTTTGATTACTGTGATGAACTATGCTTTCTGAGGATACCATTCTTTTATCCTTTGAAGCAGAAAGACTTGGGGTTCTGTTTTTTTTTTTTTTTTGAAAGTTTTTGCTGTATTTTATTTTCCTGAAGTATCCATCAGTCTGTATTTACACATGCATACACACAGGTGAGGTGGTGAATAAGCTTGTAGCCATGGCAGTAGAAGATGACTTAACTGACAAACAGAAAGCTCCAATGGACTATGTAATGTAGTGAAGATTGGAGCAACCCATTTAGAATAGACAGGTTTTGACAGTGGTTAATGACAAAAAAAAATTCATGCAATTGATTTTAAAAATTTGAGGATAAGATTTTGTTAATTTGAGCTGAGATAGATAGACCTCGAGAAAAGTTAGGNGACTTAACTGACAAACAGAAAGCTCCAATGGACTATGTAATGTAGTGAAGATTGGATCAACCCATTTAGAATAGACAGGTTTTGACAGTGGTTAATGACAAAAAAAAATTCATGCAATCGATTTTAAAAATTTGAGGATAAGATTTTGTTAATTTGAGCTGAGATAGATAGACCTTGAGAAAAGTTAAGNGGTTTTGACAGTGGTTAATGACAAAAAAAAATTCATGCAATTGATTTTAAAAATTTGAGGATAAGATTTTGTTAATTTGAGCTGAGATAGATAGACCTCGAGAAAAGTTAGGATTTCTTCTATTGTAAAAACTGTGTTCACATACAGATTATTAATCGTCTACCCTTGTGTATGGTAATGATTTTATTCTCTAATGCAAGTATCCTAGGGATAGTATTGATATTTTGCCTCATTGAGCTGGATTTGAACTTTGACGAGATTCTTCCTTTAAACTCTATAGAGTTAGGTTATTACATTTAAATATCAAATTATATATATATATATATAATTGATTGAAGAACAAATTATCCCGAACAAAGATTTGTCAATATATAACTCTAATTTAATAAATTGAAATGAAACTTTTTTTTTAATCATAATTAATTATTCATGAGTTCTTGTGGGGCCCACTATAATATATATTGGATGCCCGAGATCTTTGGGTTTGTCCCCTTGGCCTGGACTGGGGGTTTACTAAAACTAGTTTCTCGCAGCTCAGACTAGAGTAGCGAGTAAGTACAACCCCACCACTCTCAAGCAGGAGAAAATTCACTTGAGAGAGACACAAGGGTTAAGGTCTGACTCGTTTCGGTCATGTTTCAGCCTAACAACCAGGTATGTCTCTCCCTTCTCTTCTTAGGGTTTCACATTTCCTTCTTTTTAGCATTTTCATAGCCAAAATCTATGTCTTTGTTTCTTTTTTTTTTCTCTTGTGTTGGAATGTATAAGTTTGTCAATGAACTATCGTATTCGTACTCAGTACTCCGCATTCTGTGTGTGTGTGTGTGTGTCTGGTTTTTTTTTTTCTCTTTTTTCCTTTTTAATGTGTTTCAGTGAGCTCAGAGATGTAACGTGAACGGTTTTTTTTTGTAGTCCTTGAAGTGAAATTCAGGTTTTGACAGATTTGGCTGTTGATGTTTATAAAGTGAAATTGTGCATGCAATTCTGGTGCATTTGATGTTAAGCTGCCTAATTACTAAGAACTCCAAAGTTTGACTGATCAAATTTGGATAATTTGAAGGGTGTGTTTGTTGTTGGAGGTGGGAATTTTTTAGTGGATTGTGATTGTTTATGTAGTGATAGGAAAGTGTCGGATTAAAAATCCATTTTTCGATAGAACACAATTTAAATTTCACTAAGCATGTCAATTTTGAAAATGAGGAAGAGAAAAACTCGTGGTCTGTTAGACTTTGAAAGCAGCATATGCTCAATTTGAAAGTAGCTTTGCTCAATTGAAATTAGTGGGAAATAATGACATTAAGAGCTGGCTGTGCAACTGTTATGCTCATATATATGATTAATCCTCTGGCAAAAAGGGGAGAAAAATATCACTGAAACGTTCACTATGTCCTTAAGAAGTCTGTTTGAGATTTTAATGAATACCTAGGCAAATTTGCTTAGGACAAATATTTACAACAGTATGAGGATTGTTTTTTATACCAGCTTATGCTCCATGCAAAGGCGTTAGGCATCCAAGATTTACTGCCTATGACGGATGGGGGTCAGAATAATTCCTTTATGGTCGGAAGAGATGAGATGCAAAACGGAGCACTTTGTATGGAACAATCGGTCTTTGATAATTCTAAGGTTGTGAATGCTATCTCAAACTTCTGAGGGTTTTTTACTTTTTACCATGTATATAACTATAAAGTTTAATTCTGGTTATGTAGTCGGTGACAATAATTTCTTCATACTTCTTGTTAATATTTCTTTCTTCTTCTTTTAACATATGGTTTCCATCTCTTAGGGGGGGTTTGTTAAGCAGAGTTTTTGATTTTCTTTAATCACTGCAGAAACTTCAGGCTGATCTTCAAACGCTTGGCCTAAGAGTTAAACAGCACGAAGACAATATAAAATTCTTAAAGAGTCAGAAACACAGCATGGATGACTCAATTCTGGATATGCAAGGTATTTCCAAGCATTAGTGTGTGTCACTGTTAGTGTTTTTTTGCAAAGGTAGTGTGTCACTGCTGTTACTCATAAATCTACTTTCTTGAAATTTGCAAATGTTGAAAATGATAGTCATGCACCCTACTGGCAAAGTGGATATAAATCATATGAATCCCATGATTAGGACAAAACATTTGGTTCTTTGGATATTATCATGCCTGAGATCAATAATATCTCTATTAGGTAATGAATTGTCAATTTGACGAGTACATTTTCCGCTGTCATCTATGTGGCAAAGGTCATATGATCTTATTCATAGGGTGATAGTTGAGGAGTTTGTTGAGATAAATGGACACTAATCTTTTGGTTTTGCTAGGTTTTTGTATCAACTTTCAGTCAAAAGTGGCATCACTTTGAAAAGTGGGTTCTTAGAAGTTAAAATAAATTAAAGATCTTGCTCTTTTGCGAATCATATATAGTGCACCTTTATCGCTATTTTCTCATATTTTTCTGACATGTATTCTTCTAGTTGCTCTTGGCAAGCATCACTCATCAAGTTTGTCCATGACCGAAAACGAGGACCTGTCACACTTACACAGGGAAGAGGAGATAGTGGAACATATTTTACGGCATGAGAAATCTGCAGCTGGCATTTTGTGCAAGCTAAACACTCCTCATGAAACTCTGACTTCTGATATTACGCTGACAAAGGATGTGCTTGGGATTGTTGCTACACTTGGCAGAGTAGATGATGTTAACCTTAGCAGGTCGGCTTAGTTTTTGCAGGTTTTGCTTGATTTATGTCTTCTATTTTGTAATGTTGCAACAACCATTTTTTCTAATTTATTTGCATTCAATCTTTTCTCATTTACTTTGTTTGTTCAAGGCAAGTTTTTCTCGCTCTGCATTATTCATTCCAATGCCATTTAATGTATGGATTGAGACTATGATTGTCTGAAAATGATCTGTCTATTAGCTTCATGACTGAAAGATGGTTACTGGTTGGTGCATTTCTAATATGCGATATGATTACATAGTGGCTAGTGGCTAGGAATGATGCCCAATTTCTGACTATCATTTAGATCCATCTGTGAAGAAACTAGTTTGTAGATGAAGGTGAAAAGCATGTTGATGAGGAGTTGATCCGTACTACAGTTGACGTGTGATCTTGTTTTGTACTCTGTAAACCCAGGCTGCTCTCAGAGTACTTGGGGATGGAAACTATGTTGGCAGTTGTCTGCAAGACCTACAGTGGTGTTAAAGCACTAGAAACGTATGAGAAAGATGGGTCTATAGTTACTGGTCTTGGCCTTCATGGACTTGGAGCTTCTATTGGGAGGCCATTGGGTGGCCGATTTCTTGTCATTTGTCTTGAACACCTTAGGTAAGCGGTTCACATGATCTTTTTGTTTAGCAATCTGAAGTTCTAGTTTGTTTATAATCTGAGGACTTCTCTTTTCTATTACCTTACACCCTCTTTTTGTTTGTGTGTTCAGACCATATGTTGGGCAGTTTATAGCTGATGACCCACAGAGAAGGCTTGATCTTCTAAAACCAAAATTACCTAATGGCGAATCTCCACCTGGATTTCTTGGGTTTGCTGTGAATATGATTAATGTTGATAGCATGAACCAATGCTGTCTCATGACCACTGGGCATGGTCTTAGAGAGACTCTCTTCTACAGTCTCTTCTCACGTTTGCAAGTTTACAGAACAAGGGCAGACATGCTAGATGCTCTCACTTATATAAAAGATGGAGCCATATCTTTGGATGGTGGGATAATAAGGAATACGGGTGTGTTTTCCCTGGGAAATAAGTAAGGAGTTTTGCCTGTTAACTCTCACATTATTTTCACTCATTACATATGATAAAAAAATATGGTATTTATGGTCACTTGCTTTTTATGCTAATATCCTTGAAGCTGAGGACCCTCAGAAATTGTGGTCAACCAAGCTATTTGGAAACATCTTCGCTATTGTTTCGAATTGATAGAACTCTCGAGTCTTGGTCTTGTCTTTGAAATCTTCCCAAATCCGCTCAAGATTCTTAGCATTGTCGCAATGTCTGTGATTCTCTGTTAACCAGTAGCTGATATTGAGTAGCCCAATGTGTTCTCAGAAGAGTGAAATATTATGCCTGTTGCAAAAGAAGTTGAACTCAGGAAATCAATTCTGAAATCCAACTGTTGTGAGGACAAACTTTCAATTACTCTATTGTTCTTCGAAGGGGAACTTCTTATTTTTCGGTACCAACTGTTTGTACCACAAGATATGAATCCATACCAATCCCTACTTACTGGCTGTGTGATCACCCACTTTTTTAACCTACTTACTGGTTGTGTTATGTTGAAACTTTTTTAACGGCAATTGTTGATCTGCTAGGTACATATATTGAGTTGGGAGTGGGGTAGATATCCATGTCTCTCAGCTGCATCATGCTGTTTTTTTTTCATGGACTTAAAAATAATTGTGTGGGATTTCTTTTTCTTCTTCTGCTAAATCTTTCTCTTTGAATTTCCCCTATCTCAGAGAAGACGTAGATGTGATATTTCCGAAAATCTCTGGGAGCTCAAATCTACCTGAGAACTATTTTGAAACCGAAAATCGGATAAAGGAGATGCAATGGAAAAAGGAAAGAATTTTGGAAGATATGCAGAGAGAACAAGGTTTATTGGATCTTATAAAGTTCAACTATGACATAAAGAAGCAAGAGTTTGTCAAGCTCCTTGCAAAAAGCTCGTCGAATGACCCTCAGGTAATGTGTTGAGGATATTTTAATTAGCAGTGTTTTATAGTTTTTACTCTGGAGTTTGAAGTTTTTTTTCTCAAATTTCGTTTTTCTTATGAGAGCTGAAACTAAAATATAATAATCTCTTAGCTGACATAATCTCTTGTTGTGTACATTCTATTGCCTCCAATCAATATATAGAAAATAGAAATATAGCATTTCTATAAAATTGATCTTTGTCTCTTATAAAAGCACAAATGCTGCATAAATGTTTTGTAAGGTGCAGCTTTTGCAAATAAGTACTACGCCAACATGTTTTCTGTGTGAATTTCCTTCTTGCCTTAANCATAAATGTTTTGTAAGGTGCAGCTTTTGCAAATAAGTACTACGCCAACATGTTTTTTCTGTGTGAATTTCCTTCTTGCCTTGATTTTTTTGGAGAACCTAAATAGTTTTCAGGAATGATACACTGAAAAACAATTATTTGTATTCCTTCAGCTCAAATCAACTTGAAGAAGATTTATGCAATTATTTCCTTCGTTGCACTCTTTCTAATGCCAGTAATTATAGAAATATCACAAACAGGAGATAAACTAAGATAAGATCTACAAAAAGGATTTGGACACGAGTTATACAATACTTGTTGACAGTAACGATAAGGATAGAGACAGATCAAGATCAGCGTTGACTGAAATTAGCTTATGCTTAACAGAAAAATGGCAAAATAAAAGCCATTTGAGGTAGGAAGAGATCGACCCAAAACTGATAATTGTGTGGCAGAATGAGTACACCATCAACTAGCAGAGGAAATGAAAGTTCATATAGCCACTGTTTATCAGCTAATGTTTATGGCGGAATGAGTGAATGAATGTTGATCTTGATGGAAATGCAAGGCATGTGCACTTCAATGGTCAATTGGTGCTGTTTTCTTTGAATTTGGATTTTGCAGAGACAGGATTAGCTCAGGCATGCACATTCATTGATGCCTGGGTGTAAATCCTAATACATGATTGTCAACTGAAGACAGAATTGAGCTGCGAGCAATTGCATTGAGCATCAAATTTTGTTTTTCCCTTTTCTCTACAGAGATGAAACACATTGGCCTAGTTTACAGCCCTGAGTTATTTTTGCAGCTTGTGTGCACTACTGTAATTTTATGTGACCTATCTATTAACCAATGGGTGTTTTTCATCTAATTGTAGGTTTTAACCATCAATGACTCATAACTGGTGGAATACAGTGGTAGTAATGACCTCATTGATGTAGGAACAAATGACTTCTGTCATTGTGTTTGTGTGGCTGGTTGCAGAAGCAACGCCTTACAGGGAAAGTCCTCTTTGGAAATTGTTGTTTATTCCAATGTAGTTGGTATCAGAGTCAGGTTCATGGTTGGCGGGAGCAACACTAATCCGAGGGAGTGGTGGCTTGTCTGGAGGATAATTTTGGTTCCCCACAACCACTGAGATGTTGATGATATCTCAGTGCAGCTTGAAAGGCTTAACAAAGCTCTTTTGTCAATCTGTTTTGATGTTCTATCATATGAATTCGATTTCTCATTGCTGAGGTGGGAAAGTGGATGAATATTTGTATTATGTTAAAAATCATTAGGTTCTGTTTTTATGTTGTATCTCTTATATATAAGTTGTAATTCTGGACAAAGTATTATAAGTTGCGTTGAGTTGCATATTTTTTTATCTGACTGGCTGTCATGTTGTCTTTGGACCCTTCACTATGCCCTCTTATCACTTTCGATGGATAAAAGTTAAAGAGTATAACACTCACTCTAGCCATTACATTCAAGATGCCTTGGGTTAAGATGAAAATTAGAAAAAAAAATGAATAATAGTTTTAATATTGCACAAAAATATAGAAAGTAAATGATAGATCTATGGTAAATGAAAGGTGGAAGATTAAGCTACCATTGGATAATGTCATAAGGACCAAACAATAACAACATAAAGATTAAAATAATATTATTAAGTAGTACTTTGGTTGATAGAAGTTTTATTTCTCTCTATTTTTTGATTGTTACATTGATGAATTGGTATTTTTTAATAACTGTAGGTCACTCTTATAAGCATAATATATGATTATCGTAATAAAAAATAATNTTTTAATAACTGTAGGTCACTCTTATAAGCATAATATATGATTATCGTAATAAAAATAATAAAAGTATCACAAGCTCAAAATAATAATTATAATCTTCTTTCTTTCTTTTTTTATCTGGTAAGTAATAGATTATCACTCCATATATTTTGGTAGGAAATAATTCTTGACCTCTAGAGCGAGAGTATGGAGATGACCAAATACTTTGTTGATACATAGGTCATTTCACATATTCATTAAGAAATATTATCTCTTAGCACCAAACATCTCATAATTATGGAGAGTCGATTTTAAACATTGAACAAAAAAAAATTGAGTTCTTATAACACTGGATAAACCGTTCATTGGTGGATGATCAAATGCTGATTTTGTCGCCACAATTATCCTCTAGTTCTGCCATCCTTGTAACCATACTTTTAGTATGAGTTGTGTTATTTTGACTTAATTTTTTGATTTAAATATTCATATCTATTGAATTAACAATGAGTTTTTGTATTTTTTAGGATTCATANAACATTGAACAAAAAAAAATTGAGTTCTTATAACACTGGATAAACCGTTCATTGGTAGATGATTAAATGCTGATTTTGTCGCCACAATTATCCTCTAGTTCTGCCATCCTTGTAACCATACTTTTAGTATGAGTTGTGTTATTTTGATTTAATTTTTTGATTTAAATATTCATATCTATTGAATTAACAATGAGTTTTTGTATTTTTTAGGATTCATAATCAATCTAATTGATGAATTAAATGAATAAATTAAGTCTAAATAAAATTATTATCTTAATATTAGAGTTAACTATTTATTTGACTTTTGAACTATCAATATTTGTCAAGCGAATGGTAAAATTAGAATAAAATATAATTTTTTTGAAAAGTTACCGTATGTATATTGATTTTGCCTACCTTACAATAAATTAATAATTTTACCGTGATTAGAGTTAACATATGTTTTAGGGAATAGATTTATTGTGAAATGGTGACGAAGGGTTTTAGTTGGTCCTTGAAATNGACTTTTGAACTATCAATATTTGTCAAGCGAATGGTAAAATTAGAATAAAATATAACATTTTTGAAAAGTTACCGTATGTATATTGATTTTGCCCACCTTACAATAAATTAATAATTTTACCGTGATTAGAGTTAACATATGTTTTAGCGAATAGATTTATTGTGAAATGGAGACGAAGGGTTTTAGTTGGTCCTTGAACTTTGTTTTCTATTTTAATTTGGTATTTAAACTTTTAATTATGATGGTTTAGACTCATAATTATTAATTTCATTTTAAGTAAGTTTTTTTATTAATTTTTATCGTTAGATCTACTAGAGACTGATTCAATTTGATTTATTTTAGCATTTATCTAAATTTGGAAATAAACTAAAAGATTTAATTGAGATAAAATTAATAGCTTAGAGGCTAAATTAAAATAATTTACAATTTAGGGATAAAATTAAAATTAAAGGCAAATTTTATTTGTTACCGTTACCTCTCGCCCCTCCATCTCCCTCTCGCGCCATATAACTCCCCTTTCCTAAACAGATTCCTCACACGCTCCTATAATCCCATCGACCATTGCCACCGCCAATTCAAAAATCCCAACCCGCCGCCCTCAACAACCCACTAAACATCTCCTCCCACAGCATCAAACCCTCGCACTAAACAAATTCCCTCTTGCATGAGCAATAGAATCAACGTCATCCAAGAACACCACTGCCAAACCCACCCACCAAATCATCACACCAGTAACCACCAGGAATCATCAATCTACAACCGCAACCCACCAAATCAACACCATAACAAAACAAATCGATAAGCAAAGCCAAGAGCGAAGGAGGCTTGGGATGTTCTCTGATATTTGTGTTTATGTCAAATTGGCTTTGTTTGGTTGTTTGTTAACGGCTTCTGATAGCAGTGTTTTTTTTTTTAATACTGAATAGCAGTAGGGATTGGGAAAATCTCAACTGAATAGCAAGAGGGAGACAAAAGAAAGCAAAAAGAACAAGAGGGGACTTTCGGTACTCATCCTCACGAGCAGCAGAATCAGTGGGTTTGAGTATGGCAGTGGCGTGAACTCAGAGAGAAACTGCATCGATGGAGGTAATTTGCTCGATTTAAACTCTTTTTGATTAAGTTTTATTGTAGGATGAGAGTAATACGCTTAATCCATTGGGTTTTTCTGAATGTGGAGTAGATGAGGATTTTTTTATTTTTTTATTTTTTAAAGAAAGGGAAAAATTTTTATTGAATGAATCAAAAAATTACAAGAATCAAAGAAGGGAAATAATCCCCAATTACATCACAAGAATTAGCTTTAATCCTTCAAAACATCCTTCTAACTAGCCCATTACTCCAAGGAACAACCACTCACCCAATCACCCAACCCCTGAGTGAGCCCAAGCAACCTTCTTTCTCAAATTTGGCACTCCACCTCTATCTTGTATCAGCAGCATCTTCACAGCAACAGGCAAAGGAGACTCAGAAGAAAATGCCTGAGAAGACCCACTTTGCACTGCCATTTTTGCCAAGCAGTCTGCCACACCATTAGCCTCCCTAAAAACATAAAAAAACCAATACTCCAACCCCTCCAAATGCCCCTTAATTTTGCTCAAAACACCCCACAAACTCCAGGGCCACTTCACCTCTCCAAGCGCCATCCTGACCATCACCTGCGAATCTGATTCAATCTGGACCTTACAATCCCTCAAACCATGCTCCTCCATCAGCTGCAGTCCATTCAACAGAGCCAAACACTCTGCAGCCATATTTGTTCCTTGCCCATAAAAACAAGACCTAGCAAAGACCGATCTCCCCTCTGAATTGTGCAAAACAGCACCTCCCCTTGAAAGCCTAGGATTCCCTCTACAGGCCCCATCCACATTCATCTTTAAACACCCAGTAGGAGGAAACTCCCGATTAATCCATCTAATTCTCACCTCCACCCTATATGAAACCTTCACCTGTAAATACCTCAAAACCTCCTCTCCCCAAATGTGATCCGGTCTATTAGGCCTCATACCAAAAGCTTGAAGCCTCAAGCTATTCAGAATTATCAAGAAAATAGCTTGAGGAGTTCCTTCTCACCCCCTCAAACCTCCTTCTGCACCTTTCCTGCTAGAGATACCAAAAAACCAACAATGGCACAGCTCTAATCAAACCTCAACTCAATGAAGAGGCTTTGAAAATTCTGAACAACCTCATCCTAGTCAAAGGGTCCTCCCCCTGCACCACCGGAAATCCTAACACACCAGCCGACTTACCCCAAACAGACTGAGCATAACAACAGTCCACAAAAAGGTGGGAAAAACCCTCCCCATCCTGTCCACTGAGAGAACACATACTCACCAAGGGACCCCCTACCTCCTGCACACGACCATCTAAGGACAAGGCCCTTTACAAAATTTTCCAAGCAACCAATCTTGCACTAGGTGACACCTGCTGCCTCCAAATAGAAACAACAGTAGGGCACAACTCACCATGAGACCTCACCATATCCCACTTAGATTTTACAGAAAAAACCCCAGTCCCTATCCAAACACTTCTATCTATTTAATCAGTTAAAACCAAATCCAGGGAAAGAATCTTCTCCTGCAACTGTACACTCAACAAATCCTCAACCAAATGAAAATGCCACTGCTCCCCACCAATACTTCATTCTTCCCTGTATAACAACTTTTTTGTTTTATGGTTTTTTTATTTTCTTTAGTAGTTGTCACATTTGAGAGGTCCAATTATTTTTTGACTACATTTGGGACTTTTTGAACTTTTTTTTATCACTCAATACAATAGACAATTTAGGTCAATAAATTAGTTTATTATATAATTTGCTATTTGTCAGAAATTATGTTGTCTAAGAAATTCCATTATGGCCCTTTTATTTTTAAAAACTGTGGTTGTAGGACTCCTATAAACAATTTTAAGAGATACAAGAAATGATTGAAATGGTGGTCGCCATGGAGGTAAAGATGGCCGCCATCCTCTTATTGTCATCAGATAGATTCCAATGTGAACATGCCAAGGTTGTCAAGCAATGACATACGAAAGATGTCCGTTGATGGTCACACGGCGATGACATTGTGAAAAAATATGTTGTGATGGTATGCCTTACCCTTATATTGGAATTGGAGGTAATTAGTTTTTTGGTTTTATTTTTGTGTGAATGTTGATCTTTTGATGCTATAAATTAGGATTTTATTTGCTAATGATTATATTTGAATTGCATGCTCATCAATTGTTTGGGGCGGGGGTATTATTTTTCAAGGTATGTATTACTGATTTTTTGCATACCACAAAGAAGATTAATTATTTTCTAATGTCTTTTTCCGCTACCTCACTGAGGAATTTGGAGCTTCAAGTAAGGTAATACAATTAATGTAGTTGTATATATCATTTCCAAGCTATAATAAATCTTCCATTTAAGAGATGGTGCAAATTCTAATAGAATGCATGTGTACAATAGGTATAAGATATACCAGCTAATATAAATGAACTAACATTGCATTATAAATATATTTGTAATAAAGGAATGCATATTAAGAAAGAAAGAAAACAATAAAAGAAATAAAAAGCG